AAATCGGATTAAACCGAACCGAACCGCCGGTTTTTCGGTTCTAATACCCGAACCGAACCGAACCGAATTTTGAGCCGGTTTCGGATCGGTTCCCCGGTTTAGCCCGAACCGTTCGGAGCTTTAGCTTTATCCCAGGTTAGGGGCAACATACTAGTCGAAAATACTTTGATTTTTTATACTTAAAAAACACTTAGAAAGCATCTTAGACAATTATTTTAATATCAAACAATGGCTGATACTTAGAAATAAGTCTCTTGGCTCGTTTTACTTCCACCTATCAAACACTTATCAAACATGTAAATCATACGTTACTTAAAGTAAGCCCTATGCTTCAACCCCACATAGCACTATACCGCACCGAAAAATTCCTAACCAGCCCAAGTGTGTATGAGAGAGAAATAGAAGGATATATTAACTCAGAAAAATAAATAAATATGTATATCTTTAAAAATAGGTTAAAATATAAAATATATTTTGAAAGAAACTTTAAAAGAAAGGGGGAAATATGGGAATAAGAAAGAGAACGATAAGTTTATTTTCTTCGCCGGAAATGATAAGAGTGAGAGGAAGAAGAAGGAAAATTTTGGATAGAGAGGCCTTTATATAGTTATTAATAGAGGCTCAGAGGAGTAGAAGACTTGTGTCAATCTTTAAGACAATCACAGACGCTTCTGCATAATCCTTTATCTCAAGATTTGATTGCAAACTAAAATACGGTTTGTCAAGTATCGGTTTGTTAAGTATCTGGATCTTTGTAAAGCATGTGCGATTGTTACACTATTGCATGTAATAATAATTCCATGAAAAAAAAATTACTTGGAGTATCATTTTTTTATACTACTTTTTTTATTACTCGACACCTTTTATTAAAAATTTTAAAGTTATGTTCTTAAGAAACATGTTGATTGCCCTGTTGCTAATTGAAAGTTCATTAAATTTACGTTATGATACTTAATTTTCGTCTAAATAAATATACGGTAGTATTGCTTACTAATCAATGGGCTGGTATTGAGATTGGAATGATTTTTTTCTTAGTAGGAAAATTCTTTTTTAATGTTACCAATTAGAATAGTGTTATGCGAAATTAGACAATGTTGAAATTTCAACTTTAAAAATTATATAGTACCATGAGTACTATATCAGTATAAAGGGATTTAATATATGAATATTTAAATTTTGATTTATAAGTTATAACCACCACTTAAATATGCTAAATTTTTAAAATCAATGACTTAGAGGGATACTATAGGCAGTGCTATTTAATAAAGTGTCTATTAACCTAAATATTGTACATTTTCACGTAAGAAGCAAAAAATATCATTCTTGATATGTTTATAGTATGATTCTTAATAGACATATATGTGTTTTTGTTATAAATATATCAAGAATCATACTTTTGCCAGAGGACATTCAGACATTGCATACTAACCTAATCTCTTTTTTATTCGTCAAAAAAAAGTATCACAAAAATCAAAAAATTAAAACGCTGAAACGATCATCTGAAAGTCACGTTACATTCTGCTCTAACTTAAACTTTTTTCTAATTAATAGAAGGGAAATTTGTTCCTAACTTATTAATTTATGAATTTTCATTTTTTAAAATTCTATTAAATTGCGAATTCAATAAAATTATTCATTGTGATACTAATTTCTGCGTTTATTTAGATCATTCCAAATGAAAGTGATTGATTTTGGTACTTTTTTTTTGATTTTATTACTTTTATGTAAGGTAAAAGATTTGCTTAATACTGTATATTCAATATATTCAATATAATAATATAACTACGTTTCTATTTATAGAGTAAATCTATGACAATATCTGTGAAAATCAGTAAATTATTTTTTTAATTATTGTATAATTAATTCCATATGGAGTAATAAATCATCAATAAAAGTTTAGATTAAAATTTGTCTTTTCTCCTCGCGGTCAACCTACCTTATTATTTACTTTTGCGGAATATATAGATTGTATCAATGATCAAATAATGGTAGGTTTAAATTTTATTAGAATTTTCGTTTGATTTTTCGCTTGATTATTGCTTATATTTGCTTGCAGGATCAATTTTGAATATGCTTTTGGGGAAATGATCTCATCACGAAAATCTGATCACCTTAATTTAACAATAAAAGAATTTAACGCTGTGCGAGAATAAAAAAAAATTATAAATGACTGATAAATTTGCCCCATTGCTTTATTGATCATATGAAAATATATATACTGTATATAATACAGGTTATAAGTTGTAGCATAAGACTTTTGTCGAACACACTCTCGTTAATGGGAAAAGTAAATGTATTCGCAAACTCAATAATACCTCGACATTCCCATTATCAGTAGTGACTAACTTAATTATGACCCAGTCGACCCCTTCGAAACGATACTATACATTACATCTTTACGCAAAGCCTCATTGTATGTGCGTATCTTTTTATTACGCTAGGACGAATCTTGTAACTGAATTGCATTCTGACCAACACCCTGATTAATATCCTCCCTTTTAGCCTCGGTAACAATGATAATTGTATTTCCAATCTTGATAATCCAATCCATTGGCCCTTTACCATGACTTCCAGATAACTCTTATTCTGGACATACTTTCACTTCACCATCATAGCAAGAGGCAACGCCATGAAGAACAGAAGAAATAAATTCGCGTCTTGTTGCTTCGTTTGTACTAGTGACGTGATTGCAAGTCTTATGCTTCATAACTATATCTTTCAAAACGTACTCCAATATCTTTTCGTGTCAGCTAACTCTCCATCGAACCTGAGGAGATCAATATAACTATCGGTTATTAATCCGAAATAATGTCTTGATTGGGAAATGTCCACAACGAAAATGGCTGTTGTGCTATAAAATACTCAAATTATTTTTGTTAGCGGTATGCCACATTTATAATAATTTGTTCTAAAAAAAATAGCCAAAAGACGCTTTGCAAAATGATACTTACTTGAATCCTTGAGTCCAGATTACACTCGCCAAATCCTCATCATCAACCAAACAAACAATTTCTTTTTCACTGCCACACTCACGATTTATAACGATATGCTCGTCCTTCTGTTCCATCTGAAAATGTGAAATATGTGCAAAGCCGAGACTTTAAAGCTGACAGGGTTATTTGTCCACGGGTTACTGTCTACTGAAACTTTTTTGCCTCCCATACATTGCGATACAGTGAACTTCTTTCGTCTCAACAGGACGCTGTATGCTAGTTTTTGAAAGTAGAAGCGGTTCCACACCATCAAGCTCCTCCTTGATATTAACATTTATTTTTGTAAGTTTTTCGTTTTCTTCGAGAGAAATGTCGACCTTCCATAACTTGAGTTTGTCTGTAGCGAAATTATCAAACTCGATTGCTTTTTCTCCTTGATAGCGTCCTTAGGATACCCAACAGTCTTAACTTTGTTAGTATCAATATTAACTGGAAAAGCATTTTCAATCCCGCAATTTCTGTAAGAATACTCACTTATTCATGCAAAATTCAATATATATATATATATATATCATTAAAGGAAGTAATTTTACTCAAGATAAATGGATTAGAGAAATTTGACTAAGTATAAAAATACAAAATACAAATGTGATTAAATTTAATAACTATAATAATTTTTGGAAGTTCATAAAATCTTTTAATCATTAGCACGATTAGAATCATTAAACTAAAATGCTACTGAGAAGGATTATATTGATTTATTATCATAATATTTCCAAAATAATAAATTCATAGCGTGTAGCAAACCCAAATTATAATATCGTATATTACGCTTGCAACCTTTACATTCTTTGTCTTGAAATCTCAGTTCTGTTATTCCCATTCTCGATTTTGTCATTCCCATCCTCGAGAGTCATGTAGCTACTGCAATCCAGTGATGAAATCCCCCAGAAATTATTTAATGGATTGTAGTCTGTCATTGTAAATTATTTTTTGCGAAAAATTCAGAGAAATTATTCTGTTTTTTTACTTTCTTATATAGGACGCTGAGATGTGGATAGATCCTTATTTGATTAAAAAAATATCGCATAGTTATGCAGTGGGATTATAAACCTGAATTTGTAAAGACGAGAATTCTGTAGATATGTGTGGAAATTTTAACTCTAAAGAAATCATCTCGAAGTAAATACTTTACATGGCTTAATGCGCAGTAACTGCATATATGTAATTTCTTTACGATTACATAATGTGGTCACTATGTATTTATAACGCAGTTACTGCGCATTAAGCCATCGCTACGATCTTGAAGTTTCTGTAAAGTAATAGTGGTAGAAATAAATTAGTTATATTTTTCTTAAACTTGAAAGAGCAAAGAAACTCGTATTTTATAGTCTAGAATCCTATCTTCATATATTTCATTTATTACTCTCACTACTCTCTTGTATTCACTAATAAAGTTTATGCGATATATGAGTTATTTATTTTACGAACTGCATTATTTTTATTTTTTTTTTTTATTGTACGTCATATTGATTTGTAATACATAAAGATATTTTCTCACTTTATATTTTATCATTTTACAACAAACTCAAATATTACTAATGTACTAATAAGCATTAAAGAATTATAGAACTTTTGTATATAAAAGTTAAGATTGTAATGGTATAACCTGATCTACAATATATTTAATGGTACCAGAGCTATCTATGTATCGGACATTCATTAGTACATTCTCAAACTTTGAGTCATGAAAGAAGTGTACAACATTAATTCTATTATCAGATGGCCACTGAAGTTTCTGATTTGCATAACCATCTTCACGTGTAAAATGTACTAACCAAATATCATTCACAGATAGTTTTTCAGCATACTCAAGCACCCTTTCGGAGTGTTCATTGAGTTCTTTTTCTGTTGCAGTGGCTAAAAGCTCAAGAACAGTTTTTTGATGCTCAGTTATAATTACTATATTGCTGCTATATTTGTATTTACCTTCTTTGTCACCATAACTTTTTACCAGATGCCGTCCAGTAACCTCATAACCACTTTTCTTGATAAGCCAATTAACTAGGATCCTGTTCAGCTCTGTACTATAAACACTTTCTCGGGGAGCACACATATTTTTTTGACTTCCTGTATACAAATTATTTGCAAAATTAACTGCATTAGAAATGATGTCTTTGTCAAAGAACTGGATGGCTGTCTGTAAAATGTTGAGAATATCCAGGGATTCGTCATCATCATCTTTTTGAGGAACTGCACTTTCCGGAGAAGACTTGTACACATTAGGAATAACTTGTCGCTGAATCAGCCCATCTACAAAAGCAGATGACATCTTAAACTCGGATAAATAATTTTTACCCTCAATTAGCACACCCTCATCTACCAAGAATTCTAGTTTTTCTCCTTCATCAGAGAAGATCCTCACATTATCAAAAAATCCCAGGAATCTAGTTCGAAGAAGATCAATGGCAGGCTTGGCATTCGTTTTATTAAGCATTTCGATCATTTTTCTGTAGGTAGCATGATCAAGTATATCCTTCTGCAATGAATTAATGGAAAAGGTAAACCAGCTTGAAAAAGTAAGCACATTATCTTTGCCAATTTTCTCAAGTAATTTATTCTGGATAAAATGTCCGAAAAGGCAGACAAGGCCAGCATGCCTGTAAAATAACAGAATTATAAGAAAAATAAATATGAGATTTTGATTTCACGTGACTCATCAGCACATACCCGCTTGTCTGTTTATATATATCCTTGATGACCTCCGGATCAATGGTAAAGTCATAGTCTGTTGCAAACTTTCTATATAAGTCCTGCACTTGATTAAATGTGAAATTTGGATTCTGGAATGTCTCGCTAAAACTAAAGGGTGATGTCACCATTGTTATAGGATTTAAATCTAGAATCCTGGAGGAGGTGCCAATGGCAATAATAGATCCGATAGCATAATTATATCTTGAGTTTCTAATGCAACGAAAATTTGCTAGACACGAGATTTTAACATCATCATTCGCTTCACACATTTTATCAAAATCATCAATGATGATAACAACGTTACTATTCCAATTTCTTTTCATAAATACAAGATGAAAATAGTCAGAAGATATTATTTTCATATCATCAACCGATTCAAAAACACTGGCAGATTTGAAATCGATGTGAGTACAAGCATATTGCTCGATACAAGAGCCTAATGTCATCCAGAAACTTTCCTCAGTTTCTATATTAACTTGCTTAAGACTTACACTATTCCAAAGAAAAAAAAAAAAAGAAATAGAGGCAACAGTTAAGACTGTATGCAATGTGACCAGTTAGCTTAAAAGAGAATTAGAACTTACTAAATGCAAATAAAACCTTCATTCTCCAACAGTTTCCTAATTTGTTGCGCCCGTGTAGTTTTTCCAGAAGCCCGTGCACCATACAATGCAATATTTTCATGCCTCCATATCGATTCAAGAATTGCATCATTTCCCTCCGGTTCAACATAATAGAATATATCCCGTTCATGTTGTAGAATTGCACTATTAACTGCCCATTTTCTTTTCCTTGCACTTGTAACTGCAGAGAAAATTTGTAAGAATGATGAAATGAAATATATAACCAAATATGATACAAGTTTCTATTACTTCTTGTTCGAGAGGTAAAACATTAGGAGACACTTTACCAGTAGCAGCGGGCACTTGTACGATGATGTGAATGTTAATTGTATTCTTCAAATGTGGAAAATAGAACTCAAACTTTCTGTTAGGATTCAACATCTCACCACTAAGTTTAACTTCAATATCTTTTTCAGTAGAAACATCTTTAAGTTTGTATTCATTGTCTTCACTGATATCAACTTTCCAAAGATTCAAGCTATCAGGATCCTTAATCTGAAATGCGTCTTTTTTCTCATTCCAGATATGCGTTTTAAGGTGTGAAATTTTTAAATTGCTACTGTCGATTATTTCACCATCAACAATGTTTTTATTGCCAATGTCAACAGAGAAAACATTTTTAAAAGAAGTTTCGCCTAGAACCAAACAATTTAACGACATAATTATTTTGCATATATTTCTGTAATAAATTGAGAATAGTAAGAGAGAAAGAAAAGGTTAAAAAAAGTTTTGAGAAAGTTTGAGGGTAATATATACTCGTTGATCAGTGATTTATTGTGATTAAGATTAATTTATCAGTATGAATTACTGTTACGCAATTTTTTGGTCGTATGATGTAAGGCCTAAGCCCATGATAAATTATGTTGCCACCTTAGTCTTAACGTTAGTAACAACAAATAATACAATGATATGCTTGGTTTAGCATAATTAAATATATCTAAAATAAAATTATTCCCTGCGTAACATAACTTTCTGTCACTTTCATATTCTGTCAACTTTGTAAATCATTTCTGTACTATCCTATTTCTGTAACATTCCGTTTACCCTTTTCTCTAGTTTAACGTCATTTCGGACGTTACATTTGTAACGTCTCACAATTTTAAATCACTAAAAATTTATACACTAATTCTAAATATAATACTGCGCCCCACAATTAATAAGTTCACTAGGTACTGTGAGACATCTCCCATAATTATAAATCAATTTTGATTGGTGCAATAATACCTTGCATTTTTTTTACAATCAAATTTTTATCATTAACCTTCGTAGATATAATAATTCAACATATTAATGGAAATCAAGATGGATACCAGGTCTCTAGAATATGAAACTCTGATTATTTTGTTAAAAAGAGCAAATTTTAAATATTTAATAAGTAAATTTATTTATTAATTAGTACGTAAAAAAATAATGTGATTTGCCATTAAAGCTTTAGTATATTAAAATATTAAAATCGATTCTATTATTTCTATAACCTAGATAGCTACTAGTCTATATAAATAAATATTTACACATTGATTTTTAATAAAATGCAAAAAAAAATTGTATGAATAAAATAAAGATAAATTTGCACTAATAAAAATAATATACTAATAAAAAATAATTTAACAGATTAGCCATTTAACTCCTTTCATATTGCTGGAATTTCTATGATCAAAGTTTCGTCTGTTTTAGGAATTGCTAACATGTCTCAATTGTCCCGATTGTCATTGGAACTAGTGTTTCGATAGATAAAGCCTCAAATATTTCACACGAGATTATGGATTTATAGCCGAAAAAAAAAAATATTATAAATCTTAGCTTTAAATGGACTATAATTTCTGCTGATATTAATATATTATTATTCCAAAATTTTGTATATATATATATATATATATAGACAAATTCTTTCTAGGAGACAGACATTTTTCAGTTGTAACACTTCGTAAATTGATCATCGGTGAAACTTACCCATGTGGCTTTAACCAAATTTTTTTGCGATTTACTTATTTTAGACGAATCATACAGTATCAGAATTAGATAACATTATAAATTGGTACGATACAGAATACATACTGTATATATCAGTGGAAAACGCAATATACTAATGCTCGACCGCATTAATCATTATACTCTATTTATTACTTGTACTGTATAATATTTATTTATAATATGTATGGCGTGACTGTTAAATCATCTTAATCGGAACGATATATTTGCTGGTAAAACAATATTCAAAATGTACGCTTGTTAATAGTCACATGAGTAGTCTATGAACTCGGTTCACATCAAGAATCAGCCTTAATCATTACTAATGGATTCTTCTTCGTTTATATCACTGTTTCTTGGCTGATTAATTATTCAATAAAAATATTAACAATCAAACTTAATTGTACTTTTTATGTGAAACGAATCTGACAAATTATGTTGTTAATACCGATTGTAACTACACCTTAATTCTCCCATGTTAATTGTCATTTTTTCAATTACAAGATCACAAACGGTTTCCATATTAATGTGTGTTTTCTGTGATTAATTTAGTATCCAAAAGTATTTTTTTACGAATTCTTTATAACCATTAAAAGACTTGCCATAAAAATGTGCTTGTGTTTAGAGGATGAACATTTCAAAAGATTTTTCTACTAGTTCCCTCGGGTTCTTGATCCGGAATCCATCACTTCCACATTTAACACCTATCCCTGAACGTCTTGCCACCTAGAATCCTTCTATAACTGGAGAGACGCCATTAAGTTTCTCCCTATTCAGAATATTACATGAATATCTGGTTGGATGTATTTCTTTAATTCCTCAAGTCTTGCAGATAAAATTTTATTCAAGACACGATATCCAGGGTACAATATTTCAAATGAAAATTGGCCTCCACCCCATCTTCCTCTATCTATTTTCATCAGTACACGCCTTTTAGATCCAAACCTTCACTTGATAACTGATTCACAAATGCTTTCACTTTCAATGATTGACTCAATATTTTTGAGTTTTCATCATCTGACGGGTTCCACATCTCACAACAGTGATCCCATGAAAAACATTTTGATGACTTCTTTATAAGAAAGAAACGGACAACACGAATTATACTTGGAGAATACAGTATGTATTCAAAGATTTTTTCTTAAAATGTATAAATATCAAATTTATTGCAAGATTTTGAAATAAATTAGTAAGGAAAAAATACATGCGAAATAATGATCCTCTGAATACAAAAACGAAATACCCACCCGCATCTTATTATATTCACGCTATTTTATCCTACCTTTGATGTTAAGATATTAAGAAAAGTTTTGTTTCGAATTTTGTTTACATCTTATTTTTCATAAATCATTTTTGATCATGTATCACCTAAAATCAAAAATATATGTGCAAACGAGTTAATCGTCAGATTATTCATATCTATATTCGGCTTACATTGATATTCTAGATAGAATAAAAATGATACTTACACGGACATGCAGTGACAAAAATAAATGTTTCCAAAATGGATATTAGTAAGTCGCTTCCTGCACAGCTTCCACTCAACACATAATCGGATAGCGACCACAAAATTACTTATGCAATATTCATTTGAATATATTTGAATATTTGAATAGTATAATGCTATATTGCGATAAATATATCATCAGATGATAACTGACACGAGTATAATGGGGTGATCGGCTATAAATTTTGCCACTGACGCGCCAAAATTTGAAAAATACATTTTAATATTACCCATTTATCTTACACTGAGGCAAAACCCGTATATGATGCTATAAGCTATATCACGGTCAAATCATTCCCAAGTATGTAACACTTATTATGATACCTCTATTATCTGTAATATCTGTAAATCTGTGTCATTATATCTAATGACTGAAAAAGATTAATTACATCATGTAGCTATAGTAAATATAGCAATATCTGTTCTTTACCAGTATTAATTTACTTTTTTTTTAATTTAATAATGTGACTATAAACTCAGCCAATGACTTGGAACATAGTCCTAAATAAGAGATAATTTTTTTTTATGATAGGATAGTCATTTGATAATTTTTTTTTAATATGATTCATTTGCTAGTTTATATGATAACTGAAGGTCATATGAAAAAATAAATACTACAAATATATTGTCCGAATTTTGTTACAACAAAAAAAAAAGTCATATCACATTTGAGATAATCATTTTTTTTTTCGTAGCACATTTCTTTCGCATAAATTTTTTACTGATAAATTGATTTTTTTTGAAGTACCTATATCATCATAATCATATTACAGTACGAATCAATTGATGTGACAAATGTGACTCATCTTTATAAGTACCATAAGAATTTTTCTAATCTATAATACAATAATACAATAACTAAATATTATGCTGATATGCTGATGATAAAACTGAAGATAATAAATAATTTTTATAAAATCAATAAACCATTTGTAAATTTCCTATAATTTCTGTTAAAATAGATATTATTCAAATAATATATTAATTACACTTCTAACCAATATGTAATATGTAGTTGTATAAATGAATACATCAGTGCTACTTGTTTATAGGGGGTAAATAATATTGACTATATTATTAATTATTTTACTAGCTAATTTTTATTGTAACAAATGTGACTCATATATACATGATCTTTATTTTTTTTTTTACAAGTTACTGATCAAAGTCTATTTTATAATTAGTGACTATGTAATACAAAAATGGTTTTAAAAGTATATATATACCCTTAAACTTCCTCAAGGAAAAAATCAAAAAATCAAATTTATCAATCAATCCAAAATTTCAATTCAATTATTATTTTTCAAATATCAAAATTTCAATTCTTCAAAATGTCATATCAATTGTGCCCAAATATTGTCAACACCATTTTCAGTGAAATTCCTATCAACAAATGTTACCATCATCCTCAAGTTATTGAAACCTTTCAATCTTTACCATTACTTACCGTATTATTTTACATTCTTTTTATCATTCTACTTATACATACCAATTTTCTCACAAATATAATTGTCCTAATTTTTATCTCATTGAAATTTATAACTACTTTCATTCTCAAATATCTCCCCTCTCTTCCTTTACTCTCTAATATATTTTGCTCATTTAAAAATTTATTACTATCTATATTATTATCGATCCTTTTTTATATACTATCTATATTATTATCTATTCTTCTTAATTTTCTTTGTCTTTTTAATTTTATAATTCATATACTCTGCTTTTTTTATTCTTTACTTTATAAAATAATCTATTTATTAAATATTATTATTCTTTTAATTTCCCAATAATTTAGTCAATTAAATAATCTTATATTACGTAGCTAGGTCCATTGCTTACCAAATATAGCATGGGGACGTAATCTTTACCCTTTGGTTAACTCAGGATCACTTGGCCATTCTTAGATAGATAATTTTTACAAGGGGATCGTTTGCATCGCCCATGAAGCATTGCACTGCGCTGATTGGTGTCAGAGAGATTCTTTGTCTTGTAAAAATTTACCCTTTCTTGATCATTTGACCATTCTTAGATAGATAAATTTTATAAGGGGATCATTTGCATCGCCCATGAAGCATTGCACCACGCTAATTGGTGTCAGAGAGATCCTTTGTCTTGTAAAATTTACCTTTCTTGATCATTTGATCTATCTCATGTGATTTTCTTCTTCACATGTGATACCCTTTATTCATTCCTTTGTTGGGTTCTTTCCTTAATAACTTATCAACTCAACATTATCCATCACCGTTGGTTCCACAATTTCTGTGTCCAAGTTCAATTCTTGGAGGTGATTTTCTTATTAATTAGTTAATCTTCCTTTTTTTCAGTTTTCCATTCCAAATATTCTTAATCAGGTAAGTTTAATCAATTATTTGTTTATCTTTTAGTAAATCTCCTTGAAAATTCGCCATGCAATTCTGAGGTGAAATAATTTTGGATTTGTTGCAAAATTTCCGAGCAAATAATATTCTTATCGTATATTTGATTTTCATTTTTTCATATTAATCTAAATATGAAACTGCATCAAATTTCGCGAATATGACAAAACAACTGACTGTGCCAATTAGTGTTTTTATCCATAGTAATTTTATCCTGTTTTTATTCACGAAAAAGTAAATAAGTGTCAGTTCTGGATATCCTATTTTTTATAGAGGAAATATTTAGTACGATGTTTCTTGAACAGGAAAAGAATCGCATTTCTTAAAGAGTACCTAAAGGGTATTGTATAATAATCACTGTTCGTGTAATTACATAGTCAGGTAATCATAGGAAAGGACTTTTCGAACATCGTAGTCTTTATTATGAGTTATCAATTAACGAAGCTATAGAGAATCCACTCAAAGACTAATATTTAAAATATTAAGTGGATCATCTTACAAGAATTTGGCAGTTGCTAAATTAAACCGATTTTGAATAGTGCCATTTTAAATATATACTGTATAATATAATCATGCCCTATATCATTACATTTTCTTGAGATATTGAAATGAAGATTGAACAGTTAATCATCGTCACAATGCATAATTATGACATTAATTTTTACTTTCAAACATAATTGTGAGAATTATGTGAAAAGTTTTAAAAACTTTCATGCGAAAATACGACATATATAATGGGGTCTCGAATGTTCTGAGATCTCCAAATTTAAATCATAATTTAATTTTGGAAAGATCTGCAAATTTATTATTTTACTAAACAAGGCAAAATTTTATGATCATCGACGTTCGTGTTACACAGTTTACAGCCAAAAGATATAAAATAGGTCGTTCATATCAATATTTTATTATTGTCACAGAACAATACAAAAAAAAAAAAAAAAAAAAAAAAAAAAAAAAAAAAAAAAAAATGATTTTTCTAAATAATTCCTTAATTTATGTCATATTTGGAATTTTACTTCAATTATTATTAGTAGTTAAAGTTTATTCTCAAATACTAACTATTAAACCAGATTTAAGATATGACCATACCGCTACATTAATTAGGGATGGATTATATATTATAGGTGGAGCTACTCCTGATGGAAAAACACCAAATTACCCATTTTTATTTCTTGATGTTTCTATTCCTTTTGATACAAAACAATTAAAATGGCATGATTTATCAAATTTGTCAAACAATGATATTGTTCCATCACATCAATTTGCTGCTGCTATTAAAGGTGGAGCAGATAATAACACATTATTTTTATATGGTGGTATGAATTTAGACAACAATCCAATGTCTCTAGTTTACACATTAAACAATTTATCATGGGATACTCCTAAAATAAATGGTACACCACCAAATGGAAAATTATTTATAACCCCTGTAATTGATTATAATGGATTAATATATTTATTTGGTGGTTACTCGACTGAAAACATTTATACAAATGATATGTTTATCTTAGATTCAATAAATTTAAGTTGGAAAAATGTTAGTTCAATAAATGCGCCTAGTCCAAGAATTGAGTATAGTGCCGTGTTTTTACCAAATAAAAAAATTATCTATATGGGTATGTATTATTTTTTAACAAAATATCAATTAATTAACTATATTTAATATATATATATATTATAGGTGGTCAGTTTAATAATACAACTCTTCCACTAAGTGAGGTAAGTATTATGAAATATAAAATATGATCTTCATATTTGTTTAGATATTAATGATATTTTTTTATATGAAGGTATATTTATACGATACAGTAAATGATATTTGGACTACACAGGTAACATTTTTTGTTATATATATTATGTATAAATAAATAAATAAATAAATATTTATTTATTTATTTAATTTAATCACATATAATGCATGAATTCAATATTTTAGATGACTGGTGGATCAATACCTTCTGCAAGGTTTGCATTTTCAAGTGTTCTCGGTAAATAATTATTTATGTTTAATAAAATAATAAACAGTAATTTTAATTAAATTTTAAAATATTTTAAAATTGACAGGATTGGATGGTCAAAGAATAATTATTTTTGGAGGAATGAATTCCACTCACATTATAAGTGAAGCACTATATGTTTTAGATTTAAATAATTATAATTGGTATATACCAAGTTTTTTCGAACAACAATTAAATGCCCGTGCTGAGCATAAAACAGTATTAATTGATAAATATATGGTTATAACTTTTGGTAATTATAATGTTTGTTATTAAATCACACACATATATATATTTATAAAGAATAGTTTATTAATTATATTTTTATAAAGGTCAAGGTTATACACGAGATGATAGTGATAGTGATATATTATTGCTTGATATTAGTAATAATGATCAATATGCTTGGACAACTAGCTTTGATCCTACACCAACTATTATACATTCTAGTAATATAGGAGTTGTAATTGGTGTAGTTTTCGGATCTACATTTGTTGCTATTTTATTATTAATTGGAAGTTATTATTTGCGTAAATGGTATAAAAATAAAAAAGAACAAACTGATACAATAACAACTCCCGAAGAAGAACATCCTCGAGAAATTTTACGAATTCCAGGTGAAAAAAATACTCAAGATCAAAATCAACAGCCAACATCAACCTCTCAAATTCTTCAAATTTCGGGAAATACTTCAAATTCATTACAAAATAATGAAATGATACAAGAAGTAAGAGATGAAAATAAAGGAATACCAACTTCCGGAGAAGACCATCGAGAAGATCACCCTTAAAATAATTAATTTTGCAAATTCTATTCGATATCAAAGTCAACTAGCAACACCAACTTTTTAAATTCTTCAAATTTTAGGAAATACTCATAACAATAATTAAGTACAATATCTCAATATAATAAAATTTGTATTGTGTAATTATTCTTTTTTGTATTTTACATCATAGATTTATATATAATTAAAAGTTATTGACTTATTATACTTTGGGAATATACAAAAAAAATATCATTTAATGATAAAATATCTGACAGATATTATATTATATACCAGATGATTTGTTCCATAATAAATTTGCGTTGCTGAATAAATTATTTAAGTTATAATAAAATTATACTTGATCTATTAATTTGTTCTATAAATATATAGCAATCAAAAGAAATTAATATACTGCTGTATATGATTTAATTAACAGCCGCATATTGTGTAATTACAGATTATAATTTGCTATTTAATCTCCGACTGGCACGTGACGATGTACAATACGGTTTCCCAATCCATATAATTACTCATATTTGATATCAGTCATAGTTACGCGAAAAAAATTACTCATGCAATTAAATACGATTTTTTTTTTCTTATCTACTTATTTTTAGGTCTTCTTTATCTTCTTTTTTTTAGGTCTTCTCTCTATCTAGGTCTTCTCCTTATTCTTAGGCCCTCTTTTCTTTACGTCTTCCTCTAGGTATGTAGGTTGTGTGTGCTTATGTGTGGGTTTGTGTGTGGGTGGTGTGTATTTCCTTGCTCTTTCCCTTCCCCTCTCGATTTCCCTCTTCCCTCTCGTTTCCCCTTCCCCTCTCGTTTTCCCCTTTCCCTCTCGTTTTCCCCTTTCCCTCTCGTTTTCCCCTTTCCCTCTCGTTTTCCCCTTTCCCTCTCGTTTTCCCCTTTCCCTCTCGTTTTCCCCTTTCCCCCCTTTCCCCCCTGATCAATGTTGCTGCACCTCAACGTGGTGATCAGGTGACAACAAGTTTTAAAAGACTTGGCTAAGTCAGCAACAAATAGTAATTACATATTACATAAGTCATAAATCGAATTGTTCACTTTATATTGTTTTCATATAAACATGACTAAATAAATAATTTGATATATCTAATTTTTTAAGGCTATTTGATTTTGAATTATTGTGCAAAATTAGACTAGCACGTTAAAGAAAATTTTAACATTCAAATTTAAACAATGATTTTCTATATGTTTTAAAAAATCCTTTCAATCATATTCCTTTTTTTGTAACACTGATAATTTGCTAATCAATCTTTTTTGTTTAATGTTGTAATAAAAAAAGATCCTGAGTAAATAAACGTTAATGGTTACCGTTTTCCTAGTTATAATCACTTTTATGAAATCAAATAAACAAATAATTTTTTTCTGTAACCTTTTACAGTTATTTTATTTTAATTTTTTTAGTAACATATCTGATATGATTATTACTTAAAAACATTATTTAAAAGACATTTTAAATAATACACAAATATAAATCACTAAATTTTCAAGCAGAACAGCAACCATTATTGGACATATATATGGTCCACTAACTGTCACAGATCCTCCGCAGGTTGGATGTACGTTGTAATGCCGAGACTTACCTAGTGAATTTATTAATTGTGGGGCGCAGCATTATATTTAGAATTAGTGTATAAATTTATTTGTTGTAAAATTAGCGTCCGAGATGACGTTAAACTAGAAGATATTGGGTTTTGGTCCGAAATGACGTTAAACTAGGGAATATGAAATGTGACAGGGGATTTACGAAAAGTATAAATTATTTAGGAATGTTACAGAAATGGGAGGATATATTATGAATATGACAGAAATAAATAACAGAAATATATTATGAAAGTGACAGATTACTATGTTACATGGGGATCTACAGTGTTATAAAAAGGGGTAGATTTCGACTGAGTGAAAAAAAAAGAAAAAGAGTTACGAATTTTAGATTTTAATTTTGGGAATTTTATTTTAGATATATTTAGTTATGATATTATCGTATTTATTTATATTACTAATAAAATATTATTTTGTTAAGACTAAGGTGGCAACGTGATTTATCACGGTCTTAGGTCTTACAACGTTCATGGACGTCCCGGATAGTGAGTCACATTAAAAATTTATTTGTCCGGTATATACAGTATATATATGAAGAATTGAGCCTAAAACCTAAATACTAAAACTTATAATTAATATCAGATATACGAATTTTTGATTTATTTATATTAAAAATATGCAAGTTATATTTAACAAAACACAAGATTATATGAATAATAAATTTTTATCAAAAGTTTTCCGTCTAAAAAATCTGATCAACCATTTGAAATACCCCAAAACTATATAAAATTTATAATCAAAGAAGAAAACCACTATTTTAATGTTTTAAATAAAAATATTTATAATTTTTATTGATATCAAAAAAAAAAAGTAATTTCTCCAATTTGGATAAAAAAGAACTTTGTCTATAAAAAGCTAATGTGTTCTTTTTTTAGATTGGTTACTTTCTTATATGTGTTGAAAAATTAATTTTTTGCTTAAAAAAAAAAATACATGAAATTTATTTGTAAATAAAAATTTACATAATTATTTAAATTTCCCATATATTCTTTTTAGATCTATTAAATAGCATGTTTTACGCTTATCGTTATGATCATGAAATAGCTTGGATTAATTTAATTTTTTGAGCAAACAAATTGAATCGAGTCAAAAGATTCTTATACATCCATATTTCCTTGTCAATACATTTGCAACAAGTCAATAAAATAATCGTCACTTGGGTTTCCCAATTACGGTTCACTGCAATTCGAATAATGTGACTTTGCATATGCCGAATCAGATATTATGATAAAGCAAAATCTTTAATAGAAGTAGCATTTTGATAAGACGGAATGATTGTAATAAATAAAAATATCAATTTATCCTAAATGTGAATCAATAATTATTATCACGTTAGTTATTATTAATTTTTTTTAAGAAAGAAACCTTATTTTATAAGGACTATCATTGAACATAGAAGCATTAACACATTATACTTTCTCATCTTCCCTTTCAAATTCATTACTTTGAATTATCATCGGTTTGTGAGTGTAAAAAAAATATTACTTTAAATAAATGAGAACAAACAAAATTTCAGCTTATGAAACTAAAAAAATAAATTGAATAAATGTATTCTCTAAAGAATAACTTGATGTTCTATATATATTTAAACATCCTTCTTTGACGGCAAACTCATTCAGTAATCTTGCTTTAATAGTGGCTTTATGTTAAAACATAACAAAAACCATCATTTGATGTTCTTCCATAATAAGACCTGAGACCAAAAAATAATAATTACAAAACTATGTTAAATGTTAAATGTATTAATTTATTAATTACAAACCGATTGAGATTGCTATGCAAAAACTATAAAAAAGATGATTTAATAATATATGAATACTCTAAAATCGAGCTATATCAACATAATTAGGCAATGACCTATGATACGAATCATTTTTTTTACTTTGATTCAATATGGATGAATCCATAAAAATTGTATACAAGTTAATAATCAAATGTACAAACAGAAAATTAATCACTGTTATGACAAGTACGTGTTGTTCCAATAGCGGCGACTGAATACGAGTGGCGAATAGAACATAAATTTTATATTATCATGGCAAGTTGTAGTAAAATAATTTTCTTGATTATAAACCACAATGACATAATGCACACATTTTTGATTCTCATTAAACAAAAGCATTTATTAATTATAAAACTATTCCATCAAAATGAGATACAAAGTAATTGAATTGGATTTAAAATCAGTTATATAGGACAATTATATTCTAAGAGGGCAATTATTTACACTCCTTTTTTTGCGTAAGATCAGATTCAGATGATTTTTTATCCAAAAGAGCATCTAAACAGTTAACTAGATCCGTTGTATCATAACGTGCTTCTTTTGGCGTTCCAACAAGTTTCAAAATACCATCTTTAATTACAAAGAATCGGAATGGCCAAGGTGAATATAAATTCAAGAATGTGTTATCCATTGTATCTGCTAGTACAGGAATCTCAAGTTGAGTAGCTTTAACCATTTTACGTGCAGCTGTCAACCGTTCTTCTAATGTACGGTGTTCCTTAACTTCTACAATATTACCAATAGGCCAAACATCACTGGCGTGTGCTTCACGAATTTGAATCATATAAAAGTCTACATTTTCATTATATAGACTATAAATATCATTGAGCACATGAGATATGTATCGATATAATGGACAAGTATATGATCCTGCAAGTAGAACAAAGGGTCGTCCCGGTTTGTAAAGTGAATGTAGTTGAATAATAGTTTTATCATTCGTTAGGGGAACTAGTGGACAATCAGGTGCCAGCATTCCTTCTTTGAGATTTCCACGAGAAACAATATTATTGCGAACATATACTTGAGTCGTATGAAATGCAGGGTCGTCTAAAAATAAAGCAAGCATCAAATATACAAATACAATGATAGCAAAAAAGAAAAACTTCTTTTTTTAACCTTGGTAAAGTTGCGGGGCACGTCGTAATAATTGTACAGCTTCATCCGAGTAACCAAATTCTCGAACCAAATTATGTTGCATTTGATCTGTAACATCCATCCAGTCCTTTCCAGATGTGGGATCACTTCCAACCTTGTAATATTGTTGTTGTATTTCTGATGAAAACCTTCGCTTTTCTTCTTCTTGTAGCAAGGTTAACATTTCTTCCTTTTTTGTTGGAAGTATTGGTAAGATGGTAACAGGGTTAACGGGAATATCTTTTGGAAAATCATTTTGATTTTCTGGGTCCAATATTTCCGAAAAATTATGCTGTTCATTATGAACCAACTTGGATATTTTGATGCACTCATAACATAAGTCATAATCAAGACATTCTGAACACTTATATCTGTGAGAAACAAACCGACACAGAAGAGACAAAATAAATATTTATATGCCCATAAAAAATTAATTAAATTAATTATTTACCTTGCTCCTTTCCATTCACTTTTGCCACAATAATTACAAGCAATACCAGCATGAACCTTATCATGTAAATATCTTCCAGGAACTTGCATATATTGCATAAGTGGTGGTAATGCATTGAAATCTATACGCCCACTGGTTTCTTGAAACATTCCTCCTCGTAAATTAAGTACGAGATGTAATGTTCTTTCACTCGGTGCATCAACTGCAACTTGGGGAAAAAGGTTCTCGCATACTGACAAAATAATGTTTTTTCCGGTTAATGTTTTCACATGAATCAGAGAATTACTCTTAGATATAATTAGCTTCAATGTTGCCTCTTCTTCAATTTTACAACATTTCAAGGTACTACTACTACGCAGTTGATATTCATAAGAAAAAAGACGCTGTTTATATCTAGGAATACCTTCACGTTCCTGAATCATTTGTTTAACTTCATTGATAGTATTCTTCTCAGTTACATAAAGTACTATGACTTTCCCATCTTGCATTTTCACATTAAGTTTAAATGAAGCTATAGCTAGCTCAAATGTTGACTCATTTTGAATATTACAACTCTTCAAGGTGCTAGAATCATGCAATTGTTCTCCACAAAAAAGAAGACATTGTTTATAAACAGGAATACGCGTACGTTGCCAAACCATTTGTTTAACATCATGGATAGTGTCATCTTCATTTAGATAGAGTTTTACAACTCTTCCATCTTTCTTCTTCACATAAAGTTTAAATGAAGCTATAGCTAGCTCCAATGTTGACCCTTTTTGAATATCACAAAGTTTCAAGATCATAAAATCATGCAATTGCTTTCCATCAAAAAGAAGTCGTTGTTTATAAACAGGGATATTTACATGTTTGTGAACCATTTGTTTGACCATAGAGATAGCTACTTTTCCAGTCACATGAAGTTCTATAATTTTTCTATCTTGCGTTTTCACATAAAGTTTAAATGGAATTTGAACTGCTCGGATATAGTCTCTTTCCTAAGAATAAAAAGAACGATTCACTAACGTTGTACAAGTACAACTTCTCTTCCCTTTATCTATCACCAATAATTACATAAATATTTCATATAAATCCTCACCTTTAATCCTAGATTTTTAAGAGTATCAGTATTTTGTAAGTCTTGTCCGTTGTATAAAAGTTTATAGTCGTGTAGTTCATCTTTAATGTGAGCTTTAAAGCATTTCAGCAATAGCTCTACGGTAGTATCCATTGTTACATTAGCTTTATACGAACGATACAGATTGAGCTCTTCAATAATGCGAATGGAAAAAATTGGAGGGGGATTCGGCATTGAAATCAAATACATTTTTTTTGTAAATTTATTTTAATTCAAGACGCTGTTGCTCCTTCAAAAGAATACTCAAAGGTGTCGCCGTACTATAAATCCGTAAAAAATTATTTTATAGACGTGCTGTACAATACAGAGTATAATACATATTTAATTATTTATATCGGCTGATGTTTTATTGATTATAAATAAGGTTAGTGTACATATATAGTACAATGAAAAATCCATATTTAGTTTAATAATTTACTAGACATGTGAATTTCACTCATGTTTTGAAATGATATTTCTTCACTCTTTTCTAATATATAATTTTACTAATTTGCTGTTAAAAAACTGGCGAGTATTAATGATACAAACGATATTCGTGATAAAAATAATCAATAAATCATATTATGTGTAAACAGCTTAAGATTTAATAAATACCTTTTTTTTAACTTTTTTATGAATATTAATTGACTATTTGAGAGATTTACTTGTGTGAAAAAAATAATTTCTCACACTTGATAATACAGGTAAAGTTAATTGACAGACAATCCAACTACTAACAATCATTTATGTAAAGATTTCATCAGAGCAGGTCGTGATCTGATGAGACATATTAGTTAATTCTTCAGTGTTTCTAAAAAATGTATAAGCATCATGCTTTTCTTTTTCGTTTTTATTTATTCGGACCGTAGTCCTTACTCCACTATTGCCATTAACCCATCTTAAAAAAAAAAGATCTTGAGAGATATGCGCTAAAAATTTTCTCATTTTAATCCAGTACAGAACCAGATTGGAACGATTGCAGGATCGGAAAAAGCAGGGGTACATAGATTTGATGGTTGGTTACTACGTATGTGTGACAATGTGACATGCATGTTAAAAAAAATATAACGTCGATAAAATACAAAGTCAAAAACATTACAATAAGTTTAATAAAAGTATATTCAAAAGATATTTATCATAATAAAAATATTTGTAATATATTTTAAAAAAGATTTGGTCTAAACATTTTAAGTTGTTATATAAATTTTTATATGGTTTTTTATGATATCTGACAAGAGCGACAAGTTTCGTAAATTATAAAGTTAATTATTTACTAATGGTATCAATCGAAAATAATTTATCAAAAAGGAAATTTGATCAATTAATGTATAAATTAATCTTTTGGTCAAAATATTTTTTCTAACTTTTACTTTTAAATTTCATTAACAAAGCAATGTTAAAAGTAGAAATTATTAATTTGAGTTTACAGTACTAACTATTCATACGTTGTTTGGGATAACCACAATATACCGTAAAGTCCCGAATATAAGCAACCTTTTTTATTATAGGGGTGCTTATATTCGGGTAAATTTATATATTTGGTATATTGTAGTATTGGCCAAAATTATCATAGTGTTGGTCAAGGGCGGGTAATATAAAAATCTGGGTGCTTATATATATTCGGTGGTGCTTATATTCGGGACTTTATGGTACATACCACAAGATATCACCATACATGTCAATTCAGTCTTTTTACTTCTTTGAAGTGAGCATTTCACGAATATCCACATCTTAAGGTAGGTTTAGATCGCTTCGAGCTTCCAATGAAAAGATGACTTGTAAAGTTATCAGGAGATGCAGACTTGCATACTTTGCTATTAATAATTCTGATATTATATTACAATGCCTGAAAAATGAGATAGTATTATTCGTAATTGACAACATCTAAAGATCCTCAGCTCATCCCAGGAGATTGAGAACAGCTTCAAATTTCTTTAACGTCGTGCCAGTCGCTGGCTTCATTATATCAACTAACTGCTAGCTTTAGTGTTTACTCTATGTCAGGAAAGCCAAAAGTTTCAAGAAACCAACTTATAAATGGCGCTTTTGAGATTTTTTGATGTTGTCTTTTAAGCGGGCAAGCCAGTGATCAAGGTCAGTAGCGAACATATGTTTGAGAATTATTGGAAAAGTAATAGTTGAGAAAATCTACTGAGACGTAAAATAAGATTGTTTTTTTTAACTTTTTTTTTTTTTTTGGTAGGTAAAGCGCAAAGTGCATATTTATTTATTAAAGAAAAACCAGTACAGAGTGCCAATTTACAGATATAAGATCTATAGTAAAAAAACTATCTGATAACAAATCTTGTAAAAACCTTAGTAAAGAATTAAACACGTAAAACCTTACCAACGGTAACCAAAGTTAAAGTAAAATAATAACAGAAAACAAACAAAACTCCGCTGTTTAAAAACAGTAGAAACAACAAGAACGGTTGTACACGCTAAAACTAACGCCGTATTTTTCTTTCAAGAAAACTCTTGCCTCATGTAAATACTGTAAGATGAGGAATGATCCACCCTATTTTCAAGTTGTTTTAAAAAAATAATAAAAAATTATAATTTCTACGTTATGATATTACTATTAGAATAATTAAGCCTCCAAATAAAACGAAAAACTCTTCAATAAATCCACCATACGGCTCATTAAATGTAAGGTGTGGTAATGAAACCTTTTTAAGCACTAGATCAATACTTAAGATTTCTTCTTGACTTCGCCTTGATCTTCTTTGGCGATACATCTTCTTCTGAGATCACTTTATTTGATGGGACATAGTTGTATAAGGTCGGGTACTTTATGATATTCCTATAGTTAATATGATGAACAAGCTTTTCTACAAATTCTCCTTGTTCTGTCAAATATTTCATTTGACAACAAATTTCTTCATCATCAAAATTCTTATTACTTTCTTTCCCATCGTTTGTTACATTCTGAAATCACGTGACGTTTAGTTCTATTACGCCATTTTTGCTGTTTCCTTAGCGTCTCACCTAATTTAATTTAAAAACTCTGAACTTGAATGCTTTTTATTTTCCCGTGTACATTCAGACTTGTTTAAGTTCCAATTTTCGATTGGTACACTCTACGAACAATAAGTTCAATATTTTCAAAATTCGATCAATTCATTCAATTAAGTTGTATAGATCATATGCATTAGGTTGTGATCTTTGAATTAGTTTGTCAAGATTCGAATCACCACTAGTCTAATATGCAAAGTTATAAAGGAAAAATGTTGAGTTGCACGACTTGCAATAATATTTGCATTTTCCACATTCTTGACATTGTTCATTATTCAAATTACACTATTGGGAAATTCGACATTAATTTAAATTCGAAAATCAATTACAGTGAAGGATTAAAATTTTTTTTTGTTAAAAAAACTTTATCAGAAAGATTTACAGAACATTACACGTTTATGATGTAGATTATAAATGTAATACTTCACCTTACACAAAAGAAAAACTGATACCAAAAAAATCTGGAAAATAACCTATTGATATTGCAATAAATAATAATAAAAAAAATTCTGAATTGAACAAGTTTAATTCTTAAATTTCGTAGTCTTTATAGTGAATCTTATAAATTAATTATTTATTAACTATTAAATCATTATTAATCTAATTAAGTTTGTAAAAAAAAAGGAAAAATATTTTATTTATTGAAACAATAATAAATAATAATAACGATAAATATTAAAAAAGTACGTTAATAGATTTTTATATTTAATAAACTTATTTATTTTCATTATCATCTTCCTCATCTTCAATATAAACTTCTTCATATACATTATCATCTTCCTCAATACCTGCTTCATTTTCATCTGCATATAATACCTTTAAAGCTTTAACAAACTTGGGAAGTTTATATAATTCACCAATACTTACCTGCATTAAATCAAAACTAATTCCAACTCTACCATGATCATCGGTAAATACTGGTACTTTTGGATACCTTTGACTAAAATGAGTTAATAATAAGGTATGTGCATTCATCCTATTGTTTTTTTTAAAAAAAAATTTTTAAGATTGTTAATAATTTATTAAGTAAAAAATTAATATATATATTAAATATATAACACACCTTTCGCCTACTGAAACGGCTTCTTCCGTTGTACTATGATTTTTACTTAAGGCTTGCTCTGTCAAATCATTCTCAAAGGTTGCCTCGTGAATTAAAAGCGTAGCGTCCTTACCAACACGCACAAGATCATCACAAGGTCGAGTATCACCAGAATAACTAATAAAAGATTATTAGTATTAATTAATTAAAATGATTCATTTTTTTTTTAAAAAAAAACGCGTTGAATTTTCTTTTCATAAACTTACACAATTTTCCAGCCATCAGAATGTTCTATGCTTATACCAAAAGAATTAGGACAATGAATTACTGCCACAGTCTCAACTTTATTAATTCTCATTGAGTTCTTCAAATATTGTAGGCTATATTCGTATTATTTTAGAAATTGTATAAATTAATTTTTAATTACGTTTAATGGATCTCTTTCAATAACTTTCAGTCTCTTTCATAATAATAAACTTACCTATCTAAACTAGTATTATTCCCTTTTTGTTGCTTCCAAAATAAAAGGTCTTTATTATCTATAAATTTAACTTTAGAAAATCCAATATCCTCAACATCACTATATTCGTCAAGCCATTTCCGTAATCTCGAGGGTCCAAATACGGAAATTGTTGCATCATCCACACCCTTATATATCTATTATCTTGCAAAAAGGTTAGGTTTTGAGAAAGTAAAAAAATTTGAAATAAAATCTTATAATATTAAATTTTTTTTTTTTTTAAAAAAAAAAAATAAAATCAATCAACCGTTTACCTCATTCCATTTCTTCAAAACGCGAACTATGCCAAGATGGTGATCTGCGTGCATATGCGATATAAAAATACATTTCAAACTGCTTATGCAACTTTCTAAACTTGTTTGGTCATTACCATGAGGTTGATCATATGGTCCAAAGTGTCTTGACATTGAACCAAGTGTTCCTTCCCCAACATCGAGAAGAATAAATCCATTATTTGGAATTTTAATCAAGGTTGCACTCACTAATCGTAAAAATTTGTGATATAAATAAATAATTGCTTTTATTGTAAATAATAATAAAGAATTTACCATTTCGATACTTCGAAGGGAAAGTTGATCCTGTTCCAAGTGTTGTGATAATAACGTCTTTACCGGGGATATTTTTTGCTTCTGAATGCGATCTCGCAACTTCCTGCTTAACTTCTTCCGCAATGTTAAGATAATCATCTGATGACTCTAATAATTTATCAGATTCTATATTATGATCAAATACAGGTCCTAACTGGGACATATCAAGTTTAAAGCTTGGTTCTGTTTGATATATCATCATTGGAACAGCGAATGATGCCTTCTTAGGAATGTTATCCACTACATTAAAAAAAAAAACAAAAAATTAGAACTTGAGATTCTGTACTATTAAAATTAAGAAGATAAAAATACAAACATGATTTCAATTGTTTGATTGGTTCATTAGAATAATACGGAATGCGAAAATGGTTTTCATCAATTTTAGACAATTTTAACTGACTAAGCGCCGAACTGTAAAAAATAATTCGTTGAGGACAATATTTCTCATTTGCAATGATATGCTAATAATAAATAAATGAAACATTATGTTAAATTATGTGACTAAAATTTAATATAATTACACATAATTTAATATTATATCACTCTCACCTCAGTTTCTGGACCAAATTTGTTCATCCATTCCTGATATCTTTTATCTTCTAATACACCGTTTCCAACCATATGAATAATAACTCGAGGTTGTGTATCCTTATTACTTATCTGATATGTAACAAATTCAGGTGACTCACACACTGAAGAAATATACGAAGTAGAAGGAACATCCAATATAATAAAAGTCTAAATATATAAAATATTTAATTTAATTAATCTATAAAATTTAGCAATATTAATTTGATTATTACCATTCCAGGACGTGATGGACCCATAACTTGATGCGGATGGATGACAGTACCGTCTGGGGCTGTAACAGAATTTCCTCGCACCAAATCAGCTGTATAAAATCAAATAAGTTAGCGAAAATGATAATTGTTATTAAAAAGAATTTTAAATTATTAGATAAATATCCTACCATATTGGGGTCCAGGTTCCAACCCTAATGCTTTTGCAGCAAGTGGATCAAACTTTCCTTTGTAATCAGGTCCTTTACAAATATAAGCTACTGATGTAAAAGAATGTTGGGATTTCGGTAATCTTTTTGGAAACACTTCTTTTCTTCTCTCACGTAACGAGGCTTTATTATCCCCACGATTTGGTGAAGACTTTCCACTATTTGATTTTTTCGACGTTTGCATCATTTGATTATCCTGAGGTTCATCAGAAATATTCATTGCTGTGTCAATATCTTCATCATACTTTGATCTTTTCTTATTCGATGATTTAGGATCATTGGATAATTGACCTTGATTAAACATCAATGATAGAATTTCCTTTTTGTATTTTAACGTAGAATTACTATTAATTTCATCCAAAGTGGAATCTCTTGTACGTTTTGTACCAGTTTCAAGATTTTGTGTTGAAGATGACGAAGAAGTAATATTTTTTTGCCATTCTGGATAAAGAAATACTGGAAGAATTGTTAAATTTTCATCTTTAAATTCCATTCCATCTTCTTGAAATTCATGTGTTTCTACTGACATGGTCGATCTAAGCAAACGACAAAAAAAAATAAATCGTTATATCGAAAAAAATAAATACTAAATTTTTTTTTTCTGTAATTACCTCATAACGAAACCTCTGGTAGCTGTAAGGAAATGAGTTAAATTTTCGCCACCAAAAATTTTTATATCTTTTGTTCCAGTATCAGCCAATGTAAGAAGCATTCCTAATTAATTTAAAAGATGATTAATTTTTTTTTGTGTAAAATATATATATATATATACATTTTTAAAAACTTTAAAAAAACATTAAATAGAATTAAAATTATAAAAAAAAATTTTTTTTTTAAATACCAGGAAGACCTCCAACACATTCCCAATTCACTCTAGTAAGAAAAATATTTTTTGTCTTTACGAGTCTTAATTTATTTTGTAAACAAATTCTTTGTGTTCCTTCACCACAATTAAATAAATATCTTTTACAACCTTTTTGATTATCATAATGAACTAATACTGAAGGATTAACATCAAAAGTTCCACTACCAAGTATTTGAATATAAGATTTCATGAGTAATGATGATGTATTAGTAAAATTTCTTTGGTCATAAATAAATTTATTTAATAAGGGTCTTGACTTTAGGATAAGTCGACCAGCTACGAAAGTCTTAAAGGAATACAATTTTTTTTTTTTTCTTAAAAACAAAAATCATAAATTATTTTGGTTTTTTTTTGTTTACAATAATTTAAATAATTTAATAAATTTATTATCGAGGAAAAAGATTTGAAAATTTTTTTTTATATTTAATTTGTCGTTACACAAATACTTTACATCTAATTTTAGCATTTTGTGTCATTCTGAGGAAAATTTAATCGAAAAAAGTTTTTAATTTTAATAACAGATAAATAACTAATATAAATAAAATTATGAAGCATCACTAAAATCATCATCCTCCTCATACCAAGCTCTAGATTTTCTAATACTTCTCGAAGATAATATAGTAGGATCGTCAATAATAATATCTTTTGTATCTTTATCAATATGAATAATTTTTTTTCATTAGATAATTCTTCTAAAGTTAAACCTTTTGTTTCAGGTATTAATAAAGTAAATAAAAATCCAATAAAAGTGAAAAAACCAAAAAATTTAAATAAATGATTAACGGATTGATTTTTTCCTCCAATATCTTTTAATTTTAAAAATACGAATTGAAAAATTATAGACCTAATTTACCAGAAGCAGCAGAAATTCCATGACAAGTTGAACGATATCTTGTTGGAAAAACTTCACCTGGTACGATAAAAGTGGTTTTGCATTTGGACCAAAATTTTGAAAAAATTGGAATTGGTTTTGTAATAATTTCTTTATAACCAAACCCATAATTATAAATATTATTGTAAGTAAAGCGAAACCTTGTAATTGAATATATTTTCTACCTAAAGAATCTACTAAAAATACTGTAAACCAATAACCTGGTATTGTACCCATAAGAGTTATAACAATATTTCCAAAAGAAATATTAAATAAAGATTGATAAGCATCATCAGTTTTTACATAACCTATAGCTTCTAATATTATAGCATTATTTAAACCAATACCATAATAAGCAAAATCATGAGCGAACCAAGTAACAGAAGTTCCAAGTAAAACTTTTCCATTTTCCCATTGTCCAAAATGATGTATGAAATCTTTCCAAGTAGCTTTTTGTATTACGATTCTATATTCTGATTCAATTTCACCTTTTTCAACATTTCCTTGAACATCTATAGTAAATCTTGGAGTTTCAGGAATTGTTAAACGAAAATAAAGTGCGATTGTAGGGAATAATACCGACACCAATAAAGATACGCCAAACATAATCAAGATTTTGTGAATTTGATAAAATTAACGGTCGAAAAGCTAATAAAGTAACAAAAGATACAACTCCAGCGAATAAAATTCCAAATCCTTGCATTGCAAAAACGGACGCCATCATCGCTCCACGCCTTTTTTTTACTCGCAAATTCACTTGTTATAACTTAATGTTTTAGAATTCATATTATTGATAAGTACGTTTATGAGAATTGAATAATTTAAAACGAGAAGAAAATGTGAAGATCTAATCATTTCGTTGTCTCAGCAATTTATTATTTTTTATTTGTATCTTGTTTTGGCAACTTTGCAGCCTTATTTATTTTTGTATGATCATATTTCAGCATGAATTACAGTAGTAGAATTATTCTAAAAAAAAAAAATAAATAAATAAAAAAGTAAGATACAGTATATTAAAAAAATTAAAGATGTCAAAAAGGTTACACTTTGCAATTTTGTATTGTCTGAACGCAGATTTTGTGTTATAAGTTTCACCGGATTTTACTAATTATATTTTATCATAAATTAGGGGTTAAATGCTTTTATCGCTATTTTTAAGGATTAATAGTATTTTTTGTTCGGAACCTTTATCCGAAATAAAAATTCAAAGAAAATTCCCTAGCGTAGATAAGTGCGTTGCGTTATTATATTGTTTTTACATCCACCTTAATTCCAATGGCGGCTGGATACGTGCAGATATAAATTTTATATTATCAAATAAAGCAGAGTTGCAGTAAAAATTAAATTTTCTCGATTATAAACCACAATGACGCAATGGATGTAGATGTATGCGACAAAAGTGATAAACACGTTTTTTGATTCATTAAACAACGCAATCAAATTTAAGCAAAATAATTTGTATTTATTAATTATAAAATATTCCATCAAAATGAGATATGAAGTAATTAAACGGCATTTTAATTATGCTCTAGTAAGAAGATAATGATTTACACCCTTCTTTTTTTACGCGATGGAGAATCAGGATCAGATTCAGATGATTTTTTCATTCAAAAGAGCATCTAAGCAGTTAACTAGATCCGTTGTATCATAACGTGCTTCTTTTGGCGTTCCAACAAGTTTCAAAATACCATCTTTAATTACAAAGAATCGGAATGGCCAAGGTGAATATAAATTCAAGAATGTGTTATCCATTGTATCCGCTAGTACAGGAATCTCAAGTTGAGTAGCTTCAACCATTGTACGTGCAGCTGTCAACCGCTCTTCTAACGTACGATGTTCCTTAACTTCTACAATATTACCAATAGGCCAAACGTCACTGGCGTGTGCTTCACGAATTTGAATCATATAAAAGTCTACATCGTTCTTATATAGACTATAAATATCATTGAGCACATGAGATATGTATCGATATAATGGACAGGTATATGATCCTGCAAGAAGAACAAAGGGTCGTTCTGGTCGATAAAGTGAACGCAATTGAATAATAGTTTTATCGTTCATTAGGGGAACTAGTGGACAGTCAGGTGCCAGCATTCCTTCTTTGAGATTTCCACGAGAAGCAATATTATTGCGAACATATACTTGAGTTGTACGAAATGCAGGATCGACTGAAAATAAAGCAAGCAATAAGAACATCAAATTTACAAATGCAATAGCAAAAAAAAGAACACCTCCTTTTTTTTACCTTGGTAAAGTTGCGGAGCACGTCGTAATAATTGTACAGCTTCATCCGAGTAACCAAATTCTCGAACCAAATTATGTTGCATTTGATCTGTAACATCCATCCAGTCCTTTCCAGATGTGGGGTCACTTCCAACCTTATAATATTGTTGTTGTATTTCTGATGAAAACCTTCGCTTTTCTTCTTCTTGTAGCAAGGTTAGCATTTCTTCCTTTTTTGTTGGAAGTATTGGTAAGATGGTAACAGGGTTAACGGGAATATCTTTTGGAAAATCATCTGGATTTTCTGGATCCAATATTTCCGAAAAATTATGCTGTTCGTCATGAAGCAACTTGGATATTTTGATGCACTCATAACACAAGTCATAATCAAGACATTCTGAACACTTATATCTGTGAGAAACAAACCGACACAAAAAGAGTCAAAATAAATATTTATAATGTCCATAAAAAATTGATTAAACTACAGTAATTATTTACCTTGCTCCTTTCCATTCACTTTTGCCACAATAATTACAGGCAATACCAGCATGAACCTTGTCATGTAAATATCTTCCAGGAACTTGCATATATTGCATAAGTGATGGTAATGCATTGAAATCTATACGTCCACTAGTTTCTTGAAGCATACCTCCACGCAATCTAAGTACGAGATGTAACGTTGGAATATCTTTTACATCTTTTCGAGGGAAAAGGTTTTTACATACTGACAAAACAATGTTTTTTCCGGTTAACGTTCTTACATGGATCAGAGAACTACTTTCAGCTAGAATTAACTCCAATGTTGTCTCTTCTAGGATATTAAAATATTTCAAGGTACAAGAACCACGCAATTGGTTTCTATCAAAAATAAGACGTTGTTTATAACTAGGAATACCTTCAGATTCCTGAATTATTTGTTTAACCTCATAGATAGTGTTTTCTTCGTTTACAGAAAGTTCTATGATTTTTCCATCTGGAGTTTTCACATTAAGTTTAAATGGAACCATAGCTAGCTCCAATGTTGACTCATTTTGAATATTATAACTTTTCAAGGTGCTAGAATCATGCAATTGTTCTCCGCAAAAAAGAAGGCATTGTTTATAAACAGGAAGTTCAATTTTAAACATACTTTTATATTTCTGAATCATTTGTTTAACATCATGGATAGTGTCATTTTCATTTACATAAAGTTTTATAACTTCTCCATTTTTTTTTCTTACATTAAGTTCAATCGGTATTAGAATTAGTTCCAATGTTGACTCTTTTTGAATATTATAATATTTCAAGGTGCTAGAATCTTCCAATTCTTTTCCACAAAAAAAAAGCCGCTGTTTATCAACAGGAATGCCTTCACATTTGCTAATCGTTGATTTAATAATATAGATACTTCTATTATTATATCCAGGTACATGAAGTTCTATAACTTTTCCATCTTGCATTTTCACATAAAGTTTTAGTGGAATTAGAGCTGCTCGAATATAGCTTCCTTCCTAAGAATGAAAAAAAAATACTTACTAACGTGCATGCGTACTTCTTTTTTCCCTCCTATTTATCATTAATAATTTCATAAATACTCGTATAAACACCCACCTTTAATCCTAGATTTTTAAGAGTATCAGTATTTTGTAAGTCTTGTCCGGCATAATTAAGTTTGTAATTAAAAACATCTTTAACATGAGCTTGAAAGCATTTCAGCAATAGCTCTACTGTAGTATCCGTTGTTACGTTTGCTTTATATATGTAATACAAACTGGAAGCTTCAATGCGAATAGAAAAAACTGGAGGAAGATTCGGCACTGAAATCAAATACATTTTTTTCGTAAAATAATTTTAATTCAAGGTGCTAGTTTTCCTTCGAAAAAACGCTCAAAGGTAAAAGTTTAACTTAATGTATAGACAGATGTACAATATAGATGATTATATCAGCTGATGTTTGTTGATTCTTTATTGGTGTGTACAGTACAATGAATGATTCCATATTTAGTTTCTAGTATGAGAGTTTCACCAACATTTTTTTTTTTGCATTCAACGAGTGATATTTTCTTCACTTGAATCTATTGTATAATTTTATTAATGTCGAAAAACACGGGAAATCCAAATTTTGGACAAACCTTTTTTTATTGGCTCACTTTACATGTGTACAAAATTAGCTTAATAAAAATTTCCCTTTCAACTGATGCAGAGACATTCGCTTAAAATAATGTGTATCGTATACTGTAAATCATGTTATGTGTAAATTAACTTGTGAATTAGATTTAAAATAAAATAGTATTCTTTTTTAAATACCCCTCTTTATCGAAATGTATTGCAATATTGCGAATCATGACTATGAGTGATTAAAAAATAATTTCTCGCAACGCTTAGCACCATCGCCTATTAGCTCAAAGATAAAATCTTGAAGGAATATGCACAAAAATTTTTCATTTAAATCCAGATTCAAGCGCTTAATACCGCATAGTTCCGAAATTAAGCACCCTTTTTTGTGCAATTACATCATGTATTTAGTTGATTTAATTAGTGAAGGGTGCAATATTTATCATATTGGACCAACTAGTGTATCAGTTGAAGAAAATATATTGAAGCTATTAGGAAATAAAAAACAGTATTATTATGGTTATTTTGGTCGAAAGATATAATTGAAACAATACAATAATGGTTTTTTTTACATTTTATTAATAAAATTCACTATATGATATTTGATGTTAGGGTGGTTTTCCTTAGACTAGTAAATAATTAACGTTGGATCGACTGAACAATGGAAAAATCACATAATGATAAAGTCAGGGGATTAATTTGCTTATTTTTTTTTTTTAACTATTTGAGGTTAGGTGTTAATTTTGCGTATTGACCTTATAAAAAACCCTGCGTAGAGAAAAATTTTAATGTCTCCTGACGCTCTAGTTTATCGTTACCAATATCATAACCGAAATGTAATTATAGGTTTATTCGTATGTACATCTTAGACTTTAAAGTGTTACCTTTTTAAAAATACCCTGGAATCCATGGTGATTGATTATCATACTTAAAAGAATTTCGAATACTGAAGGCGAAATATTAGATTAAATGTAGGAAAATAAACGATAGTTAGGAAAGGATCTTAATTTATCTCGTCATTTTCATCGCAAGAAACAATCCAGTGATTATCAATAATTTTGTTGATGCAATGTACAACGACTATTTTGATTTATCGCCCAAAATGTAAAAGATAAAACCAAATACAATCCAGGTTATTAGGAAAAGAATCTGTTTTGTACTTGATACTGTATAAACGTAATATGAACAGAATATCTCACATAGTTCTTTGTGGACGCACTGGAGATGGCAAGTCTTCTATTGCTAACATGTTGGTTCAAGGAGACATTTATCGAGACAGAGAAAACTTATTCAACATTGGTAATGCTGCGATAGGAGAAACTAGAGAACTTACTTATGCACGCGATGTAAGATTCGGAGTATTCGATTTGGTAGGGTTAGGCGAATTACCTTCTGGAGGTGTCCCACATGATGTAGCATTGTAGCCATCAAAAATATAAGAAATCATTTTTCAACGAATGGGCTTTCATTACACTATATATGTTATGTTAAAAGGAGCAGAATTACCAAATAAGATATTCGTTTGTTCGGTATATTTAAAAAGATCTTTAAGGAGTGAGAGAAAAATTTCGTTATCATTGTCACCCATACTGGACCGAGTTGGACTGATGATGAGAAGAATGTGGATGAAACAAAGAGAAATTTTGGAGATTATCCAGTTATTTCAGTCGATTTTCCCAGTAACATTGATGAAGATTACGCTGAGATTGATCGAAAAAAAAGGGCAACCAATTTGCAACATTTACTAGCCAAATTGTCAGAATTAAATTATAGCGGTAATAATCCAGAGGTTCTCAGCTCATCTCACGTGATTGAGAATAGCTTATCAAATATCATTAACGCCGTGCCAGTTGCCGGTTCATTATATCAACTGACTGCTTCCGGTGTTTATCTTATGTCGGGAAAGCCAAATGTTGCAAAAAAACGATTTATGAATGGAGCCTTCGGGATTTTTCTTGATGTTGTCTCTTTTGGGGCGGGTAAGCCAATTATAATTGTAGCAAGCATAAGCCTGAGAGTTACTGGAGATGTATTAGTTGAAAAATCTACAAAAACTTAAGATTTTTTTTTTCTTTTTTTTTTTTTTTTATAAGAATTAAAATCATGTAAGGAGAGAAGAAAAATCTGTTATTTATGTGAATATCAAGTTGTCCCGATAATTTATTATTTCTTATTTGTATGTTGTTTTGGCAACTTTTCAACCTTATTTTTAATTTATCAGATGTTATATTTATTTATGTATATATATATAGTGTCCAACATGACAGAAATTATTACCGTGTTCCTGAAAAAAAAATTTATTAAAAAATTTTTTTTTTTAAAAAAAAAAGAAAATTTCACGAAACTTATTAAATCACATGTTTATCTTAAGAACTAGCTTGTAATATGCAGATAATCATTATTTGATATCACATATATTTTTGCATTTTCAGAAGACCCAGAGAACCCAGAGAGGAGTATCTCAAATATTGGGGACCATACTTTACAAAAGATGTATTATCGGCCTGAAGGTTAATATCAAACTGTTAAAGAATGTAAAAGGGTCACTCTTGCAGAGGTTGAAGATTAGCTAAACAAACAGGCCTTAGATTTTCAAGCCTCTTTTGAAGTTTAATCAAGTGAAAAAGTGCAGTGATCACTTGATCGGAAGTTTTATTTTTTATACTTGAAGATATCAAGAAAATTCTCCACTGACATATTAATTAGTTAGCCAAAAATTATTGGCGAGTTAAGGATCAATAGCATGAACAATAAGCTAAAAACATTGAATTACAGATAAAATGCTTTACTTTATTTTATTATTAAATATCATAATTAATAAATCTTGTAAAAAATTTCGCTATTATTAATAATACACCGTGAGGAGTTAGAAACCCGTTTCAGGGCCCCCTGCTGAAATTTGGTTATGTATTTCGGTTCCACACTGCAACTTACATATAAATAAAGATAATTGGAACGTAAGCGGCAATAATTTCAAGAAGAAAATTATTACCATAGTTAAAAAATTGGAAACCCAAAGGGATTCATTTCACGAATCTGGAAGAAACGAACTTATATGTGGAGACTGATAAGTTATTGGCCAAATCGGCCAAACATAATGTTAATCAAATGGCCAAATATCTATTTCATTTTCACACTTGATTCATTAGAAGTTTAGAACAGTAAAAATTGTTTTATAAAACTATTTTATTAAAATGTCTCAATTTTGGTGATTTTATTGAAGTATTAATAGAGAAAGCAATTTTACTGAAGATATTTCAGATTAACTGTAATTTTATAATTTTCAGAATAAATAAATAAAACATAAATTTGAATAATTTAATATTGAAAGATAAATTACTATATGGTCAAAATTTATTGGAGATTTGGCGGCTAAAACTTATTAAAAAGTTTGGCCGTTTTGGCAGCCAAATTGGCCAAATGGCCAATGGCTAACCCCTGGCAAACCGCAAACCGGCCAAGTGCCAACAATGACTGTGATGCTATATATTCTGTTTCGAACATTTTAAACATACCATTACAAATATGCAGTATAAAATCATAAAAATACTATACTACAGCATTGGGAAGCTGTGGATTTCACGTCATTGACGAAGTAACACTTAAGAATTATCATTTTATCGTAGTAATAATAAAATTTATTGATAACGATATATGCTCATAACTGGGAGAAATAACCAACAATAAAATGCAGTGATTTGATGTACGTACTGATGAAAGTGAGACTGACATATTGTTCTCGATGTTATGAAACATATCCTTTAATAGATACGTCATAATCTTCACATCTTGGTAGATATTATATTTTTTCATATGTAATGAAATATTCTCGAAAATATTTTGCTGCGGATTGCGTATTACAAATAATGTACTACGTGAGCCAACTGAGCCATACATGAACAGGTCAGTCGGGTCACTGTCTCGTTGTTTCGAAAAAATTTTGCTGCAGAATTATATATGATCTCGGGTAACGATCTCGCTGTTGGACACTTTTCAATGTATATTGTGTCCATGGTAGAACAAAAATACGAACATGATCGCCTTATCTCTTCAAAGGTAATTAATGTCAAGCTTTTTAACACCATCATCACATTCTTTGTATTCTATAGATAAATCTAAAATTTCAAAAACAATGATTTGCGTTAATTTTTCCAATATATGAAAAAATCACATCAAAAATGCTTACTAGATGTTGGAGGATTAATATCAAGTTCGCTAATACTATCATCGTGTTCTTTTGTAGATGAATCTAAAATTTCAACCCCAATGATTTGCGTTAGTTTTTCCAACATACGAAAAAATAATGTCAAAAATGCTTACTAGATGTTGGAGGATTGGTAGTTCAGTAGCAGAGTCGATGGGAATAGTACTTCTTCCATTGTTGGTCTTAGCAGTGGATCTTGTAGCCAACATTCCTGGTAAAGACTTACATATTTTCTTGGCGTGGCATCTCACGTCCGTCATAAGTATAACTGTGTAACAGTATTTCTATGGTGGTACTGTGTGATTCTCGGGATGGGATACTCAATAGATACAATACAGAAAATTAAACTAACTATCGAATTCTCCAGGTACATGAAGTTCTATAACTTCTCCATCCTGCATTCTCACATAAAGTTTAACCGATACTAGAATTAGCTCCAATGTTGCTCTTTTTGAATATTATAATCCACCAAGGTGCGTGAATCATCCAATTGTTTTCCACAAAAAAAAGGCGTTGTTTACGAATGGGAATATCTTCACAATCCTTAATCATTGATTTAATAGTATAGATACTTCTATCGGAATTTATAGGTACGTGAAGTTCTATAACTTTTCCATTCTACATTTTCACATAAAGTTTAAATGGAATTCGAACTGCTTGGATATAGTCTCCTTCCTAAGAATGAAAAAGAATAACTTAATACGTTGCATTTGTTCCCATCTATCTACAATTAATAAAATACTCTACCTTTAATCCTAGATTTTTAAGAGTATCAGTACTTTGTAAGTCTTGTCCGGCACAATTAAACTTGTAGTCAAAAACATCTTTAACATGGGCTTGAAAGCATTTCAGCAATAGCTCTATGGTAGTATCCACTGTTACATTCGCTTTATACAAGAAATACAAACTGGAAGCTTCAATGTGAACAGAAAATACTGGAGGGAGATTCGGTACTGAAATCAAATACATTTTTTTAAAAAATTATTTTAATTCAAGACGCTGTTGTTCCTTCAAAAAAATGCTGCCGTAGTTTATTGATTCTTTATATAATATTGTATGCACAGTACAATTAAAAACTAACCTTAAATCCATATTTAGTTTAATAATATCCTGGTATATGCGTTCATTTAATTTACTCTCTTTATTTCGTGATGCTCTTTTCCTAATGTACAGTATATTAAACTAATAATATCCATGACATGTTGTAAACAGCTTAAGTGAAAATAAATAAGAGCATCCTTTTTTCAATTACCTCTTTTATAATGCGCATATTTTATGATGTAATATTGCGTGTTATCTTATGATTATCTGAGTGACTTGTGCGACAAAAATAATGACCCCGAGAATATTTCTTTTCGCTCGCAATAATAGCATTTATCATCATTAAGAATATTCCGGAGCTAGCTATGAATTATTTCCGACCGAACTACTGTATTTCCGACCGAAGCGCGATATATAACGCTTACCGGGTTTTAGTAATAAGCAGTTGAGCGACAAAGCATATAAACACGCATAAGCTTCAGTGTTTTTGTAAATGCCAAGTTCAATGCGTTAGAATGCGTTGCATATTTCTTCTGCTTTGACTTTAACATGAATGAGTTCAGAAGACGTGAATTGGAATTGCAAAGTATTTAAAAAAAGCAAAATAATTTTATGTTTAATGAGTTATATTAATAATTCTAATTTTTTATTGCCTGTTGGTCAACTTGAACATATTACTTTCACTTCTTTTATTTATCAAACAATAGAAAAAGAACTTTGGATAGAGGAGTGGATCATCAAGCATCTATAATTCAAGGCAACAAAGATTTCTATATCTCTCCCGAAGTGATCCAAGAAATTACTCATTGAACAGGATGAGCTTCCCTGAATAGTGAGTGACATTATATTAGTCCGCAATTAAGAGATACGTTTCTCTCGGACACGTGGAGAATGAATAGACTATAGTCTAATAATAGTGATTATAAGGTTGACCTCTTAAAATTTCAGGTGCCATAAATGGTTTTATTATATTTAAATATTTGAAGAACAAATTTATTTTTAATAAAATATTATGTTTACAAAAAAATTTTATAATTCGAATCTCTATTCTTATAATAAATACTTGTTTAAATTACATAATTAACAATATTGCTTTACTATTTTTATGTTTCTTTGTTCTGAAACGTAACAGAGAAACTTTCTACGTACAGACAATGTCCCGAGTGTAATGACTAATCAAATTTAATAATTATATAATAAATATAATTTAAAGATCGTTACCTTGTACTATTATACTATTATGCTGCTTTTCATGCTATTTTACCATTATTATTTTTGTTAGCAATTTAATTACACAAAAATTTTGGCAATTACAATGATTTGTTTTATCTGCATTTTGAATTGTTTTGATAAAATAATATCTGTAAATCTTTAATTCTCAAGTTAATCCTAATCTTAACTTCACATTTATAATTCAATTTTGCATATTGTATAAATTTAATTTTCATACATATTTATTTTTTATACTTAAATAAAACTTAATATTGATTATTAACAGTTAAATTATTTCTTGCTTCATTTTTTCTGTGCAGCAGAATCATTTTGCTTCATTTTTCTGTGCATTTTGTGCATTTTGTACAATTACTTCACTTATTGCTTCATTTTTTTCACTATTTAGTTGTGTAGTTGACGGAATTAAAAGAATTTCTTTATCATTATTACTATCTTTTTCTGATGGAATATGTAATATTTCATTATCATTATTATTATCTTTTTCTGATGAAATATGTAATATTTTATCATCTTTTATATTTTGAGAAGTTGATGGTTTTCCATCTTGTTTTTTTGTATGCTTTTTCCGTTTATAAAGAAAGAAACTTCCAAGTGTTACTGCAATACCAATTGTAGAACCTATAATTGCACCGATTATAATATTTGCTTTTTCGGAATCTGGTGATGGTAATATACTTGTACCTGGCGGAATTGGACTTGTTTTAGAAGTTGAATTATTTTTTCCCAAATCAAAAGATGTTTTCCAAATATATTCATTATCATTACTAATATCAAGCAGTAATATATCTTTATCAGTTTCTTGTGTATAACCTTTACCTTTAAAGATAAATATAATTCAAAAAAATATGTATTTTTTTTTACATTAGCATAAAAAACAATAAAAAAGTCAAACAAATTATATTTACTATATTTACCAAAAGTTATAACCATATAATTTTCAATTAACACTGATTTATGAAATGCACGAGTTGGTGGCATTTTCCCAACTTTTGGAATATACCAATTAAAATTACTTATATTTAAAACATAAAGTGAATTTTCCGGATTTATACTTTGTAAAAGGGTTGGGCCGTATCCACCATAAATAATTATTTTTTGATTATCTAAACCTATTAATATTATAAAAAAAAAAAGAATAATTTTAAAAATATTTCAGAAAAACAAATGTATAATAAAATAAATATTATAATAAATTTTTACTGAGAACACTTGAAATTGAATATCTTGCGGAAGGTATTGATCCATAAGTTTTCTAAAAAAAAAAAGATTAAAATATAAATTATTATTACATTAATAAAATTATGTAAGATAAGAACTTTTATTACCTGTGTAGTCCAAGTATCATTTATTGTATTATAAAGATATACCTTATAATAATAGTAATAAATCATAAATATAATTGATTTCTAAAATATATTATATATAAAGATCAATTTTACCTCATTGAGTGCGAACACTCCAACATTTTCATTATAACCACCTAATAAAATAAAATAACAAAATATGTTATTTCTATATATGAAAGAATTCTATAATAATTATTACATACCAATATAAATAATATTTTTATTTGGTAAAAACACGGCACCATACTCAACTCTTGGACTAGGTGCATTTATTGAGCTAACATTTTTCCAACTTAAATTTATTGAATCTAAGATAAACATATCATTTGTATAAATATTAAGTTCCTTTGAATGACCACCAAATAAATAAATCAATCCATTATAGTCAATTACAGAAGTTATAGATACTTTTCCATTTGGTGGTATACCGGTTACCGTTGGAGTCAACAATATATTATTTTGAGTATCAAATGTATAAACCAAATTATTTAAACTTTCATTATTTAAACCTATGCCACCATATAGAAATAAGGTTTTGTTATTTGCACCTCCTTTGGTAGCTGCGGCATACTTAAATGGTGGAATGTTATTGATATTTGTCAAGTCATGCCATTTTAATTCATTGGTATCAAAAGAATCAGAAACATTAAGATAAAAGAATGTTGGAGATGGTGGATATTTGCCATCTCCTGCTCCGCCAATAATATATAATTTATTATCAATTAATGTAGCGGTATGACTGTTACGTAAATCTTGAGGTTTTACTTCAACTAATAATTGAAATAAAATTAAAAATATAATATAAATTAAAAAGTTGTTTAATAAACCCATTTTAAATTACTTTTTTTTTTAAAAAAAAAAAAAGAGAGAAAGTTGTTCCGTATTGCAAAAAAAAATAGTTTATTTATTGTTTAGGATTCTAAATCAAATCATTAATTCAGTAATTTGGCATATAGACCTGCATAGAGATCTACAGAAAATCATACTATATTTATCTTATTATTAAATATTGTTAAGGGTTTACTAAATGCAGACTGATGAATTGAAAATGTTTCCTTTTTGATCAATTCATTTAAGAGAGTATAAAATCTATATATGGTACTAATAATTGTATTCCCAATAGAATGTTCTTTTTTTGTACAATACGTATCATAAATTTAAAAAGTTATTTAAAATTTTGGTAATAATAATATTTTTATTAATCATATTATCGTTAAGACTTTATACTAATGTTTTATGTACACAAAAAAGAATTTTTTTTTTGAGAATGGCAAGAACCAATTATGAATAATAATGATAAAATATTATCACCATATTTTGCTGCAACTACGATTTTGCCATCCTCCGAAAATGTAATTAACAAAAATAGGAATTCGTACTATTTCATTTAAAATAGCGGTTAAAATATATAACAACATTCAAAAAAATAACACTTAATTCTTTTAATTGTATTATAGGCTGTATGTTTATCTTTTCTCACAATAATTCTAATATATTTATGTTTGAAAAGCTAGTATATAACGAATTCTAGAACGGTAATAACTTTATTAGTTGTGCTATTTAGGATTATAAAAGATAATAATATCAAGGATCTTGATGCAATGCACAAAATATTAGCTTTATTATAAGAATTATTCTTCTTGATATAATGATTGATTACATTATTTATAATTTTGCATAAACTATTCAGTTATTATATAAAATATTTGTTTAAAATATAATACTTTAACATTCTTACTTATTTGAATAAGTTTGAATCAGTTTGATCCCATTGCTCTAAAAATCGCTTGCTGAATATCGTAAAGGTCGATGGCACTCCTGGTCTTTGAAGAGGGGATGAAGACTGAGGATGTAAAGGTACTGATGACAGTGGTTGAGAACAACCAGAAAAGATACAGTTGCAATCGATTGTTATCCACTTCATATGTGGACCGGTACAAAAATCACTTTCTCGTCCATTTGAATATACAGAACCAAATTCGATCTGACAATTGTAAAAATACACATCTTACCTCTTCGATCGCTTCAAATCTTGTTGTATTCGGATTTTGTTGAAGGGAAGCAATTTGGCAAAATTTCAAGCACTGCTAAGAATATAAAAGAACAGATTAAGTAGATGAAGAATGAATTATAATAATGACATCCTCACAACAATTCGGTAAAAATCAATGATCATTTACTTTATCAATCGCGTGCCGAAGTGTTTCTGATGAAGCAGCTTCGAGAATAATAGTTGGCCACGGGTTTCCCTAAAAAATCAATAAATTCACAATGAATTCATCTTCTTCATACCTAACAAATTAGTAATAATATTGACAAATCATGCAAACGTTTCTATCGCGTTCCCTGTAGGTATTAGACGGCTGGGTGTATAACATGCATCAGGCTCTTCATAATGGCCTGATTGAGAGTATAAACCTGGATGCAATAAAGTTAGTTTCAGAACAGTAAAATATGTGCACAAACTGAATACTTAAAAGAACTTACTTTTTGTTCCCCTCCCCAGTTTTCGATATCATTTTGTGACGAATTGACAGCATTCTTAAACCGTCAACTAAAAGAAGTATGTATTGTTTCGTGTTCACCGGTAGGTAACTCAATAAGAATTACAGTACCGTTTCGAAAGGAAAAAACCTTCTCGCCTTGATTTTATCAACACATCTTGCGAACTGCTTAAATTTTACATCTCTTTCTAAGATTAAAGACAGATAAATCAAACTTTAGCAAAAAGAAAATTTAATAAGTGAATTCTAATGTTTACATTTCTTCTTTATCATTTAGAGACCTAAAGAATCTTTACTACTCCACCACTCCTTCTCCTTTTCTTTAGCTTCGTTCTCCTTCACTTCTGTGTCTTCCATACAAGTATCTATGTTTGTGTCCAAATTACTAGGTTTTTTTCTTTCAGTAACAGGGGGGCTGTTTCTGACCGTTATTATTTATATTTTGCTTTATATTTATGACGTATTGGTCGTAACTATTACTCTTTTAAGTATTACTTCATCTATATGTGAATAGAATTCACAGATTCATAATGTTAGTACAGAGACTTTTTACATTATCACTCAATGCGTTTGTAGTATGATATTTAAAGCATCATCTACAGAACATGTCGGTAATTCTACATATAAGTTGGGATTCTTCAGATTCGTGAAGCGAATCCCTTCGGGTTTCCAATTATTTTATAATGCATAAAGAATTTTCTCTGAGGGAAAATGTTTTGCCTTCGATCACGTCAGTTAGTAGTTGATCGTTCCCTCAGGGAACGATTTTGCCGTCGATGGCATGGAGTTAGTTTATTTGGAGCAATCCTGCGAAATCACCAAGAAGCAATTGCAGTCCGGTTGACAATTTTGTACTATTCCTGATAGCTCAGCTATTTTGATTTTGCTTTATACAGGTTCGTAATATTGCTTAGTTCTCGTCCTTTTTTGTTTCAAAAAACTATCTTCGTAACTGATTATTTTTATTTTTTTAGAATGCTACATAATGTGAAATGTATATACGAAAGAAGACAATGTACCCGGTGAAGATTACGGCTATCTCCAATATACACTGAAACACTGTGGTATCTGGTGTCTTGTCAATGTGACAACCAATAATTTCCGAACAAATTACTTAAGAATTCTTCTTCAAGTACATGACGAATAATGTCTCACAGGTCATGATCTCACAGTTAGCTACTTTTTTTGCGTTCTAGTCACAGTTAGTTACAACCCTTTGAATCATAAAGTCATGAAACAAGCATAGCAGATTATTGGCATCAAAGCGTTTTCTGTCATGTTTATGAAAAAAGAATGAACCTTGTATGCCCAAATTCCATCGCTACCTTGACCACTCTTGTAGAACGTATTCTTTCTCGGAATAACTAGTTGAAAATAACAATGATAATTTAGTAGTCAGCTTTCACAGCAGGAGAAAATTTGTTGATGGTAAGACAAAATCACAAACTAGTTGAATAAAAATATTGTGAATTTTCTTTGGCGTGTGGCTTGATTGAATGTAGAATGTAAAAAAAGTATTTTATACAGTTATATGTTGTTAAGTGCGTCATAAAACTTGAAACTCATCTTGTTGAACCATTTGAGTTGACCAGTCCTCATGATTTTTCATGGTCATAACCGAATACTACATTAACTACAAAATAATATAACAATGATTATAAGCCGACGCATGGTAAATATTTGTTTAGTTACGCCAGTGCTACAATGTTGGAGAGTTTTTAGGCCGGAAAGTGGCAACACATAAGAACAATTTTTCATAATAGTGGGCCAGTACTTTTATTCTAATCAATTCGAATTTTTTTTTTTTCACAAAACTAGGATATGTAATTCATTTATGTAATAATACGAACAACTAATCCACATTTTATTGTTGGGACAAACGAAAAGAAATACGTTTTTAAAACAAAAAAAAAAAATAAAAATTAACCTTTTGTTGATACAATGAATAAAGCAGAAAAACTAATACAATGATTATTATTATAAATATTATTTGAACACTTAAAATTCTTTCATTATTTTTTTATTTTTTATAAATTCTATGAATTTTCGGTCGGCGTCAAAAACAAATCCTTTTTACTTCATTAGTTCATTTTTTATAACTTAATAATTTATTTAAAAAACGAACCATTTTGTACGGATCCCATTAGGAAAATCCTTGATTTTTAGGTTAATATCTGAAAAGTTCTTCCAATCCTCCTCTCCAACTTTCTTATTTATTATAGAATGATTAGCTTTTATATGTTCTACATCAATTATTCCTGATAATATTGGATCGTTTCCATCTAATTTAAAATCAGATAAATTATTTGCGATCGTTGAAATAATCTTAGGATAATCTTTTAATTATATTAATAATATTTTAAAGATAAGTTAGTTGATTGAAAATTGAAAAATTGAAATGACCTTTGAATATTGATGTAGAATTTCTTTATCCTTAAAGTCCATATCAACCCATCCATATTCTCTAATCTTTTCTGTAAGCAGGTATGATAGACCATGATTCAATTTATAATCTTTGATCGATTGGTCAAGTAAATCGAAATAAATATTAACAGAGATTTTTTCAGCCTGAATAAAATAAAACGACATGTAGTTAATATACAGTATATAACAATTTTGGTTTATTAACTAAATTATCTTTTCATTACAAATTTTTTTAAATTGAAATAAATTTTTAAGAAAGAATTACTAGCTAATTATAATTAAAATTCTGAACATTTTATTTTTTCAGTTTTCTTTTTGATTAATCAAAACCATTTTTGCAAAATAATCCTTTATTCAGTAATTCTTATGATTTATTAGAATTCTTTATTAATAGATGACTAATTATTTATATAAAATTTATAAATATTATCTTGCTATTTATTAATATTAAAAATATAATTTTAATATTATTTGAGTCTACTTGTATAAATAGCTTCTGAATGTATGATAATTCTAAACTAGTTGAAAGTACATTACTAGTTGATAATTTCTCATTGATTTTATCTACTTCTTTAATTTGTTCTTGTAATTCCTTCTGATCTCTAAATCTATCATGCCATGGATATAAAATTTTATAAATTTCACCTATTGTTGGTCGATTCAATGAATTTGCATCTAAGCATCTTTTAATTAAATGTACAATTAGTTGAGGTACTTTAATGTTAAACTTTGGTCTAAGTTCCTGACAAATTTCTATTGCTAAATTTTCATTATAGCTAATATCATGATATGAGAGTAATCCAGAAATTACTTCATACATAATTATACCAAAACTATAAAAATCAGAAGCTTTAGTATAATTTTGTTTTCTTAAAATTTCATTGCAAAGGCATCTCTGCACTTAAATTTGCTTCTTGTACAGCACTTTTATACAAATTAGCAAATAAAGTATTCTACAAATGATAAGACATATGAATATATTGGATTTAATTTTAATTAAAATCAAGCTATTTTCATGTCAATGCTTTTTTTGTTGCGTTTCCACCCATTTTCTATTCATGCTTGTGATACCTTAGTTACATCTATATTATTACAAGCCTCGGGTGGTTTTACCAATTCTTCAGCCTCTTTATCATATGCATTTATTGGTACCAATTTGCGAGTAATCTCATCAGCATAACAAAGATTTTCCTGATTAAAAAGATAATTCATTAAAGCTTCTTTCAAATTTTCTCCTCCGCGTATCATGCTATCGTCTATGCGAGACCAAAAATAAATAACACCATGATCTTCTAACAAAAAGACCCAATCACCACATGCAACATGAGGAGGAAATCAGTAATGCCATATGTTTCGGCGAAGAATTGAATCTCATAGTCAAACAAGACATCTTTATTTGTCTCATCACGATATGGTTCCTTATCCTTCAATAACCTAATGAGTGAGGCAAGATCATGGGTGTTCTGTGTTTCATGATCATTTTGCAATTCTCGCAACACGCTATCAGTTTTTGATTTTTTGTTATTATCGCACAAGTTTTGATTGGTAACTCGGGTATCTGTGACACTAGATGGAACCATGTATTCGTTTCGGCATAATTCCCGTACTGCCAGGGTGCTTGATTCTTTACCAAATTCCCATGATCGTCCCGAGGAAAGAGATGATGATTCTCTAAATCGACTTTCTCCCGAAACTTTATTATTTGATTTCTGGCATCCCTGTTTCCTATTACCGATGCTCCGAACGAGATCATCATGATTTCCCTGTCGTTCGATTTCCACGCCGCATTTAATACTGTCGGCCATGGTTGTATCTTCATGGGCATTGGCTCTAAAATCATTATCCACTTCGCTAACTGTTTAAATGTTGATACAGCCATTCCATCCCATGGAGTGGCAACTGGGATCATCGCTCCATCAATTTCCATTCTCAAAAATTCTGGTCTCCAACTTAGAATCCAATGTTCCTCTTCTTTCTCTTTCTCTTTCTTTTCTTTTATTTCTCTGGAATATCATACAAACATTTAATGCGATATTCTCTTAAAATACGGCATAATATTTAGGCCATACCTGTAAGGTAGTAGTATAAAATTTCCGATTCTCTGCTCGTTCTCGAAAGGGTCTCCAAGCTCCATAGCTAATACTTTTCAGATTATTTTTTGATCGAATATTATAGATGACATCTATGACATCATTGTGACTCATGATGAGATGTACGCATTACTAATTTTGAGCCAAATCCTGGTATAATATTATTCTCTGATACTGAGTATAACCTGTTGACCGTTTTTATTTTATCCAGCGACGTACTTTCGAACACCGCAGTAAGACGTCATCAGTATACTTCTCCGCAGCATATGACACACAGAATGTATCACGGGTCAAAACTCCCGAACTTAATGAGCAATAAGTCGAATTGCTTATTTAATAGGCCATATAAAAGTATATTATATAACAGCAAAGGTATTTTCTATAAATTACAGAATTCTTTTAAAACTATTAATATTACTAATATTTTAAGTTATTATAATCCTGTATGTAATCTATTTTTTTTCTTTAGTAGATTACAATTTTTAAATTTGCAATATTTCAGAGATGAATATTAAAATATAACTTAATTTTAATTGCAAATTATAATTGCTTATATACTTTTTACAAAAAAAATCAAAATAAAGTGTAAACCAATTATTTTTTTTAAAAAAAATTTGAAGTTTCATATTTAGTTTTAATTTGTTATTTGATTATATACATGAATTATTTTAAAAAAATATTACAATTTTTTTTTTTATATTTAATTATCCAAATAAGTCAGTCAAGTTTGCATTTTTAATATTTGTTTTTTTCCATGAAAGCCAGCACCAGATTTATCCAAAGCACTCAAAAACTTATTTTTTAAAGATTCATCACTTTCATTTTGATTTCCCCAAAGAACTTCTTCAAAAGCAATATCAGCCGGGCTTTCTTTTTTAAATTTCATTAATTTGATAACTTCATTTAACATTTCACCTTTTTCTTCTCTTGAATGAGTTTTGTTCCATTTTGACATCCAAAATCCTAAAAATTTAATATCTTTAAATATTAAATGTGATGCTGGAACAAAAAATGGCTGTCTTGACATAGCTCCGTATGTTACATGAGTTCCATTTTGGCTAAAAAAAAAGAATAAATCAATATAACAAATATATCAAGTAAATAAATAAAAAAAAAATATTACTATTACCCAAGAAATTTTGCCATTTCTGTTGCTACTTCTCCACCAACACAATTAAGTCCTAATTTGATAATATTACCACCTGTCCATTCCTTTATCAAACTTTTGGTTTTATAATTCCTTAACTCTTGATCAGTAATTATATGAGTTGCACCAAGTGATTTTAGATGCGTTTTTAAATTTTCAATATCAGGTCTAAAAGATGAGTTGAATCTTCACTAAATAGTTTTCTAATCGATATAAACATGTTTTTTATTACCTGTTTCGAACAATGTTAATTGTGTTTATGCCCCATGCTTTAGCAATCTGGATTACAGATTGACCAACGCTGCTGTTAGCCCCACATTGGATCATAAAATCACCTATTTTGATTCATAAAATTTATATTTATATAATATAAATAATCACATTAAAAAATAAGAAATTACCTTTTTTTAGCGTAACAAAATCCTTTAACATGCGATATGCGGTACAAGGATTTACTGATAAAGTTGCGGCTTGAATTAATCCAATTTCCTTATTATTAAAACGTATTACATCATTTGGAGTTGTTGCAGCATGTGTACGCCAAGTACCTATATTTAATTTAAAAAAATAAATATTTGCTCTTATATTTATTTAGTAATATACTAGATAAAAACTAAAAGATAATTACCGAATCCAGATCTTCCCATGATAACCCAATCACCAACATTTAAATCTTTAATTTGTTCTCCAACAGCGATTATTTCTGCTACACCTTCATTCCCTCCAACTGCTAATTCTTTATGTTCTCCATCGGGTAAAATACCTAATTCCTTAGTGAAAGTAGGTTTCGCTGGGTAGACACCTTCAATTTGATTAATATCAGCTGGATTAATAGGAGAAGCAAGAAAACGTATATGCAAAGTTGTGGGAGTTAAAGGCGGTAATTCATGTGTATAAGCTCTATATTGATTTTGTTCAAAATTAATTAATTATAAACTTGGGAATTTTAAATAATGAATACTTTTACTTTACCTGAGAACATCCTTCGGATTTCCATATTTTTCAAAAACTATCGCTCTTGCTTTTGGAGATACATATGAAGATAAAAACCTGTATCGCGATAGCATAATATCGTGTTAAGGAAAAAAATTATCAATCGAAAGAAATGTATATCGACTAATGTAGTACAATCATAACGTGGAGATCACCTATATTAGTTTAATCTATTGGGGGCCCAGTCGACTTTCAACCTTATTTCTCTGAAATTCATATTGGTATTTAAAATAATTGAATAATTGAAAAAAAAAAATCGATCTATACTTGTTTAAATATGAATCAAATAGAAACGAAAAAAGGTAAGAAAAAAGAGGAGTTAACACGAAGAGATAATAATTCTTTCTTTGAAGAAGATATCGATACTTCTAATGATGATAATGATTCTGAAAGTGAGAAAAGTTCAGAAGAGGATGAGAATACAGAAGAGGAAACGAGTTCAGAAGATAATAATTCAGAGATAAATGTGATAAATGCAAAAGGTTCAAAAAAACGAAGAAATAAGCATGCGTAAATAAAAAAATTTTAGTTTGACCTCATTCGAATTTTAATTATAATTTTTTTAATTATTTTTCTTATTTTCATAGACCAATGGAAATGTCTTCTAAGAGACCTGTTAGTAGGTTCAGGCAAATAGTAGAAATTCCTAAATCTGTAAATATTTTAAATATTTTATTTTTAAATTCTTTCAATAATAATTATAATAATAATAAATAATAATAATTTTTCTTTTCATAAACAAAAATAAATAAATAAATAAAGATGAAACAAAAGAGAGACCCAAGATTTGATAGTTTATCAGGAAAGTTTAATGAGGATTTATATGAAAAAACATATTCATTTTTAAATGAATATAAAAAGTCAGAAATTGAACAAATAAAAAGTCAAATTAGTAAGGAAAAAGATCCTGTTGAAAAATCTAGATTGCAACAGTTATTAAGTAAATTAGTGAGTTTAATCAATATTTTTATTATATATAATACTAAAAATGCTGAAAACAAACTTAATTTATTTATTTGTATTTTATTTAGCAATCAAAACTTGCCAATGAAAAAAATATTAAACGTAAAAAAGAATTAAAGCATGAAAGAAAGAAAAGAGAAGTGGAGCTTGTTTATAAAGGGAAGAAACCATATTATTACAAGAAATGTAAGAATTACTGTGTTTTACAATATTTTATTTATTTATTTGAAATATTTTTAATACATATTTTTTAATTTTAGCTGACGTGAAAAAATTAGAACTCATTGATAAGTTTAGTAAATTACAAGAGTCAGATCCTAAAGTATTAGAAAAGGTCATAGAGAAACGCAGAAAGAAAAATGCTTCAATCAAACATAAATATATACCATTCAAAAGAAGAAAATCTGATTAATTTTAGGACAAAAAGTATTTATTTCTTTTGCATATTAATTAATAAATAAATTATATCAACACCTTTTTTATTTTATGCATTTAATGAACAGAATCCAAAAACTAAGGGTATAGAATAAGTAAATATTCAAGCTGTCATCAATACAAATGGTAAAATGTTTTTGTGATCTGAGGATAAATTCTATAGTACAGTTGGATATAGTGCATTACATACTGCAATAGATAATTACTTGAATTTTATTAAACAAAAATTTATTTATATATGTATCTTGTATTAAATTTGGTTGATTATTCATGGTCTGATCACCAGTAATTGGTAAAACTATACCGAGATTATACTGTATGTTAGTAGTTTTTGTAAGCATTAAAAGGCATACACGTAGTCGTGTATATATATTAGATATATTAAACATACCCTATATACAGGCTGGTACTAGATCAGGAAATTTGTTCATTTTGAATATACAGTAAAAGATACGTACCCCTCCTGATGAAAATCATCTACTCCACCAAAAGATCCGATTAAAGATCCGAAGACGCTTACATACTTTTTTAGTAAATTACTTATGTTCTTGGAACAAAGTCTCTGTGTAATGTTTAAATATTATAAGAAAACAATAGTATACTACCACGTATTCCGGTAAACGGATTAGTATGCTGATAGATCGGTAGAAAATAATTATAATTTTATAATCAGGTTTAAACTAATGAATATAAAGAATACAGTAGTACATTTATTATTATTATTTGGCGCTCTTAATTTTAATCAATGACATTTTATTATTTAGACGATCATATAGTAGATTTAGTAGATTTGTAGCACTGCACACACTCAATCTGTGTCGATCATCATAGAAAATTTCTTTATGAAGATGTATTTGTGTTATTTTCCTTTGGTAATCAAAAATGTGAAACAATCTTAGATTATTGTCATTTCCAATGGCTTATTTAAAAAAACCTTCCTAATTTGTAATAATGATATTTATGAACTTTATTTTTCAGTAAATTTTTTTTTATTTATATAAATAAATCTTGTAAAATTTGATTTTTATTTTGTTTTTCACTACTTATTCAAAAATGAAATTTCATTTTACGTTTCTATTCAGTTATCGTTCAAGAAAAACTTAGCTTTTAAGTGATAATTATTTCTGATTTCGTTTCTTCCAAAAAAAAAGAATGTATGCTGCGCCACGCCCTTCAAAAAAGGGTTAATCGATTGATATTCTCATGATGTAAAAAATAAACAAAAAGCAAAGCGTTTATTTATTGATTAGCAAATTGCATGCATATTTGTGATGATGATTATGATGATTATGATCACAAATTTACGCCAGCGCAAGCAAAATTTCTTCTGATATTTCTGATATTGATATTCCTGATATAAATATTTTATATAAATAATCTGATGAAACGTAAAACTATTAAAAATATGAGAATATTTTCTCTTTATAAAAAAAAAACATATATTTATATTTCATTATTGTATATAAAATAAATTATGGAGAAAACTATTTCTACTGCTTCAATAAATCATGATTATATACGAGAAAGAAGGTCTAGAAGAAAATTGCGGTTTCTTAGGAATAGGCGCCCAATTTTAACACAAATGATAAGACTATCTGCACAAAATACAAATAATTTATTCGCGAATCAGTTTTTTAACGGTTCTACTTTTCGTTAAAATTATCAGGTATAGATTCTTTAAAAAAAAAATGTGCAGTTTATTACTAATATTATTATTACATAATTAAACGCAATATTTCTGGTTTTTTTTTTAGATGTATACGTATAAAGTATTGGGAAAATTTTTATTTCTTACGGTTTAAAAAAGCGTAAAATCATTGATAAATCCGCATTCCATAAAGAAGATCCGGCCATAAAGAAAATTCGGCCATAAAAAAGATTAATCAGTCCAAACTGTTTAATTTAAAAAACTGAGTATAAATCGAAGGGATTTATCAATAATAGATAAAACACTTCCCTATGACCCTATCAAACATCAGTTTTTATTAAAAAATTGATGAACAAAAAGAAAAATTATTTTTTTTAAATTTTTCTGATGTTTATTTAATAATATTATAATCCTTGTTCTAAATCATAATTCCAAATATCAAAAATTATTTATTTAATCATTTATTATTTATTTATTGTCTCAAATCTCCATCATTGAAATACCATAAAAATTACAAAATGAAATGGAATTTGACACAAATTACACATGATGAACGAGGGATTTTTGTTTAGAGTAATTTACAATATAAGATCGACATTTATCAAATGAAATTACAATGTAAATAAATATGCAAGGCATTTTCCATTGATTTATCGTGAAAATTTCCTTTTGTAGTAAATATCAACTGATTATGTAATATCATTAGATCTTTTTCATTTTATACTATTAAAAATTACCTAATTTCCGGTGTTATGTACTTATCAGATATCCCGTTCATTTTTCAGGAAATTACTAAAGGTGGGGAATGTAAACGTTTAACTTAAAACAGCTTGTACAACAAGGATGGACTGTTCATCTCAACAATAGCCATACTTTGTTTTGCTATTCTTACTGCTTCTTACAATCTTCATTTAAAAGAATATAAAGAAAATATTTTAATACATTTTGAGAAATATATCATAAAAAATGTTGTTATCGTGTAAAATTTATATCACGGGATTCATATCACGTGATCAATGATGACGAAGTCATTCCCTCAAATTGGTTGTAAATGGTTTTGTTATAATCTAATCATTATGTTATCCTTTTTGAATGATTATTAATTAAGGAAGAATAAGAAGGAAAGTGATTTCTTTCCAAATTTTGTTGTGTTTTTTTTTCGTGATAAGAAAATAAATTTCATATTGAGACCTTATCTTATTACAATCTTATTACATTAAAATACATTTAAATAAACTTTATTTTGGCTAATTAATTAAATATAAACAAATAAGTATTACAAAATTACTTTTTTTAGATTAAGCTCAGTCACTTGTATTCTAGAAGTTCTTACAGGAAATGATACATTTATAATGATACATTTTACAAACCATTGATGAATCCTAAATTGAACGAATTGAACGGAGAAAAAAAAAAGAGAAATTACCGAGAATTGATTTTTCAATCAAACATAATCAACACTATATTGGAAATTATTTACTATAATATGTGTATATCACGTGTTTATTTTATCAATCTAATCAAAGATGTGACACATCATTTATACATGTTTGATTCATTTCCAATTTTGAAATATATCACATGTTTTGGAATATTGTTTATTATTGTTCAAACATCTTATCTGAAAATTAAAAAATTTTTAATACCAGTTAACCATTTATGCGATATACAATCATTGATCTACGTATACGTGTAAACCAATTTTTTTTTCCAGTTCGAAACCGTTCCCTCATTTTTATATAAATATAAAGTTTTTCATAAATTTCAAAAAAAAAAAAAGAAAATTTCCTGTTTATTTTAATTTTATAATTATGATAACTAAACTTCAAAATTTGAATATTCGTTGGTTTAGTCAAGTAAAGTTAAACCGTTCCTTTATACAAATTCGTCCCAATACTACTCAATCCACACAAACAACTTCTCCTGAATCAATTCAATTTTTACCTACATTATCATCATCACATCTTATACCCTTTCCATCTTCCTCTTCCTCTTCTAACTCCCCTTCAACAGTAACGACAACAACATCATCATCATCATCACCCCCAATAAAATCAATCGGACAATATCGAGCATATTCTCCACAACATTTTTATAATAATCGAGTTCTTGAAAAATATGCTTATCAATCAGTAAATACTGTTACATTAAGACAACTTATTGTATTCGGTCGTAATATTACAAAAGATAGGTTAATAAAAAGTGCTAATTATGTTAGATCAGAATTACCTATTAGATTGGCTCATAGAATAAGAGATTTTCAAAGTTTACCTTTCATAATAGGTACAAATCCACATATTGCTATGGTATATGAATTATATTGGTTAGCATTTGAAAAATTAAGAAAAATTCCTTTAATAAAAGATATGGATGAAAATGATGAATTTTGTAATACTCTTAAAGGTTTATTAAAAGAACATTTAGTTGTTATTCCTCAATTATCTATGGGAATATCAGAATGTTCTAATCATTTACCTCCTGATCAACTTGATAAATTTATGAGTATTATGTTAAGATCAAGAATTTCTAGAAGAGTTTTAGCAGAACAACAAATTACTCTTACCGAAAATTGGAATGATCATGGTTATATTTATGGTGCTGATGGTATTGGTGATAATATAAATATTGGAATTGTTTCAACTCAATGTAATTCTAATGATATTGTTGAAAAATGTGCTCATATGACAAGAAATTTATGTAGAGTAATATATAAAGTTGAACCTCCTGAAGTAATTGTGAATAATCAAGTTGATACTACTTTTGCTTATATACCTGATCATATAGAATATATTCTTTATGAATTATTACATAATTCTATACGTAGTGTTATTGAAAATCATTCTCCTTCTTTAAAAGATACTTCTATTTCAAATGAAATTTTACAACAATTACTTCAAGATCAAAATTCTCCAAAATCTCCAAAATCTCTTAATTTTAACTCTTTATTAAATAATAAAAATTTTTCTTCATCATCATCTCAGTATCCTCCAATTTTAGTAACAATTTGTTCAAGTCCTACAGATATATATTTTAGAATATCAGATCAAGGTGGTGGAATTTCTGATGATATTTATTCTAATATATGGTCATTTGCTTCTTCAACTAGTTCAAATAAAAAATTTAAAAATTTTATTCAAGTACCTCAGATGGCAGCTACTGTACAAGAATATGAACAATTAATTATTTCTCCTACTTTAAATTTAGGAATAGGTTTACCTATGAGTAAAGTTTATGTTGAATATTGGGGTGGTGGTATAAATTTATTTACAATGGATGGTTATGGTACTGACGCTTATGTTAAAATATCTCGACTTGGTAACAAAGAAGAAAACTTAGAATAAATAAATAATACTTATTTATAAGTACTATAAAATATATTACTACTAATATGAACAAAGTACAAAAAAAACAATTTATTTATTATAGTTAATACATTATGCATTAATTTAAACATAAAAAACAAAAAATAAAGTTTTTTAATATTTCTTATGATAATTTCATATTTCCTAACTTCAACTATTTAAACGTGTATAAATTATTAAAAATTCTCGATTATCTACACTCACATTTCCATCTCAATTTCTTCATTACTATTTTTCTCTACTTGAATTCCTATTTTTTTAACATTCAAAGGTGATTTTGCAACTGTTCCATCTAATCCTCCTTTCCAAAGTGTAGTTGTATTCCATTTAGGAAATATACGTTTATATAAATTCATCATTACAGTATCTTGTTGCGTAATAGGTGAATCGAATACACATTTCATATATCCATGTGTACCTAAACTTTCCCTTATATGTCCAATACGTCCATATTTGGTCGTTAATTGTACAGGTTTAAACCATAATACATCCTCTATATAAATGATATATATCGTGATTAAAATATATTTTCAGTTAAAATTGGGACCAAAATTCGTTATATGTCACTTACCAGGATTGAAAAACATATATCGAATAACTGCAGACTTTTTATGAATTTTGTATGGATGTCCTGTAAGAATAATCCGTTTAGCAATTATTCTCTTTGGATCTGAACTCAAAAAGCTTCCTGTAGCTACGAGAATTGGAGCTATTATTTAGAAAAGAGTGAAAAAAAAAAAAAAAATTTAGAAATTTTAAAGAAAAATGGAAAAAAAAATTAAACAATAATTGATATAAATTTTAATTTAACCATTAACATTTCCATTATCTTTAAAAAGCATAATAGGTGAATGTCCGAATTGAATTGGTCCATATATTGATGCAACGCAAGTTACTCCGGGATTTAAAAATCTTTCAAATTTATGAACATTATTTGTTCCTTTCCCTTGTGTATTTTGTGAATATATTGGACTTGCTAAATATCTACGAAATCCACAACATAATATAAGTGGATCCTAAAATTATTATACATGTTTAGACTTAAATGCTTCGTTTAAAATATATAATATTAAAAATTTCAAAGTTTATAAATTACTTTTGATCTAATTGGTTCATTGTAGTCACTATTTCTTGTAACAACAAAATTCATTACTGAAGTTTTGTGTTCGTTTTCCAATAATCCGAATATAGTGAATGGTCGAGATTGATCATAAGAATCTAAAAAAAAAAAAAAAATTATTATTACTATTTCTTTTTTAAAAATTATTCTCGCAAAGTTTACCTGCCACTTCCTTTGGAACGTTAAGTATATGCAATGTTATGCGTGCTCCCTATTTGATATTAATAATCAATTACTGTATTATCATAATAATAAGTTAATCAATTGAATACTAACTTTAATCCCACATCCACCTACGCCAGCATCATTAATAACTCTATGTTTTGTCTTCTGGTAGTTCTCAAATTGGAAAATACGCGCATAATCAATTGGTAAATTTTCCATCGGATCCCATGGCGAAGTACGAAAACTTTGCAAGCCTCGATATCTTTGAAATCGAGTACGAGCAGCAATATCTAAAGGTGTATCTACTTCATCAGGAAACTCAAGATCATCCCGATTTTGTTTCTCACGATTAGCCAAGTAATCTTTTAATCTATTAGAAGATTGGTTTGAAATGTAAGAAAGACATCATACCAAAACATCAGACATATATTTAAAATTTAAATTAAAATTTACTGTTTAGCCTCTTCTTCTGGATCCAACTTAGGATCATTTAAAGTAGACGTTCTTGTCTCAACTTCAATTTCTTCATATTCTTCTTCATTTTCATTGACAATTTCTTCTTCAGCTGATAGTTTCCTCGCGTCATTTTCAAAAGTCATATTAATATCACCATCTTCGTCGGTATAATCTTCGTCGTCATTATCGGATCCAGAATCTACGATCCATGCTGCTTGATAAGATGATGTTCCTTTTGGTACACGTTTCACGGTCTTTTTTGGTGTTGTTTCTAGTATATTATCTGATCGCATTTATTCAAAACGTGTAATTAATTATTTGAATATTAGAAAATATAATATAAAACTTATTTCACCTTCAATTCCTGCCATTTCTTCTTCAGTTGGCCATGTTTGTTCATTTTCCATAAAATTTGGCTCATTCTCCGATATAAGCGTATCCTACGCCAATTGCATGTAGTCAATTACGTGTAATATGATTAAAAAAATTCATGATATCATTAAACATACTAAATTACTAACAAACCTGTAGTTCAGGATCAGCTACATGCAAAACTTGAATCTTTTCTTCCTATAAGATAATACTATTTTTAACAAACAAGTTCTAAATTATAAGTGCATTAAAGATATGAAAGTTGATATTACTGAATCTTTATCGTCATCGCCTTTCCTAGAAGCAGTTATCTAATAAAATGATTTTACGCGTTAAAATAAACGGCGTAAAAGACGCAATATCAGATGGTAAGTTTCGAACCTGATTCAATTGAAAATCTCCAAAATTTTGCAAATGTACCAACCGATTTGCAGAAAATGGTACACTTCTAGAATATCCTGTAACTTTAAGAGTTCCAAAATTCTATTTAAAATAAAATCACATTTTCTTATCTTTGATACAAAAAAGTAAAATAGGTAATTGAAGTATTTACTTCATCATTTGCCTCATATACTAATTCTTCAGCCAACATATACGGACGAATGTCTCTCCACAAAATTGGTTTGGGACGTTGAGTGCAAATTGTTCTTAATACATTAAGTGCATCCTAAATTGAAATTTGTTTATTTAAAGATTTAAATTATATATATATTGTATTGGTTAAAATAATTACTTGAATTTGATCGACCGAATGAATTTTTTCTTCATCGGGAAAGAAGTATCTCATATAACTAAGTAATGATTTCTTAACATCATTACGCTTCTTTTGTGGAATTTTTTCCATGTGCTAATTAAGAATTTGTACAAATCAATTAATTAAAATTTTTATATCAAGATTTTAAACACAAAAAATGTTGAACTAACCATAGCAGTAGTTATAACAGTAGGTAATCCTTGAGATTGCATAGCTTTTAGACATAATTCACCAAAATGATCAACTTCAACTTCAGCTGATACGACAAATAATACATAATCTGCAACTTTACAGGCATCTAAAATATCAACAAAATTCCTTTCAAGAAGGACGAATTGAATTTTTTGTTTGAACCTCTCAGCACTATAATTAAATAGTCTATTAGATATATTTTTTTTTAGTAAAGGTAATTTGAATATTTTACAATATTATATACTTTAATTGAGCAACGCCTTTTAAAATTGGTGGATCTTGTACACCAATACTGCTATAAATAGACTTTACAGCACTGTAAGAATTTACATCGGTGCATAATGGAATCACGGCCTATAAGGAAAGAAATTAATTTTCTTTAACAATGTAATTTTTTATTTTATAATCATGCAATTATTTTTACTTCTCATGATTGAATCAAATCGATAATACATCACTTTGAAAAATTTATTCATACCACAATTTTAGGAGTTCCATGTCTTCCCTCGAAAAACCTATTCTCTTTTAATACTTCTTCTCTCTTCTTTTGTTGTTCCAACTTTGCCGCATTACGTCTATCAACCCTCGTAATCGAGCGTAGATTTGCGCTCGAATGCTTTATAGGTTTTCTGTTAGTTTTACCTAATGAGACAAAAAATTTGATATAATACTAATGTCATTTCGAATGTTTTACTATCGAAAAGCAAAAAAAAATTCGGTAACCTTTTGTTTTATCTCTGATGGTTCCTTTGGTTGCATGTTTTGACTTAAATGGTTTATTGGATTGTTTTAACGAGCCAGCTCTATGACGAAATGGTTTTTCGGTAGGCATTTTAACGATATTAAATTCTATATGAATATTAGATCAAGAAAAAAATTTTTTTGATAATCACCAATAACGTTTTTTGATATTGATTGGCTGGGTACTCATCACTGATCGGGTTACACTGTCAGACCCGAATTAAAGTAATTAACTGGTCTTTCATTATTTACAGAACAAATTACGAATGTTCCACCACTTTATCAAGATTGAACAATGCTTTGCCTCAAATAGGAATAAATATCGTGTCATTCATGTGCGAAATTTTATCGAAAAAATTTTCTATAAATTGCAAAATTAATTCGTTATTTGGAATTCAAAGACACTTTAAGCAATGACTGAAATTTCACCCGCTCCACCTGTTCCACCAAAGAAAGGTGGTTGGGAAGACTTTGTTGCCGGCAAGTAGGTATAATGCTTTTAAAGAGAATCCGTACTGCGTACGTTAGCTATTTTTTTTAATAAAATGAATTCAATAAATTGTTATAGTTTTGCTGGAATGGTATGTAATTCTCATAAGTATAATGAAAAGACACGTTCAATTTAAGCTTATTCGCTTTGAATTGGGAAAATATAGGCACAAGTTTTTATTGGGCAGCCTTTGGATACGATTAAGGTACAATTGCAAGAAGGAACTTCATATTATATTTTTCTGTAAGAATTTATAAAATAATGTTTCGACACATAGGTTCGACTTCAAGTAGAACCAAGATTCAAAGGACCCATGGATTGTTTAATACAAACCGTAAAAAATGAAGGCTTTTTTGCCCTATATAAAGGTCGTTAAAGCAGTAAAATTACGCGCATTGAAAGAAATATTTATTCTTATATGAGAAAAAATTCATATTTATTAGGAATGGCTAGTCCGCTGGTCGGCATAGGCGCTGTAAATGCTTTATTATTCGCAGCATATTCGCGGTTAAAAGCTATCCTAGCCACGTTTCCTAATGAGCAATTGGCTCTTTATAAGATAGCAATCGCCGGTGCTGGCGCAGGTATGAAATTCTTTATTGAATTATATAATCTTGTAATGTGCGCTAATCCAAAATAGGAGCAATCAACAGTGTGCTTTCATCACCCGTCGAATTGCTCAAAATTAAAATGCAGGCGCAGTATGGAAGGTCTAAAGCGACAGCCGGAAATAGCGGACTTATTTATAAGGGACCTATTGACTGTTCAAAACATTTGATAAGAGAATTTGGTATTCGTAACGGGTTATATCGTGGATTTTGGGCAACTATTGCACGCGAAATACCTGCGTATGCTGGATTTTATTCTGGATTTGAATTTGCTAAAAGGAAATTAACTTTAGAAGGAAATAGTCCTGATAGTTTACCTCCAAGTAAATTGATGCTTGCTGGCTCTTTTGGAGGGTTTTCCTATTGGCTATGCTGTTATCCTTTCGACGTTGTTAAATCTAAAGTGAGATATATTTTACATATAATTATTTTTATAGTTGATATGGTATATTATTGACAATTTAAATTTGTAGGTCCAGAATCAGAAAAACCCACCCAAAGGAATTTTTTATGTATTCACAACCATGAGTTCAATATATAAAAATGGGGGCGCGGCAGCATTAACGCGAGGAATTACTCCCACAAGTGAGTATATAATTCAATAAATCATTTTTTTCTTTCTAGATATAATTATAATTTTTTTTTTTTTTAAAACAAAAACCTGTTTAATAAGTTTTGAGAAGGTACGTAATAATTTAATAATATCAACCTTTTCTTAACATTTCGACGTTTTGGGTACTATTATTGTTTATATTTCATTTCATAGTTTACCAGCGGCAGGTTCGACGTTTACGATATATGAACTAACAATGAGAATGCTCGAAAAAATTTAAATATTTGGAGAATCATATAAACATTTAAATAATATTTTGATAAAATCTATATATTCTGAGTTAATGATAATGCAAAAAGAAGCTCTCTTTTTAAAAAATTTATAATTTTTTTTTTTTTTAAAAAAAAAACCATTATTTTCTTTTAATAAAGATATCTCTATTTTTTCGAGAGGTTATTATTCTAAATGCGTATACTGTACATAGTTACACGTGTACTACGTGGGAAATCGTTTAAATTCGAAAGTCAATCGAATTTGCTGTAATTGAATACTTTATTAATCCACCTTTATGTATAGATTATCTATATACGATACTCAATTCTCTGAAGAAGCAGCAGGTTTCTATTTTTCTAACTTATTTTATCTTTTTTATTTCAAAAAAAAAATAATACTTTGGCTGTCCAATTTTTAGAAGGAATAATATTAAAATATTAACAATTTCCACTTTATTATACATTTTGAACTGTAAAATAAACCATTCGTTATGAAATGATAAAGTTCTTAAACACTATGGACTTGATAACCTTAATCCGGAATATTGGGAAGAAGAGCCAGATAACCGTAAGTCTGTGAGATATTCGATGAGTGATTTTAACAATGGTATTGCTGGGGATGAGTTGAGCGATGATGTTGACCCCCTTGGTTTAAAAAAAAGTGTTTTAGGGTAAACTTTAAGTAATTTGTTGATTAATGATTTTGCAATTTCATTTATTCATATTTCTTCGATTTTCAGCCAAGATACACCTGGTAAATTTGGTTTAGACGATTTCGATAAAGAGAGTAATTATATTTGTAATTTATTCAGTGGGAAAAAAAAATCGTAGACTTGACTCGCTTATTGTATTAAAATTTTCTAGAATTGCAAATTTTCGTTGGCACTAAGTCTTTCAATCCGAAGTTTTTTTTACATAAAGTTCACAACGATACTCCTTATGCGGATTTATTGAGAGGAGCAAAATTTTTAAGATATACTTTGGATCAAAAATCTGAAGAACTTCGTAGTTTGGTTCAAGATAATTTTGATAGATTCGTGAGTGCTAAAAATACAATAGATACTGTTTATGGTGAAATGAAAGCACAAAGTTTAAATGCTGAGAGTGACTATGGTGTTAGTAGGTTAAACAAAGCTTTATCTGGTATGTAATTTTCAATTGCATTTAAATATTTTTTTTGTAATTTGTAATTTGTAATATTAATTTTATTATATTTACCTATTTGATTAATTATTAAGAGGCTAGTGATAGGGCCGAACAATTGTTTGGTCCGGTTCTAGCTAACAGAAACAAAGCTGAAAAAATTCGCAGCACTTTGAGTGTGTTAGAAAAATATAAATATTTCTTCAATTTACCTAGCAATCTTATGGATTCTATTAAACAGGTATTTTAAACAAGATGCAGGATAACTATATTATGATCAATATTAATAGTTATTTAATATAGCAAAAATACGATGTGGCAATTAGGGATTATAAGAAAGGAAAGGTTGTGTTAGATTCTACCATGGGAGCAGAAGGAGCTGACACCAATGGATCAGGCAGTTATTCCTCGGAAAGAGAATATGATGAAACTGCACTTTCTGTTCAATATAGGAGAGTTTTTGATAAAGTTTGGTTAGAAGTTGATAAAATCATGGAAGAGATGAAAGATCAGTTATTTGAGCAATTGACTGAACCTTGGAGGTCAATGGAAGAACAAGAAAAGACTATAAAGTAAGAATATTATATGTTTATTTTATGATAACATAGTCTAACATTATTTCTTAATCTCCTAGTATTCTGCTAGAGCTTGAAACAGCAGAAGATCCAGTATGGCATTATCTTGATAGTCAATATAAATTTATTATAGATCTCCTCAAAGAGTCATATAAAGAACAGTTGAGCAAAATAGAAAGTTTGTCCTTTTTTTTTTTAAAAGAAATTTTTTGTATCATTAAATAGAATTCTTATAATAATATTTTTAAATTAAACTTTTTAGCTTTGAAGGAAACACTTCCAAAAAATTCCAGTAGTGATAAGGATTTGGCAATTCGACTCAAAAAATCAATTAGAAATGTCAATATTAGAGACTTCGATTCCTTAATAGGTGAATATAACTAGAGAAAGTATAATTTTTTACTCCATTATATCTTATTTACAGTTATTATATTTTTTATTTTTCAAATAAATGAATTAAGCTGGAAAAGAGATGGATGTGCAAATGTGGAAAGCTATATTAGAGATTGTGAAATCATTATCTGATTTACTTCTAAGATGTTTACCAGACTTTTGGAAATTAAGTAAGTCTTTTATGGATGGAAAATTCCAAAAGGTAAGGTATTATTATAATATCTTTTTTTTACAATTTGATTAGCATTAAAATTTTTTTATTTTTTTGTAGAGTCCTGCAGTGTTAAGTGCCAATAAGCGTAGGCGTCAAGGAATGGATTTACGAAAAGTAGACCAATGCGAAAAAATGGCAAGTGGAGTTATAGAGCTATATGCTTCATTTCTATCAGAGCTCTTTGCTCTTTCACCGGTGCCTAATGAAATACCTGATACACCAACTATTAAATATGAAAACCCGTCATTCGTTCCACTTCATTCTGATTCAGTAACTACTTGTTACTTTTTAACAAGAATTCTTAATGAAATGAATGAATGTGTAAATGATATTAATTCTATAAATATGGCATCTGATGCCTCTGGCACATTATCTCAATTAATGGATCAAGCCAGATGGCGTTTCTTAGAAGTAATATGTCAAGCGTGGAATGCAGGTAAATTTTACTACAATTCTATAATATTTATAATTATAAATAGTCATTATAATTATTTTTTAGATGCGAAGAATTTCTATTTGCTTGAGGACTGGACTCTTGATCAGGATAATCGTGAAATCACCAATTTTTTGCGCAATTTTCATATTTTTCACAAGTATAATTCCCGCAGTGCTTATAAAATCGCAAGTCAAAATTATATATCAGATAATGATAACGATGTAAGTTAATTTAAAAAATTAAAGCAATTTATTTAATTTCCATTCAGTTAACACTTTTGATTTTCTTGTTAAGAAATCATCAACAATACCTGAAAATTATTTGTTTAAGATTAAAGAAACTTTCTTAAATTCTTTGTATGCTTATTTGGAAGGTTTAGTCCATCTTGTTTTTACAGAATATACACCGCTTGAACCTGTTGTTGAAAGAGAACCTACAGATATTATTCACAAATCAAGGATTGATCCATCCCAAATGGTATTGTATATAAACTGTTGTTTAAAATTATCATCATTTTTTATTGTAAACATTTAATTAGTATATTTTTATAACAGGATTCAAGAATATTGCTTACTATTAGTAATCTTTCTAATCTCAAACAATTAATGATACCAAGAATTGTAAATCAATTTGAAACCGCTTATAAATGTAGCATGGCTGATGATACTCAAGTAAGCATCTTTTATATACATCGATAAGAGTTTAATAAGAAATTTATTAAAAATATAATGTGACAATTAATTCCTTATTAATAGGCACTCAATACCGTTGTTGACCAACTTGATGGTATTTTATTTGATGATTATATAAAACGTAAAACTGAAATTGTTCGTAATATTATTATAAATGGAATTTTATCAAATGAAATTGATTGGTCTAATATATCAAAACCTGGAGGTAAAAAAGATATTTATTTTTTTTGTTTTTTTTATTTTAAGAATTTTTTGTTAATATACTTATTGCCTTTTTTAGAAGTACATTCCTTTGTATATGAAGCTTTATTATCACTTGTACTTGTTCATGCGCAAATTAGTGATATTGCCAAACCTTTAATTAATCGTGCATTAACAGCATTATTGGAATCTATGGCAATCGATTGTCTTGAAGCTTTTCAAAAAGTAGAAAAATTCAGTTTAGGTGGAATGTGTCAGGTAAGATAGTTAATATAAGGACATAAGTAATATTAGTATTAAACTAACTTTTTTATATTTGTTGTATATAGGCAACACTGGAAATTGAATTTATGAATCAAACATTATCACAATATGTTACACCACAAGCACAAGAAACATTACAGATTATTTATACGACGATTGAGCAGTTATATGATACTACATCAGGAACTGATCGATTAGATTCTGAATTGAGTAGTGTGAAACAATTTTTGGTTGATGGTAGAAAAAATACAAGTTTACAGTTCTTATGTTTTAAGAAACCAAAATAAATTAAAAACTTTATCTTTATAGACTTATACAATAAATTAATTTATTTTAATATATTTTATATAATAGGTTTTAATGAAATTTTTAGTTTTCTTTATATTATCGTTAGCATAGAAAACAGCCACTATTTTTTTTCCTATTATGTATGCTTGTGCGTTGTAACGTCATGTATTTTTTTATTTTTTTTTTAATAATAGAATGGCATAACTTCTATGAAGTAGCGCTGATATAAGATCATCAAAACTTGCTAGGTATATTCTGGAAAAAAAATGGTCTTAAAATTTTAAATCTATGGTTTAGATTTAGAATACGATATCCTAGTTCTAATCCTAATTCTAATCGAAATCGTAATCGAATCGATTTGATCCTTATGAATTCGTGTCTAAACTAAAAAATTACGTATCATTATTTTTTCTTTATAAATTAAATGATAAACACAGTATTTTTTATCGTAAATTATCTTAATCGAATTCAATATTTTGATCACGTAAAGTTTATTATGGGGAAAAAAAATAAATTTCTTGATCAAAATCAGGAGCTCTCTCACATGATGAATTTCACACGCATACTATAAAAATTTTCAATATCATAAAAAAAAAATATACCGTAATTTGTTATTTTCCATAATTATGAAATAAAATTAAAATTTATGATGTTAAGATTATATATTTCTACGCAATGATATTTTTGCTTCGCACGTGTCATTCTGCAACAAAAAAACTTTAAATGGCACTACGGAAAGTATTAATGTTAACTAATTAACTTTTTTTTTAACTGATATATAATTTTTTTTTAGCCCGAGAAAAATTGATAAAATTCGCATAAAACAGGATTTTTAGCTTCAACCATGCTCCTGGCATTTAATTTGTTCGGCTTATGGGAAAAATAATCTATATTTTCGGTCGTACGATTGACCGTATAATAGTCAGTCACCGGTGCGTCATCCTTAACGTTACAGATTTCTAACCTCTCAATTATGAGCTCTGAAAAAGCATTTTATTTTATTAAGCATTCTTGCAAATCAATAAAAATGACTGAGAACTAGCATACACATCTCGTATCCACGAAATATTGATTGGTTTTATCCAAAGTAAAAAAATGTAGATTTCATTGGTTGACTGAATCTATTTTTATGACACCCAATCTTGGAGTTTCACAAAAAACTTCAAAAAAAATGATCATCTCAACCTTGCTCACGTGAATATAAAAGGTTAATTAATATTGGTTTTTAAAGGTTATAAAACCAACATACTGACTTCGTGTAACATGTTTGTAATTCTAAAGTTCTTCCTAGTAAAACTTGGTGGAACAAAGAGATCTTAGAGGTCTCGTTAGATATTAAGTTAGAGTAGTATTTAAAGAATATACTGATAAAATTTTATAACTATAAATAGTTTGTGTAATATAAATAGATTTTCTTAAGATCACGTGAGAGTGAAATCCCTGATGGATGGCGTTCTCATAAATCATCTTTTTCTTCTTTTTCACAAAAACACAATTATATTAGTTTCTACATGACAAAAATTTTTACCATATAAACACCTATCAGCTGCTATATAAGGGGTAAACCCTACCCTTAAATTTTTAATGTATAATGTCATCCTTTCTATTTAAACGTGGTTTTTCTTCTTTTTTCTCCGAACGCTTTAGGCTTTCTCCAGTGCAAGAGAACCTTAACGTTATTCGTGAAGAACTTCGGCAAATCGGGTACTTTCACAATTTCATCGTTCCTATCCTGTTTTCAAATTTACCCTAATTAATGATATATTTTAACAGTCGTGGCTCGGTCGAATTTAATTCCTCTTTTTTACAAGGAATTGGCTTGATAACACTTCACAATCCTGAGCGACACAATGCTTTAAGCGGCAAAATGATGGCCGAATTAGCTGATATAGTGGATAAATTAGAAAATATAACAAAAGACAAAACTAATTCAAAAGAGGAAAATGATTTAGTAGCACTAATATTATCAGGAGACGGAAATACCTTTTGTTCTGGTTTAGGTAAGTCTTCCCAATATTTAGAACTTTAATAATAATTAATCAATTGAGTTAGTTCAACTATGATCTCTCCCAAAAAAAAAAAAAGATTTAAGTGTAGCAAAAAGCCATATCATGACTCCAGAAAATGGTAAAAAAATGAGTTCGCTTATGCAAGATGCACTATTACGTTTTAGTCGTCTTCCTTTAATTTCAATTGCCGCGATTGAAGGTTATGCATTAGGAGGAGGTGCAGAATTAACGACAGCGTGTGATCATCGTTGTATATCAGGTTAGATAGGTTTCGATCATTTAATTATACATTTGATGGTCATTTGATACATTTGGTATTTATTTTTTGAAAAACATGTTGATGTCTTTATTAGCTACTGCTAAAATCCGATTTGTACATGTGAAGATGGCTACTACACCTGGATGGGGTGGCGGTGGGAGGTTAATTAATATAATTGGAAAAACGAAAGCTCTAAGAGTTTTGGGTGCAAGTGAATTATTAACTGGACAACAAGCATATGATATAGGTTATGCTGATATTATTGCTAAAAATGGCGAAACAATAAACAAATCAAAAGAATTTCTTGATCCATATGTATATTTCTCCCCTAAGGAAGGAGAATTAAATGCAGAAAGAAAAATGAATTCTGTGAAAGCGGTAAATAATCATTTTTTGTTTTACTTTATTAAAGATTTACTAAAATTAAATGAATTTATTTTAAAAGGTACGCGGAATGAAAGCAATAATTGCTAAAGCGAATGATAGTGGAGCGCAAAGAAATTATGTACGTTTTGAACACGCTTTATTTTGTAGTCTTTGGGGACAAGGAGAGAACCTTACTGAATTAAAAAAAAAATAAAAATAATTTCCAATTCTAAAAAAAACGTGCAAACATATGTCGGTAGTGTATAATAATTCTTATTATAGAAGAAATATGGCTATAAGTTGATACTCGGCCATAAGAATGAAGGATGGTCCATAGGATCATGATAATTAGTAAAAATATGAATTTTATCATCAATCCTTCAATGCATGAAATGGTTGAAGTAAGAACAAATGATAGCAATTAATGAGACATGTAGATTGAACTAAATATGCAAGAATGATAAGAATAGATAAGAATATACAATAAATCTCATCAATTATGAAAAGGACGAAACTGGATGGTACTTTGTCAATTTTGCATCTGGATTTTACAATCTACTACTGTTCAAAAGAAAGAAATATTAAAAATTAATATCTCGACTTTTCAGTTGTTTATGAAAATTGTTTTTTCCGCGAGTTATGGGATTATAAAATGATAATATTTCTTGATAAAGAATGTATATTTAATTAAAATACTTCAAAACTGCCATACTTCCCATCCTTTCTTCATGTTTTCAAATACTAATTCTCTTTCATTGACATCGAATTTTTCTGATTTATAAATCAATTCTATACTCTCTTCTGCTGGAAATATATATTTTGGCCTTTCACATGATAGTGCAGGCATCTTATTCTTTTTAGATTTACGATTCAGCTCAGATTCGATTAATGTTAAGTACGTATGATCCAAAAAATCTTCCAAGTTATAAGAAGGTTTGGTAAATTTGGCTTGGAAGATCTTTGCTAAGGTTGCGACATTAGGAAAATAATGATCTTGTAAGGTCTAAATAAATATTAGTTACCCAATGAGTTAGATACCTTTGTTAATAAAATTTCAAAATTAATATAAAACATAATTACTTTCATCTCCCATAGGGAACTTTCTAATGCATTGCTTTTCATGGGATCTGGTTCATCAAAATTGTAAGGATCTTCCAAATTATCAATTTCTGAGTCTAAAATAAATGAACGTTTATATTAAAAAATATAATTGTTAATTTATTTTGTTTGCCAAATACTTACGATTTCTTCCCAATTTGTTAACATGCTCATTTGAATTGTGTATTAAAACAGTACAGCTTGGATGCCGCCTAATCAAGTTGTAAATCATAGGTATTATCATTACTATACCATGTGGCGGAGCTGTTAATGAAAGTCGGGACATTCTTTTTATAAATGCTGCAATTAATTGAGCAGGAAGATATCTATAAAAATTTATATTATTTGTATTTTTTGACAACTAAAAATGGGCATTGTCTTCAATATAATTAATACATACGTAGAAGCAAGAAAGAGGTCAGCCAGACGGAAAAACCTAGACCGATATTTTACATGCATCAAATTACGATCAAATAAAGTGTATAATTTCTTATAAAAATCTGGATAATCCCTATAGATAAAATTAAATTACTATTATGGTAGAAATTAAAAATTTCATCATATTTATAATACTTACAAGTTATATTCATTAATAAGAGTGAATAAACCATTGAGTGCCAAAATGCTAGTGACACCACCTAAAAGATAAAAATATAGTTCGGCATTATTCCTTTATCATAAGCTCCATCTCAATATTTAAATATTTAACAGTTAATACTCATAATAACAATACCGGCATTATATGATTCAGTTAAGTAATCCATTAATAAAGTAGGCTGTGGCATATGAGGAATTATCTTCTTATGCATAATTAAAAGGATTCTCTTGTATGATTCCTGTGTCATTGGAAGTTTCATTAACGCTAACCAGCAATCAGAAAAAACTCTTTTGTGTGCAGATAATTGAAGCAACACTGGTTTTTTAGTTTTCTTATGAGGGATTTCTTTTTGAGATTCTTTTGTCTGCTCCTTTTCGAAGTTTTCATTGAATAAATCATCAAACAACATATTATCTGAGTCATCTTCACAATCATCGTTTTCTTGACTGTTCGATAATTCTGAAAAATCAAGAGTATAGCTTAAACGAGTGCCTTTAAAAAAAAAAATTTCATAAAAAATTTTAATTATTACCAGGTGCAGGATGACCTGTCCAAAACTCATCAATTTCTGATGCATCAGTTGGCATAGTTCGTAAATTTTCAAGTATCGAAAAAGTATTTTCCATTAAACTATTTAATTTGTCAACTGATTTTTCGTCTAATCTTTTTTTCTAATTCAAACTATTTCAATTAATACATTAATATCCTAAATCAAATAAAATATTATCTCGAAAAAATACCTTAGAAACAGGTCCGACTTTGTCTTTTGGTTTTCCACTGTCCAAGAAAAAATTAATGATTTTTCTACACAATAAGAATAGAAAATTATATATAAAAAATATAAAAATCTGGAGACTGAAAAACTAGTAAAGATAATTAATTACGAGGCATTTTTTAAAAAGTAAAATCTCAAATCATCATAGGTGTTCCAATACTTTTCAACGAATTCGGTTTTTAACGGTTCACTGAAATTTTCATTATCAATAAGTCCTTCAACAACATGATAATAATGATTATTTGAAAATTGGTGTGACCCAGACGCTGATGTAAGATATGTGGATTCGATTTTAAGAAGATTCAACAGTATATTTAACGATGGAATCTTTTTATCACAGCAAATAATTATATCAATAATAAAATAAAATAAATAATAATGAATCAAAATAATTAAGTACCTGTAATCCTGGCTCTTCGTGTCTAAGAAAATTACATAACGTATTTACATATTGAACATAATTATCTCGAAGCCAAATCTTTATCAATCCTTTTTTATCTCTCTCTAGATTTTCATTTTTAGGTTTTTGTAATTCACCTTTAGATAGCAGAGGTGAAAAAGTCCGATATAATGCATATAATGCTGAATGAATGACTTTTGGAGATTTATCCTATCAACAAGCGAAAACTTAAAAAGAATTCATTTTTACATCTCTGCTTAAAAAAAGAAAATTACCTTTGTATATTCCAGTAATGTAACTATATTGTTATAATTAGATTTGCTCACTGATATTCTCTGTTCCAAATCTTTAATTTGTTCGAGTTCAGAAGACTATCTAGACAAATAAACTGTTGAGTTAAATATGCGGAATAGTTTTTTTTTTAAAAAAAAAACAATAATAAAAAGAACTTGCATATTTTGTTTTTTCGGTAAGTTTACGTTTTTTTCCTTTAGAAGACAGAGACATTTTGGCAAAAATCCAGATAATCTGTAGATTTCCATATAATAGTGTCGATCTACGAATCAAAAAAACGACGCACATGTGCAACCGGGCAAAAAAAAATGAATCTCTACGCAGTTCGCTCAAGAACTTCGCAATGTCTAGCAGGTTCACAACAAATTAGAACATTTTTTAATACTTTAGAACGTAAAGGAAAAAACGCTAACATTGATACTTCTGATACAAAAAAACTCATTAATGACTGGAAAAAAAAAGTAACGAGAGATACCGAAAGTTTTACTGATACTATTACTGCTTCACCTCTTCAACTTTTTGCAATTACCCTGAGAAGAAATTATATAACGGATGATATCCCCGCAACGCAAATTCCTCCCGAAGGAACACGAGTTCCACCTAATTACCATTTAGCATATTTTCCTCCCAGAATTTATGAAAGAGATTTAGGAAAAGACGGCTCAGAAACTACACATGAGCCACCACTACAATCTTTAAGAAGAATGTGGGCAGGTGGAGAATTATCATTTAGTGCAACTAATCCATTATGTGTTGGCCAACATGCCACAATGAATACAAAATGTCGTGAAGTTGAAATTAAGTCAAGTCCTAGAGGGGAGAATATATTTGTATGGATAGATAGAAATATTACTAATGAATTCGGATGGAGTATGAGAGACACAAGATGTTTAGCATATATAAAAATTGAGGAAAAGAAACCGGAACAAAAAATTATTAAATGTAAAAAAAAGTTTCTTTTTTTAGGAAATTGCTCTATATAGATTCTTGTAAAAGCTAACACTACGTTCATTTACTAGTAAATAAGACACCGGATTTTGAACAAACTGTATTTCCAACTCCACTTTTATTATTTCGATTTTCAGCTTTGACTTTTAATAGTCACCGTATTCACTATGATCACCCTTATACAACTCAAGTTGAGAGATATCCTGGTAAATTTACTTGGCAGAAAGCTAATGTATCGAGAACAGTTCTGTAAACCTAGCTACTCACATTTATTTCTTTTATTCATTTCAGCATGTTTGGTCCACGGTCCCCTTACTCTTACGCTTCTTCTTGATTTAATGAGAGACAATCTTCCAAATAAAATATCGTACATTAAATCTTTTTCTTATCGAGCTGTTAGTCCATTATTTGTAGGTGAAGAATTTAAAATATGCGGAAAGAAAAGTGAGTCAGATAATCCGAGTGGTTCTTCCTATGAATTATGGGCAGAGAATAAACGTGGTGGGATTGCCATGAAAGGGAATGCAATCATTGAAAACATTTAATGGACATTTAAAAAAGTTATCATTTAATTTTATCACTATATGTAATTTCATTTATTAGCTTAATATCGCAAATATATTTTTTATCTATATGATGGGATTAATCTAACCAATTAGAGTGCTGTATATAATTCTGATGTAAATGTCATTGTTTTTTACCCATAGCTATAAAGTTCAATTATCCACTCAATTTGAAAATATTCTATATGAAACATTAGTTTCAAATCAGATAATTCAATAAATAATTATTGGTCATCCTTTTACGAAACAAACTTCAAATTGCGAAATTTAAATATGAAATTTCCTTTTTTATATCATTTTCTATATTTTATTTAATTCACCAATTAGATATTATCTGCAAATTATTATTTATTAATCTTTACTGCTTGACATAAACGATTTTTATTATTCCTATTGAAGATGTTGAAAGTCATATGATGGCATTAGCTAGAAGAAATACTTTACCGCCAATTACTTGGTTGATTCATATTCTGAAAAAGAGATTTTCAAATTATAAAAATTATAATGGATATGAGCGGCAATATCAGAGAATTCAATGACTTCTAGGAAATTGGAGTTGGGAATTACCTTACCTTAATATTCATCCTCCCTTTGTATTACATTTTCTTTTTTAAAAAAAGTATTTTTTTTTTATTTTTTGCTACACCCTATTCTTAGTTTCCCTTAGTCCAGAAAGAATAAATTTTTATTCTTATTATCACACTGACATAATCTAAATAAGAATTGATTATCTAAATTTAGAAATTAGTTTTAGCGATAGAAAAACATTATAGCTTCCAAACAAACCTTTTCATGTTTTCCATTAATTTAATATGTTTTATTCTTACATTTTAATAAGTGACCCTTCAGAATAACCATTTAGTTTAATAGTGTCATGTGGTAAAAGAAATAATGAAACGCTTCGCCTTTCCGATCCAAAGCATAATAAAGTTAGTTGTAAACTTGTTAACGTTATTAATAATAATTTTGCTACGAATGTAATGCTTACCTAATGTTTCTACTTCTACTTTCCAACAAGGTCTTTCTAAATATCGACGACGAAAGTGTGGTTGTCCAAATGTAACATATATAAACTAAAATCAGAGAAATTATTTATTTATTATGGTGTGTATTCTTAACATGCAAGAGGTATGATTCGGTACCTTCCCGCCGACTTTTAATATTCTTATATAAGGATAGGAATTTCAGTCCATCAATATAATCATGAAATTGTTACAAACAAATCAAAGTACCTGGTTACTTCGTCGACTTCTTTTCTTACAACCTCAATAACTTCGGGGTTCGGGTCCCAAACATCGCCTTCGTCACACATTAATGCATCCATCGTTCCTATGATATTGATATGCACACAAGAAAATTAATTATTTTTTATTCTTTAAATTTGCGAAACCTATGAACACACACCTTTATCAATCACAATATCAAATGTCCTATCGAGGAAATTGAGATCACGAATGTCCATTTCAATCCCTATTTCAAACAATTTATGAATAAGTAATCTTATAATAATTTCGCATAAAAAAATATTTTTTTCATTAGAGGCTTACATGTCATTCCAGTTCTGTCCTTACATCGAAGTCGCATGTTTTCTATTACGGTTTCTGAAAAATCAATGTTTGTGATATTATGATATCCATCATCATACATATCTTCCGACAATGCTATTTAGAAAAAACATTAATAAAGATAATTAAATTAAATACAATGAAGAGTAATTCCATCAAATTTCTTATCATCATACCGGAGTTACCACATCCCAACACGAGTATTGATACATTTTTATTAGGTAAATGCACATCAAATAACGGCTTTAATTCTTTATAGCTTTTAAACCAATCAAAAGAAATCTCGGGTGGTTCTCTTGAAAACGACAAATTGAAATTAAAATCAATTATTTATCCGAGATTAAGTTCGAACAACATTTATAAATTTAAACAAATTTATAAAAATTTAAAAAGATACTTTGAGTAGCGCTTTTCCCAATATTCTTTAGTTCGATATTCAGTCACATCGTCCGGAAGTATTTTTACTATTGGAGTTAGTGGAAATAAATTAATTTGACTTACATTACTCACAACAAATAAAAACAAATTAATAAAAAAAATCTTAACAATTTGTCGACATCGTTTATTTATTAATTAAAATTCCGAAACCTTTTTTTTGATAATCAGTTCATCATGTGATATAAATACATACCAATGTGTTCAGTCACTTCAGTGTAACAATGTAGACACAATGTAGACACTAACGCTAACGCTACCGAAGATAATAGTCAAATACAACTTCCTAATGTCCAGCTTTTCTCAAACATCGGCTACATTTCAGGAGGAATTCTCAAACGAAATAACCACACCAGTTAAAGGTTATTTGGTCGAATATGAGGGTTTAATAGATCAATTTTTTAATGCGATTGCATCATATTCGGAAGGAATAAAACAAATAAATCAAACACCGATAGAAATAATGAAAAAGATTGTAGCTTTAGATAAAAAATTACAGAAAGGACTTGATTTAAGTAAGAAATCATTTAAAAGAATAATTCATTTTTTAATTAATGTTCGTTAAATTTATATCACACAATTATTAGTCGAAGAACATCAAAAAGTTCATCGTAAACTTTTACAAATGGAAAATGAAATTGACATAGAAAATCAAGCATTGATGGATTTTGCGTTGGCACTGAAAACGGGAAAAGAACAACTCGATATATGTTTAGAGGAAGCACGCATAACAAAGCAAGCCATTCGAACGGCAGAAGAATGTAAAACTATAATAATTAATACAATATTTTGATTCTTCTGTTCAGATGTTTTGTTCTTAACTTTCTTAATTAATAGCTCGAGTGAGTGCCGAAGAAATATTGGATTATGCTAATAGACTAAGCCAATATACATCAGCTCCACCCCATTACAATCCTGCAATACCTTCTTCGATGATAGCCTATCCACCTTACCCTGATGAACCACGTATGCGAATGGGATTATTATTTCGGCAGCACGCAGACGAAAGTTTTGAAGATGGTAATGTGCAGAAAATTAGTATATATATCTGAAAATTATAATGTACTTACTTCTTTGAATCTAATAGAAGATCAATCTCTCGAGGAAGAGGACGAAGAAGATGATGAAGATGAAGAACCTGATCGTGTAATGATAGATGAAACACACGCAAGATCAAATTCTTTTGGCCCCGTGGAAATTGTGCAGCAAACCAATCAAACAGATGCTCTCAATTTGGATTTGAATCCTGATCTGGAATATTAAAAAACTCGATTCTTAAAATTAATTCTCATTATTACGAGATGAATTAATCGACCGCAGTGAATTCATGAGTTGATCCTTCGTAAATGATTGATAATTTAACGTATTTTCTAAAATAAATTTCCTAATTTGGAAATTAAACGACAAGTAGCAATATTGTAATTTATTGTTCACGTTACACACATATTCATTGCATTAGCTGCATTAAGATAATATGAAGTAGGAAGCAGTGGAGCAAATGTATCGTTCTTGACCTGTGCGACGGGTCTGACTGGACCGCATAATATATTTTACAATAGGGGGGGTGGGTTCAAGGTTATGCCATCAGGAAGCAGTGGAAGTAGATAAGTCGCGACGAAATTTCAATGTTTTGATCCAAAATAAACATTTTTTATCACGTAAATATTCCACGCGACCATAAGTTCTCAAACTCATCTATTTTTAGGAAAACCAGTTTTTGTACGTGACGTACATGACGTAAGCAAAAGCTAACAAAGAACTAACTAAATATATTGAAATAAATAAACTATGTAAACTAAAGAATTGATACCGTGACACGCGTTTGTCATTATTTATCAATAGTGGCTTGTAGGATCAAAGGTTACACGAATCACTCATCACAAAACACGACACGGTTATATAAAGAGCTACATCTCAAAGTTCGTTTTCGACTTTCAAAAAAACTCTTCCCCCTAACTACTAAGAAATACTAACGCCAACAAATTCATATATTGTCAAGACTCTTTGACACTTTTTTTAAACCTCTTATACTTAAAACGAAACCTTCCATTTTTATTTCAATAAAGAAAGATGTCTACTGTGGAAAGAGGAGACTCCGCTGGAAGAAGCTCTCGTGGACGAAACGCTGAAAATACTGCTCCGCCCGCTCCAGAAGAAGGAGGAAAAACAAAAACAAAGCAGCGTAAAGGAGCAAAAGCCATAACAACACCTCAAAAGGTCACAAAAAGCGTTAAGGCAGGACTTACGTTCCCCGTTGGCCGTATGAGCCGTCTTCTCAAGAAAGGTAGATATGCTGACCGTATCGGTGCTGGTGCTCCTGTATATTTAGCTGCAGTCCTAGAATATTTAACTGCCGAAGTACTTGAACTTGCTGGAAATGCTGCAAGAGATAACAAGAAACAAAGAATTATCCCCAGGCATCTTCAATTGGCTATACGAAATGACGAAGAACTTAATATCTTGTTGAGACATGTCCATATTGCGGAGGGTGGCGTTCTTCCAAATATTCACGTCGAACTACTTCCCAAGAAGAAAGGTGAAAAGAAGACTGTCGTAGTTGGCAGTGGACCTGTAAACCCATCTCCAAAGAAACCTAAAGCCGGTGGAAAATCCCCTGCTGTTCAAAAAACGGCATAATTATTTTTTTTCTTTTAATTTACTATATTACATTTTTACGCTAAAGGATTTTAGGGGGGATGTAGTACTTCTGTTAACGTTTATTTAAAAAAAAAAAAAATAAAGAGAGACAGGAACATTATAGTTTGTAATTTTTTTCTCTAGTGATCGGTCGGAAGTTTATTTCTGCACACAAAATGTATCAAAGACGTTGGAAAGAACATAAATTTTTTATTTCCCTTTAATCCCCCAACATAATAATATTAAACCATTGTGATGTAGTAATTAATAAATTTTAATTATAATAAACCTTTCTTGAGAAGTTTTTCAATTGTTTACTTTTTTTTTCGAATGCGTCATAAAATATTACCATTTGCACAATTGTTTGTTCGTTAAAAATTAATCGGCTTAATCACCCCATAAAGGGAAGATTGTCTTTGAATTTCTATATTTTCTTAAAGATCATTATCATTCATCATATAATTACTAATTGGAAATGTTAATGAAAATTAATGAAAGAAAATCATTAATATAAAATGTATATTTAATCGACAAGGTCAATTTCATTTAATCAGCGAAAGATTCATTACTTGATATTTAAAAACCAACTAAAAAAAATGAGACGAAAGATTTAATGTCATAGAAGTCTCACGTGATATCTATTAGCTAGCTCTTAACGAATTATTATTAGCGATTAAAAAGCCACATTATCAGCTACAAGTTTAATTTTAGTCACACCTACTTGTGGGTGCTTCCGTTACGCGTAAAGGTCGGGATTAACATTGCATATTTTAATATGTCCGTGCGAACCCAAACCCGAATGGTTGGCAATTACGATTAGTTCCACGTGCGTATTTAAGAAATGCACAATTTTATTGAATCCATTTTTCTAGGAATTTGTCTAAAATGAAAACTCGTGCAAAAACAGCAAATTTAATTAAAGAATTTTTTTCTTCTTCCCATTATGCAGTTGTAGGTGCTTCTAATGATCCAACAAAATATGGCAATAAAGTTTTAAAATGGTATTCCTAAATATATTTAATTTTTTTTTATACATTTATGCAAAAAAAAAAATAATTCAAAATAACATTAACATTTTAGGTATATCTCTAATAATCGTCTCGTCACTCCAATTAATCCGGTATGAATTTTATTTAAATGCAAACTTTTTATGGCTTTCTAATTATTAAGGTTTATTTACTAGAATGAAAGATTAATTGAAGGTTTAGAATGTGTTCCAAATCTTTCTTCATTAATCTCAAACCTTAATCATACTGATGTCTCGGTCTCAGTTATTACTCCTCCGAAAATTACTAAAACTATTCTTGAGGAAGCTAAAAAGGTAGAATGCGACTATCATTTATTATTTCTTTTTTTCCTAGATAATGATATTTTTGTTTCTTTTCAGCTTGGAATTAAAAAAGTTTGGTTACAACCAGGAGCTGAGGATATTGAATGTCAAGATTATGCCAATCAAGCGGGAATTGATTTGCTTAGTGGTGGTCCTTGTGTTTTAGTTGATGGTCCAAGATTATAATTAGGAAAATTTCAATTGTAAAAAATGTAAACTTTATTTATAACATCTGTAAATCCTACAATATAAGCTAACATTTTATTTGCTTATAAATCAGTAAAGCAAGGAAACCCGAGAACTTTTTCTCGGCTCACTGTCAATCCCATATTTGTTTTTACATCTCTTAATACTGTTGATAAATCTCCCCAAAATATAACTCCTCCTGCAAGACCTTCCCATAAACTCCAAGGCCTATCTGGAACTTTGACACGTTTTTTTTCAGTTTCTTTTTCCCATTGACTTGCATAAAATCCAAATGCGAGTGCTCTACTTAATTGCTCCTCATTTTTAGTAACGAGATAAAGGAGGAGGAATGAATAGGCATTTCCGAGAGAATTATGACAAAGACCCGTAAGACCCTTTTTCAAAATGCCACGTTCCCATATCAAATCAGAAGATTTTATAGCTGCAGATAATAAAGTCGAAGAAATTGCATGTGTTGGATATAATTCATATATCTTTAAAAATGCTGGAACGATTCCCGGAGCACCATGGCATACTCTTTGAAATACTGCTCGTTAGTTCAGATTAATAATTAACCATAGTTCTAACGATTATAATCATAGCGTACTTACTGAACCAAATGATCACCACGATTTGACAAGCTTGAAGGATAATTCCCATTCTCAAATGCGTTTTTAGCTAGCCATTCCATTGTTTGAAACAAGTCATTCAAATATGGTTCGGCAAGATTTTTAAATTGTAACAAGATAGCAACGATACCAGCTTTTTTTTCCTCGTTAGTATGAAAGATGATCAAATATTAAATAAAACACGTGTTAATTAACACTTACCAACACCATGCACAGCACCGAGGTATTCCTTTCCTTTCCAACTCCACATTAATGGAGGTTTCTCAACACTATTAGAATCTGCTCCACCTTTTTGACCTTCTACGATGATCAATTCAAAAATTTCTTTGATTTTGTCATCTGTTAATTTTTGCATGATCTCTTCATTATCGAAGCAATGGTTTTGTATAAATTTTAACGCGTAAATATAACCCGCACGTCCATACAACAATTCATTAGAATCCTCTTTTATTGCTAAATGATGATACTTATCAAGAATTAAATTCATATAATTTAAGGCTTCATCGGAATTTTTTTCTATTGTATGATAAACCACTACAGCTAAAGCCAGGGGTCCAACATGACTTATTAAAAACCCAACATGCTTTGTCGTAGTTTTCTTTGCCGCAGATAATGCAGCTGAAAGATATGTAGTGCACAACAGACCAACTTTATCACCAGCAATAGTCAAATTGGGATTAAGTTGGTGTAAGTGAAAGTACGTGAAAGCTATACCAGCGTACCCTAAAATTTAAAAGAGTTATTATAAAAACTTAACCGGAATAATACTTCTTGAATAATAAATGTTTACCATCATATACATTATAGTCCCGAGAATAATGTGATATTGGATAATTGAAAAGAATCTTTTCAGTATTAAATTTTACAAAATGATCAAGTTTTTCGGGATTAGCATCGTTAATACTCGGAATGTCTAATGAGTTTTTTAGATAACGTTCAGTCATTGTTGTCAAAAGAAAAATGAATAAACATAAACATCTAGTAATATAATCCTCACATTGCACAACTTGTAAGGTACTCACTATTTAAATATTTTTAAGCCGTGTTAAAATTTAAGTATTATAATAATTCCGTTATGAAACTAAATGAACTGATTAAAAAAAAGTTATCCACTATTGGCTTACATGATGAGGTATTTGTTAACTATGATACTTGCCAACAAGGTGAAAATTCAATTTATTCACTGTTAATTTGTTTAGACGTTTGACGAGTACATTGTAGGAATTATCACTGATGATTCACTAGAAGAATCGGAAAAGAGAGAAGCCATTTCCGAATTTATATTGGGTGCAACAGTGAGAATATTTATTAGAAGCTTGAATAGTTGTTAAATGATTATTATTTATTTATTTTCAATTTTCATTAAGGACACACCATCAAAATCAATAATAGATGATATATTCGAAGCATGGGCCGAATTTAAAGTGGAGGAACAAGAAATTAAAGAAAAACGAGAAGAAAAAGAGGCAAAGGGTATTATAAAATTTCTTTTTCGTATTTTATGTCTAAATTTTTATAAGTCTTACAATATATTATTATTTACAAGAGTGTGACGCTATACAACAAAAATCGGATGCTTTAATATCTACCGAATCTCCTACGATGTTGCCTCGTAATACAAAAAAACGGCTTACAAAAGAAGAGCGCAAAAGACGCGAAAAGTTGCTTGAAAGATATAGTTACGATTTAGATGAGGTTATAGAAAATGAAAATGGAGAAGCAGAAATCCAATATAAAGACAGAAATGAAACTAAGGAAATTAATGAAGGTAATAAATCTTATTTTTTTAATATTTAAATGGTTGTTTTATATCAATTAATAATTCTATTTATATTACATAAAAGTTTTGTTAAAAACCAATCGCAATGCAGAACAAGTAAAACAAAGAGAACAATTGCAAAGAGAGCAAATGAAAAAGCAACATGAGGAAGAAAAAGAAAAGAATCGTAAACTTTTGGAAAAACAACAGCGAGATAAGGAAAAAGCAAAACGGAAGACGATGAAAAGAGAAAAAAGAAGTTGGTAGAAATGTGTGGATTATTTGTTATTCTATATCAAGAATAATCATCCCATTCTTATAATTTCAATAAATATATTGATATAATACTTTTTTTCTAGTCACCATAATATTTACCTGATATAATGGATATTACACCGAATTGCAAATCGTTCAGTTTAGGTTCTTCCTTCTTTGATAATGATATGTCGTACTTTTGATTTTCAGATTTGACCGCGATAAATTTATCTTTTCCAAGAGGCTTCCAAATTATGGAATTGTACATTAATTCTGAAAAACTATGATACTCAGTTGATTTAATATCAACAATCTCTTTATACAATTCCTTGTATAATAATTCCAGACAGCACGGATATAAAATGGTCCGATTTGGGACTAAATTTCGCGTTTTCCACAAAATTTGCTCAGCCTTTTGCTTTTGCATTTTCAATCGCTTTTCATTTTTAACTTTGCCAATGTCCCGACCAAATCCGATATCATATAAGCCTTTATCATGTCCATTAGATTTCGTTTTCTTTGTAGATAGAAACGCGTCAAAAGATTCATCTTTAATTATGGTTGAATTAGTTAAAGAAATCCATTCCGAGTTGTTATTTGGACAAGTTACAATTTTAAAACTTTGGGGCCAAGTTTCAAGTATGAATTCAGATAATGTTGTATCAGAAGACCTCGCGAAATTGTCCCAGTCAAATTCACTACAATAGGTCTTATAATATAAATCCAATATTTGGTCGATGTTTATGAAGGGGACCTTTTCGTGAACTAAAACTGTCATATTTATTATTAAAATGAAATGCAAGTAATACTTACTAAATTTATATAATATTATTTATTGCTCACATAAATTTCTGATCCATTTTTCGATTTTTTCAAGTTCTTCATAATCTTCTTGCGAATAGAAATCATCGTCGGATAACAAATCCACTTGTTGTTCTCTCCCCTTACCAATACAATATCGACTTAGGTCTGCTTCAATTCTCACCATTGGGAGTATACACGTTCAAAAAAGTCAATCGAAAACTTATGGTGCTACTTCCCTAATTCCCTTATATGTTCATAACCATTAATTAATCCACGTGTTAACATTGATCAATTGTTATCTATATATGCAATAATGATATCATTTACCATTCAATCAATCATTCGTGAAAAAGACAATCGGCGACCAAATTTCCCCGAATTTCCCGAATTTTGGAGTTATAAATTGATTTGATTACGAACTTTTTTTTTTTGATTTTTTTAAAAAAATTTCATTACTCAATATTACTTATTCTCTCAACCTAGAGATCGAATTTGAATACGGTAAAATATTGCAAACTCGGCCGATCGCCGTTTAAACATTTAAGTGATTGCTTGCAAGTATGCAGTCAGTATACAAATTAGTCTCTACTGTAAACCAATTTTACAGAGAAATTAATCCGTCAACACTTTCTGGTGCAATTGATGTAATCGTTGTTAAAAAACCTAATGGTGAATTAGCATGTTCACCTTTTCACGTTCGATTCGGGAAATTAATGGTTCTAAGACCTCAAGAAAAAAAGGTATATAATGGTAATAATACTATTAATTTAGTATATAACTAATTTACTTGTTTATATAGGTCGAAATTGTCGTCAATGGTAAAGTCGTTGATTTCCCAATGAAAATTGGGGAAGCTGGTGAAGCTTTTTTCGTGTTCGAAACTGAAAATCACGTCCCAGAAGAACTGCGAACCTCTCCATTAGCAGGTCCCAGTCAGCCTTTACCAACTGAAGAGGTAATATTTGTTGTGATTTAGTAAATCTAATTAAACAGCTAATCAATTTTTTGGACATAATAGGAACCCGATTTCTTAGATTTAAATACAGATAGCTCTAAAGAAAGTGGTAATTATCCGTTTAATATGATTCTCTTTTGGCAAATATGTTATCAATATTTTAATTAATTATGTCTAATTTTCAGTTTCTAAAAATAAGGTTGAGCAAAATAATGCAATTGGCTCAGGTATGTGAATTGTTTTATAATCAGGTTTAATAATTTTGCTATGATTAACATTTTAGATTTTGGAACAGAAGATGATTATGAGGGAGACGCTGAACCAAAAGTGTTTGTTGCTGAGCCTGAGCATATGAGTAGGATGAAAGTTGATACACCTTCGGAAATTATAACTCCAGCTAGTCCAACGTCTGAAGAAGGCACTATAACGGATGAGGTTACAACTCCGACTACAATACCAGATGAATATGATGATGAATCAAATAAGGCAATTTTGAATGCTGATATTATTCATGAGGTGAATGAAAGACTTGCAGTTAACAATCAGGATATAAAATTGGAATCAAACACGTCAAATCTAGTATTTTCGATTAATGATGATGAACGAGATTCATTGGCAAAGCTACATCTTGAAACCGGTAATTTTCCGATTCTTTGTTAAAATTCATTTACTCAACTATTCTAATACTAGTTTATACTTTTGATACTTCTAATAGAAATAGTATTAAAAGATGGTGAAGATGCAAACCAGCCGAATAGAGAAAATAATAATAAGCTTAATTTAAACGATATTGTTTCTGTATCAGATTTGAAAAAGGATGAATCTGATCTAGGTAAGAAATATTATTCGAAAATAATATACATATCTTTTTTTTTTATCATCATCGATTGTAACAACAATAAAATAGGACTATAATAATAATACAGTTAATTCGTGCAGAAGTTCAATTTAATGATGTGATGGCAACGCAAAAAAAAAACGGAGAATTAGAAACCGAAATATCGAGGCAGAATCGAGAGAGAGCTTTATCGATGCCACCTGTTCATCCAAATTGTTCGTGCGTTATTTTTTTGTTAAATTTGATTTGACATTGTAACAATGTCTTAAAATTTTCAGTTAATTAATGTATTTGTGTATTATTTTAATATAATATAATACAGGGGAAAAATCTGAAGGACCATTTTCCGATACAGAATTGGAGGAAACACGAAAACCGGAAAAACCTTTGGAAAGGCGAACAAGTAGAACTAGTCCTTTGAGTGATACAGAATTGGAATATGATCCCAAAAAGCCTACGAAAGATTCGGGAGAATGGTCATGGAGATGGGGGGCATTGCCTGTAAGAAAATCTGAGAAAATTGAACACTGGCAAGATGGCGTTGACGATAAAGATTGGGGAAATGATAATACAGCCGAAAAAGAATCAGGCATAGAAATTGGAGGAAACTTTCATCATTTTGAAATATCATTATGCGGAAGCGAAGATTTTGGAAGAGACGAGGTAATTATAATGATTTATTAATTCTTGGATTATTTTCTAATATTGAACTTGTATTTAATTTGTTTATTTAAATGTATTTATTAAAGGAAATTGACGCTGAAATGTTTCGCAAGAATCAAATTACATACGAATTTTTCTCTAAAAGTCCACGAATTTTGAATGATAAATCTTTAGTTGTTAAATATAACAGCAGGTATTGTTTACTTTATATGTTTTATAATAAAAATTTATTTATTAAATTTAAATTAAATTTTTTTTTGTCTTCGTCTTAATTAAGATATTATTCGTGGCAATCTGCTGCACCAATAATAGCTTCTTTACTTGTATTTCAAAAGCCTCTTCCAGATTCGACAGTGACTGATTTATATAATAATAAGTGTAGATCGTCTGATCAGCGCAGATATAGTTTAAGAGGATGGAGTCGATGGTGGAGTCGTTCATCAAGTCCACTTCCAATAGAAGCACCAGTAAAAGTTGACGACAAGCCAAAAAATGACGTCGAAAAGGTTAGTAAGCAAGTTAATAACGAAAACACTGGCTATGATCGATTCTGATTAATTTCATTATTTTATTTGTATAGGAAGAAGAAAAACCAACAAAGTTTTATGCAAAAACACTCCGTCTTACTTCTGAACAATTAGTAAGCTAAGCTAATGAATTTATAATTCTTTAGAAATAATATGTAGACGTGCGTACTAATTTCATTGGCTTATTGTTTATAGAAAAGTCTTAATTTAAAGAAAGGAGCAAACACAATATCTTTCTCCGTCGCATCCTATCAAAAAAAAGCCACATGTATTGCGAAGCTATTCTTCTGGGACTATGATACACAGATCGTAATTTCTGATATAGATGGAACTATTACAAAGTAATTAGAAATGTTTAATTCATGCTTAATTTCTTTTATACAATAAACTCACTTTTTATTGTTATTAGGTCAGATGCTCTTGGTCATGTGTTTACAATGATTGGCAGAGACTGGACACATTCAGGTGTTGCCAAATTATATACTGATATTACAAGGAATGGATATCAAATTTTATATTTGACAAGTAGAGCTATCGGACAGGTAATAGAAGTTAAATCACTTAAAAACTTATCTAAATAGAAAAAGATAATTGAGCATTTTTATTTTTTTAGGCTGATTATACAAGAGATTATTTAAAGAAAGTGGAACAAGACAAATATCAATTACCCGATGGGCCTGTTATTATGTCACCTGATCGTTTATTGACCGCTTTTCACAGGTATCATACAACCAAATCATTAATTCATGTACTTTCAATTTCAAACTTTTTGATTTTGATTTAATAAGAAATTTCTTTTGAATTTAGGGAGGTAATTATGCGCAAACCCGAAGTTTTCAAAATGGCATGCTTGCGAGACGTGCAAAAATTATTTGGAGATAGAAATCCATTTTTTGCAGGTTTTGGAAATAGAATAACGGTATAAATTATAAATTTTATAATCTCGTAATCTTTCTTGATTCATGAAATTAATTGAAATATATTTATATATTAGGATGCTTTATCCTATCGAAGCGTTAATGTACCACCATCAAGAATCTTCACAATTGATTCAAATGGTGAAGTAATATTGGAGTTATTGTCAGGATATAGATCATCGTTAGTATGATTAATTTGCTAAGTATGTATAAATTTAACCATGGCCACTAATGAAATTCTCTTAATAGATATGTAGATTTAAGTGATTTAGTGGATCAAATGTTTCCTCATATTGGTGGTCGTAAATGGGATACAGTTTATAATGATTGGAATTATTGGAAACCGCCTTTACCAGACATTGAAATACCTCTAGAAATATATGAGAATCAGTCAACAACACCATCGTCTCCAAGGAGTTCAGCTGTTACGATTGGATCTCCACGTTTAGGGATGATTCGAAATTTAACCGGTAGTATAACGGGCAGTAACAGCAATAATCCTACAATATCAGCACATGGTGTATTAGAATCACCGGGAAATCATTTATTAAATAAAACAAATGGAAACGATTCTGTAATAACTAATCAAAGGATTGTTTATGTTGGAGGTGATGTTGATATGCCAGGAAGAATGGATATATATTCAGATGAAAACGCAAGTATGGTGGGATACGACGATGAAATAGATGATGGAGATGATGAAGGCGAATACGAAAACGACGACGAGGATGATGACGAGGGTGAGGATGATGATGAAATTGATTATATACCGACTGATATTGATTTAAGCAGCATACCGTATTAGATTAATGTAAATTTGTAAATTATATTGTACTTATATTTCTTTTCAAATAGTAAAATTTAATTTTCTTTAATTTTATGTGATGATGATATATTAGCAATAAATAATTTCAAAATATACACCAAACAAGAATCTCATTGTTAAATAAATATAATAGATTATAAATTAATTAATTATCACCTAATTTGTTTTTTTTATTCATTTTACAAAATGTAAACCTTTATTCATTTTTTTTTTTCTTCGCGTTGTGCATAAATCATTGAAGTGAATGGTCTAAGAAAAGAAAGATAATGAAATTAGTTAAGAAGATAAATCTAAATATATCAATATGATCATAGACGCGTACCCCTCAAATCGAAGTGCAATTAAGTAAAGTATAAAAGCCCAACAAGTCAAAATAATTCCGGCAGGACTTGCATACCATAAAGCAGTAGATAGAAATACCATTGAAGAACCATAATACATCGGATTATCAAGAACATTAAAAGGAAAAGATGTAATACGATCATCCATTAAGATACCAAAGTAATCGCCTAATAATTTTATCAAAATAAAATTAGAGGGAAACCATACGAAGAACAAAAATAAAATTTCACGTACCTAAATAAGTTCCTGTTACACCCAACACATACATTGATGATAATACAAAAAAATTTCCGGTAAAAAATAATACTAAAGCTAATCCTTTCGAATAATCATTATCTAAAGAAGAAAGTTTTTGCTGTTTATCAATTGCATTTTTATATCTTCATTCATTCGGATTTCGAAAAAATTAATTTTTTTTTTTAACGTAGAAACGTAAATAAATGTATAAATACACAAACTTTTAAATTGATAGGTTAAAGACTTACAAGATATCTCTGAAAATTCCAAGGAAAAAAATTATTATAGCTAAACAATAACAACCAATATATGGATTTCCACCAACAAAACGGGTTAAAAATCTCGTTTTATGTTCTATATATATATTTTTTAAGAAGGAAATTAAAATAATAAATTCATATTCTATTATATTTATATAAATAAAAGTAAAGAATCTCTAACCTCTTCTCGCGACAAAATTCCAAAAAAGTGGATTAAAAGTTATAGAAGCGAAAGAAATCCAAAAGGATTTTTGAGAAAAATCAATATTATCTAAAAATTCCTGATACATTTTTAGTATCCAATGTATAAGAAAGAAATTGGGTAACGCATAAAAAAATCGAACAAAAATATATCGAGGAAATACATCGTGAATTTATTTATTTTATTTTTTTTTTTTTTAAAAAAAAAAGGCGCGCCTGATCTTCGAACATGTGCAAAATATGTAATGTACAACTTGTATTACGTAAATTTCATGTATTTCATGTGGATTTCATAATTTATAATTATCTCAAATTGCCAGATGGTTATAACAATTATATGTCTTAACGTCTTATGTACGTAGAAATAACACAATTATCATATTGACGTTCGTTTGTCTTTACATAGATTAATTAAATCAATTAAATCAAAAAAAAAAAATGGATACAAAAGATCGTTGTAAATTTTATTCTTTCTCTAGAGTCAGATGGTGTAAATTTGATAATCTTAAAATCTTGTGACACCATTGATTTGTTTTGACTCTGATCAATTAATTGAGGAGGGCAAGTAAAAATGTAAAATAAAAATATATTGAATTACTTTTTTTTTTGAAAGTAAATAAGGTCAGAGTATAATCGATTACTGTGCATAAATGTACACAAAGTACAGTGGGACAACATATTATTTCATAAATGCTATTTACATTATAAAATAATTTATTTTTGTGTGATACAAAACGTCAGCACAAAAAATTTTTTTAAATATCATTCAATATTACTAAGCAAAGTGGTTACTGAATTATAAAATATACATACATATTTACAAGAAAAAATCACCCTCAATCACCTCAATCACGGAAAAGACAATAATGCAAGTGTAAAAAGGAAAACTTAACAAATTATATTTACAATGCTTATAATTGAGATAAAAAAAAAGTAAATAAAATAATTAAGAAAAAGAAAGAAATTAATAAATGAAGTTTTCCATTAGGTCTTTTCATAAAACAACATATAAGCCTCTTCGTTGAGCACTTGCTTTAATTTAACCTCCTCAACATACTCATCAGAAAGACGCCACCAACCATCGCTTTCTTCTTTGCGACGATAAGTAATAAAGTGACCTGATCTATGATCACCTTGATGAACTATCACTGATTTTAATTTATAAATATTTTCACCAGATGGAATCTCGTCTTCCTTACAACTTGCACCAATACCTGCTAAAATTGGTGATGATATTGGAGACGAGGCAATTGGTGATGGCGGAGCTGACATCGGTTCACTTGGCATATTAGCCAAGTATCCTCCTGATATATATTTCATCATGTCAATTGACTCTGGAAATTTAACTTTGCACGGATTCTTAAAAGTAAGCCCACTTTGATAATAAATGGATCGAGAAAAGTGGATTGAAAAAATGTCTGGCAATTTTGCAAACATTGTAACTTTGCTGGCAGTATTTTTTAAATGGGCCAATTTCGTCACTTGCAATTGATCACTTATGTCCGTATCAACATCGATCGCAAGTGCCTTTTTGATGATTTGTCTATCATTTTCGAGCTTTCCTTTAGCAAGATCGTCTTTCCCAATTTCAAGCGCCTTTTCAATAGCTGCCAATGTTTCAACCAAAGAGCAATGTGGGCAATTGTATTCATCAATGAAATCGGTCCCAGCATATGTTCGTAAGAGAACATCTAGAGGAACTGATGGGAGTCCCGATGGGAGTGGAATCGAGATATTATCGAATGTTGTGTGTCGAATTGGTCCACAATATCCACATTTCATACAAGAAACACGATATGCTGTTAACCCGCGAAGCGGATTACGATCATTTACAATATTCGTAATAGTATCATTTTTTGCCGCCATTTTTTTAATTAGTTCAACGTCAAAAAGAGATTTCGGACGTCGAATATGATCTTCTTCGGCTCCGAGAGATTGAAATAAGAACTGAAAGAGTTCGTGTGCGTCTTGTTGTTGCCTATTAATTAAACGTCTTGCGTTAGCCTGTAAGGCCCAAACTACATCAGTTGCAATAAATGATTGTTGTTTCGTTAGAGGTACATTGAGCCTTTCTAAGGTTGCATGTAATGCAACAGTTACTGGTAGTTCTGCATCTATTGGTTTATTTTTAATTTTTTTTTCCAAATATTTCCGGAAACTTTTTAATGAAGCCAGGCTTTGTAGCACAGAATTAAGAAAACAAATATTATTCCCCTGATTTATTAGACCAAAAGTATAAATTTTAGTTTCTTTTTCTTTGTTGGAATTATGTTTTTTCTTTCGTTTTGAGTCTTTTACTTTTGGAGTTACAAAAAATGGTGTAATTATTAAGATCGCTGTGGTAACAAATAGCGAAACGGTAACTAGATTACTTGTTTCCATGGCGACTAGCAAAAGCTAGGGTATATGAAATATATTAGAGATCTACAATAAATAAAGTTTTCTCTAGATTAATTTTACATCGAAGCGATTGTTATTTCAATATTGCTCGCAACAAGGTTTCTGTAGAAATTAAGGTTGCACGATTTTTTATTTGTGCAAGTAGCGGTATCAGTTTTTAACCGATTCGAAATCGACATACCATGCTTGTCGATCAATACTTTTTCGTTGTACTATCTATTTATAGGTTTTTTTAATGATATTTCCTTATTTATAAATCTGTTCCATCAATTCCATATAAAGAAAAAATGTGGAGAAGTTTGTTCCATTGTTTTATGAAACAAATTAAATTTGGCGGGGATTTGATGTCTGAATTCGATTAGGTAAACAAACCCTTTAATTAATTTTTTTTTATTATTATTATACCACGAAACTGCTCAGCATTATAGATTTGTTTCAAATATATATATATATATATATCAATTGTTCATGTATTTAAAAAATGTTATTACTACTTCCTTATTTGTAAATAAACAGAATGATCAATTCAGTTTTAGCGCTTAACCTTTAATATAATACAAGCATTCACATAACAATGAATTTTTCCCTTTGTCTCAATTTCCATGATTATAAAAAGAAAACAAAGATTACTTTGAAATGTAATTTTCTTATAAATACACCATTAATTCACACGCTATTAAGAATTGACAACAGTCCAATATATCCCAATTTTTTTTCAATTTTTTTCCTGTTATTTCACCTTATTTAAGTATACACAGCGGGACTGTGAAAAATAAAATAAAATAAAATATAAACAGTTTCGCTAGAAAGTAATAAAATAAACAAGTAAAAATGGATAACCAATTACAAATTTTGTCAAAAAAAATTAGTGACCACCTAGGAGAAATCTACAAAAATAAGTGCAGAGTCGCCTCTCTTATTTTTGTTCTGTTATCATTAATATCTTTCCTTACCATGTTAATTGGTAGTACAAATGGCAGTGTAGAGTTAAATAAATTCACCTTTGATGGGCCTATCAGTAGTATTCTTCAAAGGAAAAGTATAACATTCACTTTATTAGGTTACTGCATTGATGATAAATGCACCAGTGAAGTATCACATAACTTTGATAAAGGTAAATTTAATTATTGGATATTAATATTCACTGTGAAATAAAATTAAAAGGATGTTTCTTTTTATTTAGGCCCAACTTCTAATGAAATTCAATCCGGAGAAGTAAAAAAACGTGGCATCGACATTGATCCAAGTGGTGTAGCGGATAAAGTAGGCGAAGCTGCAAATAACGCGGGTGAAATTGCCAAAGATGCTGGTGGAAAAGCAGGCGAAATTGCTCAAGATGCTGGTGGAAAAGCAGGCGAAATTGCTCAAGATGCTGGTGAAAAAGCAGGCGAAATTGCTCAAGATGCTAGTGAAAAAGCAGGCGAAATTGCTCAAAATATTGGTAAAAAAGCCGCAACCGCTTTATTATCGGCCTTTGACAGTTTTCTTCCTAAAGAACCTACTAATGGTAAATCCGGTTGGATAGCTCGTCCTATCATCACTGCGTCAATATTTGATGCGCTGGCTTTCCTTTTAATATTAATTACCACTACTGATAATAGAAAGTATTGCTATCCTTCAGCTTTCATTTTATTATTAGTATCTTTTATTCTTAATATAGTTTCCTTCTTTGTTACCTTTTCACTATTTTCTTTAGTATTTAATGTGATTGGTGCTTTTCCTGGTATTGGAGATAATAAGACTGGTTCTGCTATATATTTGTCCGGTTTCAGCTCTGTTTCCTTACTTATTACTATAAATCTTATAATCATTGATAGTTGTAGAAGTAAAAAAAATAAATAGACAAAATTACTAAATATAGATAAACTTTATTCTACTTGTTTATTTATCATTGTATATTAATATAACAGGAAAAAAATAAAATAAAATTTGGGATATATAATTAAACATCATAAATTTCTAAAATTTGTAATCTCAACTGCATTGATATTAAACATAAAAAGCTTTCATCGAAAGCTTTCATCCTTTTGTTGAAGAACCTTGATAAGTTGGATCTACAAGAAGAGAAACATTTGTCAGTTAAGAGATATAAATATAAAAATTTTAATTTCTTTTTTTACCTTGACTCGGGTAAAGAAAATCTGACGGCGCTTCACCAGGAGGTGCAGGAATTTGCATTGATTCAAGTGGAGGAAGAACAACATTTTGGGTAGTAGCTGCCTGAACTTCAGTTTTGGGTCCAGTAGGACGCGGTCTCCCCCAGGTGATTTTCAAATCATGCTCTTTTATATTCAAATTACTATGAGATTTATCTATTGCTTGTTCAGCCGATGCTCTAGTTGCAAAATTAATAAAGGCACATCGTGACTTATGTACAACTACGACTGATTTAATTTCACCAAACGCGTAAAAATATCCTTTAAGGTCAGCTTCATCGATATCATCCTCGACTCCAGTGATAAATAACGATGTCTAAAAAAGTATATGAAATAATTAGTGAAATTAATCAATAATATTTCTGAAAAAAAGAAAACATACAATTGTCTTGTCCTCTGGTGGTGTGATATTTGAACCATTACCGCCCTTCACACGATTTAAAATCTTTTTCGCAACTGGGTCATTTGTACCATAATAACGATCTTTGATGTTTTGATGGGATAATTCATTTTCTTCGGGTATCTCGTGTCTAAATAGTGTGAAATAATAATAATTCAAAATAAATATAATAGAAGCTAAAAAAAATATACTGATGAGTTATTACCCACCTGTATGGACATTCGTCGCCACGTGTACATGACCCTTTAACAAAAAATGAACATATATGTGGTCTATTGCGCTTATAATAAGGCTCTGTTCTAGCAAGCTTTTTTAACATCTCTCGACCAGATGAATCTGCTTTTCCATAATTAATTAGACTTTCAGCACCTGAGATCTATTAATTCAAAGTATGAAGGTTAATAACAGATTAAAAATTTCTGAGTATTAATATTTTTTTATTTACCTTCCCTTCAATGTTTTGAGCAAAATATTCCCTATTGATTTCTGACCTAGGTGCATCATTAGTAACGTTAAGAGCTGTGTCACGAACTTGCACAGGAAGATTGTATTGTAAATCCAATAAACATGTCTGGCACACATTCTTTAATTTAGCACATGTTTGACAAATTTCTGTTTTTTTGTATCGCATCCCGGCTCCAGGAAGCCATCTAAAGATTGTAAAGGGACGAGAGCAAACCTAATGGAATTATTAATATTTAATAAAAAAAATAGATAATACCGAGAAACCGAACTTACTTTGCATTCTTTTCCAAATCCTTGCCTTGTCTTGATGTGGGTAAATTAAAAAATAAGCTAATTAAGTATTTAAAGAATAAATTTATATTCAAAAAATAATGAAGAAAATATAAATATGATTACCATTCGAACGTAAGGGTTGTCTCCAAGGCAAGTTTCGCAAAGAATCGGAAATTCCTTTGCAATATGAAAAAAAAGTATAAATTACTATTGACGTAAAACCATAATTACAAGTACAGCAAACTTACGGATTCTTCCCAGCCTTGTTTGTTTGGATCTGCTTTAGCAGCCATTTTTGAACGAGCACAAGACAAGAAAGTATTGAAAAATTCTGGTACTATTAGTAGACCATTTAAATATGGTGAATATGACGTCATAACATAGCCGATCATAACACATTTAACTTTATTTAAAAAAATTTTTTTTTGGCAGGTTTACAGGTCTCTAAATTTATTGCTAAAATTTATTTTTATTAGTACTTAATACTTTTAATTCTTCAACAATTCTATCAATAATCTCAGAACTTGATTTTGCATTATTAAAATGAAGAACTTGACAAAGAACTTTAGATTTATCAGCACCAATCCATTTCTTTATATGAATTAAGGAATATATCTCGTTCTTTTAATTGAAAATTTTTTTTAATATTATATAATCTTCCAAAAAAATTCAAATAAATTTCTTACCTTCCAACTAATTTCAAATGTCATCGCTTCTGACAATCCACTACTTGGATGGACATTCCATAATTGACGTAAAAGATAAGGAGATAATTCGACGATAACATGACTACATTCATATTTTGTTAATTGACTTTCAAAACGTATACTTTTCTCGCACTTCATTAATGAAGTAAATATTCCTCAGTAAATCACATAAAATATTAACAAAAAGTCGAATCTTATATATATATATACTAACCTGATCAATAAGATATAAACCGAAAGAGTGTTCCTTTTGTAATAATTCTCCAGTCCCAGGACTTGCAAATCTCACATTGACTTTTGCATTATACTTTTAAAAATAATATTTGTTTAAAATTGAAATTTTGAAATTTTGAAAATTTATAATAACTTACTTGACAGAATTCGGATGGAGCCAATTTCAACTTTTCAATAATTTGTGTTTGCGGGGATAATGTAAAGATCGAAGTCGTAGTAGAAGTTTTTGGTACAAATATTGAAGATATTGAAGTTGTTCTATTTTGAAGGAATACATAACGGTTAAAATTTATACATATTTACTAATATCAATGATAACACATACTCGGAATCGGGATCCGTAATTCCACGTTTTATAGATTCTTTACATTCTACACCTATATTTACTGGCTAAAATTAATTTTATAATTAGATCCATTCTAATGAAATATATAAAAATAATTTATTCTACCTCATTATGGTCTTTCTTTACAAAAGTTATGCTACATGAAATATTTGGTATAGGAAATTGACCAGAATTAATAATGGTGATAGTTAATAAACTAGGAATAAAGTTTCCCCGTGTTTCTAATTTATGAATTTGTGTTATATTAGATGCTAAAGTATTAAAGAAAAATTGAATTTTAGTCAAATACAAAAAAAAATTAAATGTTTCACAAATAAAATAATAATACAAACTAATTCGAAGATTAGACAATAAAAATTGTTCCATCACCGAATTCATGGTGTGAGTCATTTCAAGTGATTGTTTTAAATTTGCGGCTAGTGTCTTTTATTAAATAAGATAATATTATTAACATAAATTTAAATAAATGATATAGAATAAATAATGATGACTCACAGTGTAAACACTACTAAAAGAATTTTGCACTCCTTGAATACTATTTTGTAACAATGTAGCCATGGTTTTCCTTTATAATTTTTTAAGTAAATTAATACTATACTAGAAACGAACTTCCATAATTAATAAAACTTACATTCCGTTGCCTTCACTATCAATAGCATTATTATTGCTGGAAGATTGTTCTTGATTTATCTGAACAAAGTTCACTTTTGAAGTCATTATTATAGACGCGAAAAAGACGCGAAAGACTTTTTGGGAGGCGCAGAGAACAGAGATTGATCAACAGACAGATCGGGACAAATTTAGCTAATTTAGTTTTACCAATCATGATTCCGTAACTTGCCGTAACGGTGAATCATAATTATCAGATAAAGTACAATAAATTTTTTCGCGACATTTTTTTTTTTTAACAGACTTAGAATGCTATATATACAGACTTAGAATGCTATATATATTCAAATTGTATCCATATTCTGCGAGTCGAAATTGCGAACCGAACCCGAAATTGCGAACCAATGTCTAATAAAGTACAATCGGTATGTTTTTTATAAAAGAAAAAAATTTAACCGTATTTGTAATTAATCTCTCATTTCTCATTGAATTATAGGAAAAAGTCAAACCTAATGGAACATCATATTCTTCTACACAGGATTCAAGTTCTATAGGACCATCATGTTCAGTTGCGGATAGTACTTCTGCAACAATGGCTGCTCTCACTTCAGAACAAAGCAAAACTTCAACGAATAATTCATCATCATCACGCAAAAAAGCTTTTATCAAATTTGTTAAAGATCCACAAACCATTACCGAAGATTTAATAAGAAAACGTGCAAAGAATACTGAGGCAGCAAGAAGAAGTAGACAGCGTAGAGTTGAGAAAATGGAAAGTCTTGAAAAACAAGTTGCTGAATTAACTATTGAAAATACTGAATTGAAAACTCGTCTAACCGTATTAGAAATTGAAAAAAAAAGTTTAGAAGAAAAAAATTTAGATAAAGATAGTATGATTAAAATATTAGAACGTCAATTGACTGAAGCTTATCAAGGAATTATAAAAAAATCTTAAACAGATTTCAATTGTATAATTTGTAAACAGGAACAACATTCTCCAGGATAATTTTGATCAAAACATTGTATAATAATAATTTTGAAGCTTAAATTGATGAAGTTTGTCAAACTTGTAATTATTAATATCAAATAAATAATCCTTTTGCACATGCTTAGGTACGGATTTATTTTCTTTTTAATATGTATTTGAAATAATTATTTCGTCCATTTCTAGTAAATAAACATTATTAGTACTAGTCACACGGGTTCAACCCAAAACAGAGAAATGATTATACTATACATCTAATCAAAGTATTTATTTTTTTAAACAAAAGAAATTAACAATTATAATTATCATCATCCTACATTCCTATATCGGATATTTCCCCACCAACATAAAGATATAAAATTATTAATTGTAAAAATTAAACTCTTTTCATTGTAATTTTGAACTATATCATTAATGGCACATAAATTCTATTTCAAATTACAAAACACCAAACTATTGGATAATCTTACAGGAAACTTTATATTAACCTAAACTTATTGTTTAAAAGTACTATTTAAAAGATGCCAAAATCCTGTTTTATAATTAATGCAAATGTAAAAAAAATTATGAGATTTTAAATGCAGTAAGATTCTGTTTTTATTTAGATTTAAACTATAAAGATATTAAAACTGATAATAATATAATTAAAGTTATTGCCCAAAACTATAGCTGAAACTCAAAATAATGAATATCAAAATTAATAACTGAAACTAGCTAAAACTATTTTGAATTTTTTAGTTAAAAATACATTAATTAATAATTTTTTTGTATCTTTAATATTTTTACTTAATAATAATATTTTAAACTGAAAGTTAAGCAATATATATATAAATTAAAATCATATATAATTAGAAGTTTGCTACAACTCTCATATAAATTAACTTATTCTTAAATAATATATGCTTGGTTTAATTATTTCTTATAATTAATATATTTTTTTGAGCTTAGAAAAATTCTTCTAACTTTTTATTTAATATTGTAAGAGTTTTCCTCTTTTTAACTAATTTTGATTTTTTAATTTGTGAAAATTTTTTCCTTTTTATATTAATTCCAATAATTGCTTTTATCATAATAATATATAATAAATAAATATTGAAAAAAATATTGTATTTATATATTTTAAAGTATAACTAATAATAAAAAATATTTTCTAATATACTAATTATAACTAAAATAATAAAAGAAATATTTTTAATATAATTATTTTTATCTACAATTTCTTTATAATATAATAATATTTTATCATAGTTAGCAAAACTCTTTATAAAATTTGTATTTTTTAAATACAGTTCACCCTCGCTATAGTGAATTTTTATATAGTGAATAATTTGCTATAGTAAAGAAAAGCTCAGGTACGGATTTTCTATATAAATAATAATTCTTAATACAGTTCACCTTCGCTATAGTGAATCCCTTACTATAGTGAATCTTAACCTTCAGCCCATGAGCTTCACTATAGCGAGGGTGAACTGTAGTTTGCAATTAATATAATTATATCCATATTTTTAATTATATATTTATGAACTAAATAAATAATTTTAAATTTTATTTTAATTGTTAATTGATTTCCAATATATTAATATTTCTTAAAAATCTTTTTTTCTTGGAAAATATTTTCACTGATCACATGGACCATTTTTTTACAAAATTTTAGCAATAATATTTTTGTAAAAATATATTAAAAAAATGGTTTTTACTGCTAACAACTTTACTTTAAAAGAACTGAAGAGTTTTCTTAATCTATTTGACGAAGAGACGTTCACTTCCTTACTTGAATAAACGTTGCAAGTTTACCATTCTACTAGCATAACTGGCATTTTTCAAACTGTCATAGAAATTGAACCTGCTATATACAAATGTTTGGGGGACATATAAAAGAACTTTCCAGATAAACTTCTTAAACTGGTGTGTCTAAAAATAACTTTAACAGCTTTCTCTTTCTTTTCATGACTTTTAAAGACATATATATATTAGCTTTCTCTATGAGATGGCAAAGGACTTTATGGGAAAAAAAAAGAAGGAATCACATGAACTGCAAATAATAATAAATACATCTAATAGAACTCTGTGAATACCAGATTTTGTTCTAACAAATATGAAAATTTATGAAGAACCAAAATACTAATTACTGGTTGTACTTCTGCAATACAAATAAAACTTAATGTACAAGCTTAGCCGTATATTTCAAGAGGAAAGAAGCATGTGACATATGCTAAGATTGTATCAGATTCTGATTCTGATGATTTTTATCCTATGTTACCATTCTCTAAGAATAAACAGAATACTCAAAATACTTCAAAAAAGAGTAATATACTTAACAAATCACAGTAGTAACAGATGAAAAAGTCTAAGCTTACACCAGAGAAAACGATTTTAACTATCATGACCAGATATTTGCCACAAGATAAGGCTAATGTTCATAAGATAGTTATTTATAATATCCCCTCTATCATGATGCAACTTGATATCCTTACGAATCTAGAAAATAGGATCAAGTTATTGTATTCAAAATTAAGATGCAAAAGAAGTATTCAACTATGACTGTATCTATTAACTTCAACGAGTTGACTTTACTGAATTAGAATAATAAAGTTTAGACTGCTCTATTTGGAGAAATGCCTGTACAATAGTTTCTTGTATCCTGAACTTTGAAGCAGCGTAAAGAATATGAGAGATTCCAGGCTGTTATTATAGATATTCCCAAATCCATTACTTAATAATGTTGCTTACAATGTAAAAAACCCTGCCCAATCCCTGCTATTGCAATTAGATGGCATTTTAGCTTTCAAAATTATTTAAGACTGTGGGCGTAAGAAGTTGTTCATATTTTTCAATATATGGGCAAGTTTGGATAAAACACTTAATACAGTTAACTTCAAAAAATTTAAAGGTGTTTGAACTCAGTATTTTTTGCCCATCTTGAATCAGCCTAAAAATAAGCTACCAAAAAAGACAGATTCTACTCAAAAGCAGAATCAAGACAAGAATTTGAATATTTCACAGAAGGGCTTAGATAAACAAAAACAGAAGGAAAAGTTTTTAGGAAAAAAAAGCAATCTACTTTAAATAATAAAAGTTTTGACAGTAATGACAAACTGACAATTTTAGCTGAAATTAAGGCATTACTTAGATTACTAGTCAACTAATGGAAGGCTAGGCCAAATAGAAATTTTTGAAATATTAGAGTACTCGCTATCTAGTCTATATTTTATTAACCCATTATTTTTTTACCCTGATTTTTTTTGTTTAAAAACCTTTTTTTTTTTTCTTATTGTTTTACAGTAGGTCTTGTTGGATTTTTCTAGAACTGAGTCTGAAAAGAGAGGATACCCTTTTAAAAAAGAGCAGTTTCACATTGAACTTATTCTCATAGTTCCAAATTCACCTGACAGTGCACACATAAGATCATCTTGTAAGATGATAAGTGATTCTTTAATTATCAAATATCAATATTAGTTTAATTTTATATTATATCACCTGTATATATGTTGACATAAAAATTATTTTAATAAACTACAGAAAAAAAAAAAAATTAAAATTAAAAATCTTTTTTTTCAAATTTTTTTAATCTTTCTAGAAATTATTAACTATCTTTTAATAATATTTATATTATAATTTTTATTAAATTTAGCTTAATATTAAGTTTTATTTATTTCTCAATAAATCCTTATAAGTTATAACTTAATCTTTTTATTTAATTATTATCAAATTAATATACTTCAGTTACCAATTATATAATAGTAGTATTTTTTGCTATTCTATTCTATATTTTATGTTAAGCTAAGTAGTATATAATTACAATATACCTTCTAGTCAACCATCATATAAGGTAAAAAAATACTATATTTTTAATTCTACAATCTTTTTATATAACAGCTATTAAGCAATATATAGTATAATTATCTAGAGTCTAGACATTCTTTCATACTTGTTTATATATTCTAAAGATACTGCAATACTAAAATATTTAATGTAACTTTATTTATAAACTGTAATTACTTTTTTAAGTTCAGTATAGTTATTTTATTATTTCCTATTGTTATATTGAAAACACTATAACGTCAGGAAATTTTATAGCGCGAAAAATTGCGTAAGTTTACGATTTTGTAAGTTTACGAAAGTTTATGGCATAATATTTCGAAAAATTTCAAAATATTACGTAAGTTTACAATTTCGTAAGATTTATGT